TTCAATTTCGACACTGTTGCACCACATTTCGACAATTTATAAACACTCTATTTTGAATTAAAGTATTTATATTTATGATGAAAATTTTTGTTAAATGATAATGGGTTGAATTTAATTCACCATCAGAAGTTGCAAATGTTCTTGGATTTAAACGAACTACAATCTATTCGATTATTAAAAAATATAAAAATGGTTTGCCGATAGAACGGCAATTAAAAGATGGTTCTAGAAACAAAAAATTAACAGAAGAATCCAAGGTACTAATCAAAAATTGGATTGATGATGATTGTGGAATAACTCTTAAAGAAATTAAACAAAGACTTTTTGAACAAAAATCCATTTCAATCAGTCAACCTACTATAGCAAGATGCATTGATAGTTTTAATTATACTTTGAAACGTGTTCACAATATTCCAGAGAGAAAAAACTCGGAAGACGTTATTAATGAAAGAGCTTCTTATGCATAAAGATTCATGAACATTTTGTCTTCTATGAATGACAATAAAATATTCTTTATTGATGAAGTAGGATTTAGTCTTTCAATGCGAGTTAGAAGAGGACGTTCTTTAGCTGGAAAGAGGGCCACACGAACAGTGACTAATATACGGTCAAGAAATATTTCCGTCTGTTGTGCAATGAACAAAAACGGAATTTTGAAATATGAAGCACAAACAAGAGCATTTAATACAGAAAACTTTTTAGATTTTAATTGTTTAGTATTAGCACAGTATAGTGACTAATATACGGTCAAGAAATATTTCCGTCTGTTGTGCAATGAACAAAAACGGAATTTTGAAATATGAAGCACAAACAAGAGCATTTAATACAGAAAACTTTTTAGATTTTATTTGTTTAGTATTAGCACAATTAGCACAATGAAGTTGTTGGAGCTATCTTAATTTTAGACAATGTTCGTTTTCATAAAACTGCTGTTGTTCATAATGATATAGTACGTGCTGGGCATTCTTTGATATTTTTACCTCCATATTCCCCCTTTTTAAACTCTATTGAAAATATGTTTTCTGAATGGAAACAGTTTATCAGAAGATGTTCGTCTAGGACTGAGGAGGAAATGCTTGAAATTATACAAAACGGTGCATTGAATACTACTAGCACAAACTGTAATAATTATTTTGCGCACGTACTGAGGTATATGATTCCGTGTTCAAGAAGAGAACCAGTTATTGAAGAATAAACTTACTTTTGTAATTTTTATTTTTATTATCGAGTATTTGCAATTACAATACTTTATATACGATAACTTTTTTGTTTAGACTTTAGTTTGTATCCAAACTAAAAAATTATATTATCTAAATGAATTTAGAAAGAATCTAACTATATTAATTTAAGTATTATTAGCGCTGTCGAAATTGAATGCAAAACAGTCGAAATCAAATGCAACGGTGTCGAAATTGAATGAAACATTGTTGAAATGTACCAATACAATGTCGAAATTGAATGATACGTTGTCGAAATGAAGTGGGAAACCCTGTACAATCTAAACAAAAAGCAACTTTAATTACTCTAAACATGAAGCGAAAATATTTTTTTTAAATAACTGTTTGTATAAAGGTAATAAAACTTAAATTTAATTCACTTAACAGTTAAACTAAAAAAAATATTTTTATATGCAATATTGAAATAATATATTAACTTTTTTTTTTTTTTAGACTTAGTTTTATTTTTGGTTACGTCTACAGACGTACTACACCTTTTCAAGATGTAAATGAGAACATGAAAGTTGTAATTAAGAAGTCGTAATATGTAATTAAGAAACACAACATGTAATTGAGAAAACGTTATATGTAATTGAGAAACACAACATGTAAATAAGAAGTCGTAACATGTAATTAAGAAACACAACATGTAATTGAGAAAACGTAAGATATAATTGAGAAATCATAATATGTAATTGAGAAATCGTAACTTGTAATTGAGAACACATAAATTAAAATAGCAAATTCACAGTCTAAGTTTGTAGGTTGTTACAAAAGGTCTTTTTGGACATGAATTTAAGTTATAATCTTAAACTTTGCTTTTGTATGCACAAGTAATAATAATGGAATTGAAAGATCGTTGTGTTATATGCCAATATACTATGACCCGAAAGTCTGTGATTAAGCTAAATCCGTGTCAACATTTATGTCACCAAATTTGTTTACGTCCAGTTCTGGAACAACCAGATTCAAGTTGTCCGATTTGTCGGCATGAAATACACACAACTGAACAAGTTGAAAGGAAACGTTACGTTTTATCTTCTCCAAATGACAGGAGAAAGAGTTGTTGAATGTGCGGAGCGATTTGAAGATTGGGTGAATCTCGCGCAAACGCTAGGTATCAAATATAAGACAGCATACAATTGGGTTCGCAGCGGAAATTCAAATTTCATCGGAAAAGGAGGTTTTAAACCGAAAAAGTTGACCGAAGATCAAATCGAAGAAACATTAACATGGATTGAAAATGATTGTCAATTAACATTGGTGGCCATCAAAACAAAGATATTAAGACAATTTAACATAAACGTTAGCACAACAACAATAGCAAATTACCTCGAAGGCAGATTGTTCTCATTAAAAAAAGTGCACAAGGAGCCTTCTACAATGAACAGTTATAAAAACAAACAAAAAAGAGCTGAATATGTTAGAAACATCAACGAACATATCACAAATGGTCGTCAGATAGTTTGGTTGGATGAAACAAACTTTAACCTTTTTTGTAGAAAAACGCAAGGATGCGCGAGACAAGGAAAAAGAGCAATTATGAAAGTACCTGCTTCAAAAGGTTTAAACATACACTTGATCGCAGCTATTTCAACTACAAATGCCGGCATGATAGAAACTCGCAGGGGATCATTTAAAGCAGATTCCTGTAACGAGTGGATGTTGGCTATGTTTCACCAGTGGGTTACATCCAGGAATCGTTTGGAGGATTTGGTCTTCGTAACAGATAATGCTCTTTGTCACGCTCGTTTGCAAAGGGTGTTTGATAATTCACCAGCTCAGTTGTTACGTTTGGGACCTTACAGTCCAATGTTGAACCCGGTGGAAACGATCTGGTCCAAAATAAAAAGTAACGTTAAAAATGCAATTCGCATTCCACCTGTATTAGGTGACGGGATTGCGGAACAGCGCATGCAGTACTTAGAACGAATTGTAATTGAGGCGAAAAATACTATAATGGGAGGAGATTGTGCACGTGCGGTACAACACACAACCACGCACTATGCAACTATTTTAAATATGGAAGACGTACAAGTTGGTGCTTAAATGATCAATGAAGTGATTTTTAATTATATAACTTTTAATTGAATTATAAATTTTTCCCTAAAATGTTTTTAGTGTTTATTATGTTAAATTCATTTGCCCAAAAATTATAAATTTTTCCCTAAAAAATTAAATTTACGCTACAAATCTTGCGTCATTTTTAAGTGCGTCATTTTATACGCTCCATTTTTTTACGCGCCATTCTTTTTAAGCGCCATTTTACACTTACTCCTTTAAAGCGATATCTAAATTAAAATTTTCGTGTTCTCAATTACATCTTTCTATTTCTTAATTACAACTTACATTTTCTCAATTACATGTTACGATTCTTAATTACAATTTTCGTTTTCTAAATTACATCTTATGTTTCTTAATTACAACTTACGTTTTCTCAATTACATCTTACGTTTCTTAATTACAACTTTTGTTTTCTCAATTACATCTTACGATTCTTAATTACAATTTTTGTTTTCTCAATTACATCTTGAAAAGGTGTAGACTTACCCTAGATCCGCCCCTGATACCGGTGGTAAGTCTTGAAGTATTATTGTTTTCCAGGCTTTAATCACCTTATTATTGTTTTTTTAATTTCTTATTCGACATAAGCATGAAAATGTCTAAAACTGTCATATGGGATTATCCATAAAGGTCGTCACTTTAAGTTTAACAATGACAAAAAGTAGGTGAACGTTGGCTCTTGTGCGCAGAGGTTTTATCAGCAATATAGCGCTTTGTATTCAATGAAAATCTCCGCGGAAGAGAACCAATAAACTTCTACTTCTGGTTAGTAATTAAATTATGAATGACGTCCTTTATGGACAACCCCTATCTAAAAAATTACAAATTCTGGATCCGCCACTATTTATAGATGCTGAAAAGACATTTTACAAAGAACTGGCACCTCTCAAAAAAATTATTTCTAAAAAGTGTTGAATGGTGCGGCTGCATCTTTTACAAAATATTTAATGCAAATTTATCATCAATAATAGACCAACCTATTTACAGTTTTCCAGCTCCACTAAAGTTAAAATACTATATTATTTTTTCATATTTTGGTCCAACTTTTATAACTACAATAAATTAAAAAACAAAAAAAAAAAAAAAAAAACAACTCAAACTAAAACTAGTCTCAAAGACATTACCATAAATGTATATATGTCTGAGAAAATATTAAAAATAGTTATATTTAAATTGGTCGGAAATTCACCCATAAAATTTCTCTTGAATTACACTTTTGACCAAAAATGTTAAACCTATACCCGAATATCTCATTATTAAAATGTTTTGATACTTTAACATATTTATATTGAATCCACCATATAAACCAAAAATAAATTCAATTTTGGCCACCCTACGTCCCGCTGCGCAAAGTGAATAAAAAAATGAACAAAGAGGTAGACAATTGTAATAAGTAAGATATTTTAACATGGAGTGTAGAAACATTCAATTAACGCAGGGTCTTACCAAATTATATGGGTGCGAGCTTGGTTGCTTGGGTTAGATCTTGTTTTCAAAATAAAACTACTTGACCTACTTAAAAATAAAAATATATATTTTTTAATTTACGCTCTAGAGTTTGACAAATATATGATCACACGATTGTAAAACTGATTTCACACGCATTTTTTCCATAAAAGGTTTTTCAGAAAAGTATGTTTTTTAGAATATTTTTGAAGTGACACGTAATTTATTTATGTATTTATTTTGCAATAAGCCCTGTTTCTTATTAAACAAAAATAATACAACACAATATTCTCTAAACAACAACAAAAAAGTTAAACATGTTTGGAGAGTCCATCAGCATATTGAAACTGGTCAGAGTTTTCATAGTCATACATGTCCAGAGCAATATCACAACTTTCTCGGACAACTCTTTCGTCATCTTGCAAATATTTGTTTAAAATTTCAAAACATTCTGAAGTCGCAATAGCACCTAGAGCTTCGGCGCACTCATGGCGTACCATTCCATGTTCTTGCTTATTTTCGAGAGTTTCTTTTAGAGAATCTATAGATAATGGGTGAGCCATTTGACCAAGAACAAAAGCGATTTCATGTCGAAACAAAGCACTTTTACACTTGAGTCCTTTACATAGTGCTAATACTTCTGAATCACCGCCTTTATCCCTTAATGAAAACATTGCACTATACCTCTCAAATAATTTCTTTTTTTCATTTAATAAAATGTCTGCCAACTCAGATGTTGATTTGATTTCCATCGGTGGAGCAGGATCGACTGAGTGATATGAATTTGAAGGCTCGCTCTGCTGAGTTTGAAGCCACTTAATTCTATCAATTGCAATATCACAAGTTTCAGCGATTTCAACAATTTTATGATCTCTATAAGTTTCGAGTAAGGGCAACGACGTAAATAAACCAATAGCGCCAATCGCTTCTGCTGCTTCGTGGCGTACAATAGCTTCCTGCGATTCATCGCTCAACACTTCGGTAAGAATAGGAATAGCAAGCGCATTCTTCATTTGTCCCAAACAATAAGCTAATTCGTGCTTAAATAAAGCTGAGGAATCCTTAAAAGATTTTGCAATTTCACTAATTGCTTGTTCATTGTTAATATTTTTAAGCGTAAATAGGTTCCGAAATCGATCTTTCAAAGGTTTATTTACATCACGAAGTGATTCTCCAATTTTAAAAATAGTATTGTTATCTATTTGTAATGACATTATTATTTAGCCTACGTAATATTAATTCTACCTAAATATGAATTCTTTTGTTAGAATGATTATTAAAACATCAAATAATATAAAATCATAAATTTTAACTACAATTGTTTACTAATTGTATATTTTATATTGCAAAAATTGTAAAATTTATATTTTTTATTGTTTTATAAATTACTTACAAATTATTTATTGTTATCTTTTTTGTCAGTATATTGCAAGGGGCGAATTAAGTGATCGCAAATTGAAAATTCCGTAAAAGTTTCTGGTCTTCAAATTGTTTTTCTTGAAAACCAATTTTGCGCGTTTTTTTTTCGCAGAAAATTTTCGCACTAAAAATTCAAAGACCAGAATTTTTTACGGAATTTTCGATTTGCAATCACTTGTATCACCCCTTGTATTGTTGTTTATTTTGTTATAGATATTACTGTTTTTATAATTTTATAATTTAAAAGTTTATTATTTTGTTATTAGTTATGGTCATCTACATTGTTACTCTAAAGAAACAACAAAAGTTTAAATTACTCTTACTTTGATATTTTAAAGTAAAGATTTAAATTTAAGATTCAGTGTCAATTTTAATAAATATATTGCTAAATTTCAATATGGGAAAACATATTTTATTAAAATATCACTAACAACACAAAGTTAAAAGAATTCTTATAAACAGCTTTTGAACTCATATAAGATGCTATGAAATTATGAAGAAACAAAAGTTTGTTTAACAATTTTTTTATGTACAGAGTCTGTACTTAGGTCGTTTAAAAAAAGTTCGTAGAATCTCCCCTATAAAAATGATTTTTTTTAATTTTATTTTCTTAAATATTTAAAATAATGTCCATTATTTTCTATACAAATTTGCATCCTTTCGAGTTATTTGTCAAACGTTTTTTTATACTCTTCTTTAGGTTTACTTTGAAGTAGCTTGGTTATATGGTCTATAAATATTTTTTAATTTTTTGTTTTAAATTTGAGATTTTATTTTTTTGATGATAACAAGTAAAAATTAATAAACGATGGTGAGGGGAAGGGGGAGGGGTTAGAAAAATTCCCTAACTTTAATAAACGTCCCTTTCTATATATTAAGCACATAAGAGTACAACAGGTTTCAAAAACGTTCTTCATAGAATATCTTCTTCAATAGAGTAATAGTATTTAACTTAATATTTTATTTTAATAATTTAATTTAATATTTTTTTTCCTTTTTAACAATACCTGTTATTTTAAAGATTTAAAAGTTTAAACTTTTTTTAGTCTTTCGGTATTTTCGGTACCTGTCGCATCTTACTATAGTTCTTCGACTTTCACCTTTGCCGACCCAATTTGCGTTTGCCGACTTGTGTCCAACTTGTCTCAAATAAAACCCCGACTCATCTTCTATAATAACAGTTTCCATAAGTTTTTATCGTTGGATTGCCATAGAACCAAACTTTCTATACATGCCTAAACTCGATTCTTGTAATTTTGATCGGTTAACTTGTGAGGTATCAAAAGTAACGAAGTTTTTTCTTTTATCTAAGTGCGTTGTGAATGAGTTCGTTGTTGTAAAATGATAAATCAGTGTCAGGACTTCAACTATATCATGTGTTGCATGAGGTCTTTTTTCAATAATGGCATGCACATATACGTTCGATATACTTACCTGTATACGTGGTTTTAGGGTGCCGTGAGCGGGGATCATCTTTAAAACTATCTTTATCATCTTGAAATAGAGCAACCCACTTGGCAATTGCAATATATTTTAGTGCTTGGTCACCATAAACTAATTACAATTCATCGATTATTGCTTGTGAGTAGAGCACGGATTTTAATATATGCTTAATATTTAATTTTTTACTATTTTTCAATTTTTTATTTTAAATATGTCTAATAAAACTTATCAACCTTTTAAACACACAATCAAAAAAATTTAACGATTACTTAAAGTTTATTATTAAATACAGTTAAGGCAACTCTGTAGATGAAGTTCAACAAACTTTTCTAACGATCTAAGTACAAGCAATTGTACAAATTTTGTATTTACTTTGTGAATAGAGTGTTTAGTTTGTGTATAGAGAGCTTACTTTATGTATAGATTGTTTGTGTACTAACAGAGTTTGTACAAACTATGTTTAATAAATAAAAAGTATATAAAAAAAAATTTTTTTTTATTAAACATAGTTGAATAAAACACCCTAGAATTAAACAATATGCAAAGAAAAAGTTAACAATATATCAATAAAGTAAACTAAAAATAATTTTTAATGAAAAACCATTTAATCAATTTGTAAAGATTACTTTAAACCAATGTAAACAAAAGCAGTTAAATAAAAACAAAAATAATGTAAGAATTGCTTTAATAAAAATATTAAATTGAAGAACACAACAATAGTGGTCTCAACAAGAGAGGTTTTTTCAAAAAATATATAAAATAAATAAGGAACAATCAGATCTTTATAATAAAAACTATAAAATAATTCATGACTTTTTAAAAATATTTATTAAACAAATATATATTAAACAAATATCTATTTAATATATATTTTTTATATTTGTTAATATATATATATAAAATAATATATTAACTGTAACACAACTTAATAATCTAAACAAAAATTTCTTTTTTCCTAATACTATAAAACCTTTTTAGTAGTGCACTTCAAGAAATAAAAAGCAGTACTATGCTATGAAATGATACAATAAAGTTTAAAATACAGAACAAGATCTTTTGTTAATGATTTTCATCAGATGATAAAAGCAACTTTTCTAATTCCTTTTCCACATTATCAGAAGTATTTCCACAACTAGTATTTTCTATATTATTTTCCATATTATTCTGCATATCTCCACAGCTAGAAAATTTAACATCTTGATTAACTTCCCAACTACAATCAGAAAAGTTCACATTTGTTATATGATTGTTCGTTATATCATTTTCAATGTTCGATTTGAATGATAAACTATTATGCGATTCATTTAAAACTTCATTTGAGTTGATATACATATTAGCTGAAGAAAAACTAACTATTAGGCTTAAAAATTAAACATCATTAACACACAATCTTTACAAAAATATAAACATATTTTTATGAAAACATAAACAATCTGGTTCTAAAGAATAATATCTTAGGTGTTTTGAACTGTAATCTATATATCTAAGCTCTCTCGTTTTCTTAAGGATACAAAAGTAATACCTCTCTCTTTCTTAAAAAAAATTAAAATCTATCTCTCTTTTAATATATATACGCAATATATAATTCAGGTGCACAAAATTTTGCCATCTCAAGCATATTTTTATATACGCAAAGAAACACAAACTCACTTGAGAAACTTTTAAATATTAGTACTATTTTAATGTTATTAGTTTAGAAAAATATTAAAATATCTTTATATTTAAATGCAATTAAAAAAAACTTTTTTTTTACCAACTGGAGTTTCTGGAAACCATGTGCCGTATGGATCGTAGTACCCAATTGTTGGAGGTCGTTGTAGAATAGCACGTGGAAAGAATTCTTCATTACACCCGCTGTTTACCACGTCCTCTACAGTTACAGTTTCACAAAAAGAATCAAAACCTATTTGATTAGATGATCCAGCATGTAAGCCATTATGTTGCGTAGAATCATTAAATTCAATGTTTTCCTTCAAGCAGCGACGAAACAACTTTTGATCAATCGCAAAATTGGGCTTGCTATTGTGCTTTTGAGAATTCTCTGTTTGTAAACAAACATTTTCATGAGATTTTGTTTTGGTATTTAATGATTGCTCAGTTAAAATGCCATTTTGGGTTTTTCCTGCAAAAACATCTCCACACCACGGCTAAAAAAATTTAACAATTTAAACGCCAACGTTACAAAGAGAGTTTAAAAGTTATGGAAAGATTAAAGTTATTTTTTTATTTTTTATTTACTAATGATGTAAAATCTTCTTTTGAAACTAAATTACTCCCAACAAGACTGCAAGCAAAACTACTTAAGTTAGGACTTACTGAAAAAAAAAAGAATATTTTAAAAGAGTAAGAAAAGAATCGGCGACTTAAAAAACTTGTATGAATAAGTTAAAAGAGGATTCCAAAACATTGTGTGCAGGGAAAAAAATAAAATTCATTTTATTTTATAAAAAAGAAAATACGCTTAGTGGTGCTATTTTATTTTTCGCAACTGTATATATATATATATATATATATATATATATATATATATATATATATATATATATATATATATATATATATATATATATATATATATACTCATATAGTGTCGCTTTAAGAGCATTTTAATGTAAAAAAAGTCTATTACGACTACAATTTTAATTACCTCGTCTCTTAAGCTGTTTTTGATTGTCATCGAAAAGTCAAAGCAATTAATTTATGCGGAAGTACATTAAATTTAATTGTTTTTTAAAAAATTTTTAAAAAACCGCAATTATAACGACTAGAAAGTTTTAGTTAGTGGTGTTTTTGTTATTGATTTAATAAAAAACATTTTTTAAACATGCGTAAATGTTGCTACATCGACTATCTTATAGCCTGACTCGCAACAGAGTGCTGCTACATCGACTGACAAATAGCCTGACTCGCAACGGAGTGCTGCTACATCGACTGACAAATAGCCTGACTCGCAACAGAGTGCTGCTACATCGACTGACAAATAGCCTGACTCGCAAGGGAATGCTGCTACATCGACTGACAAATAGCCTGACTCGCAAGGGAGTGCTGCTACAACGACTGACAAATAGCCTGACTCGCAGGAGAGTGCTGCTACATCGACTGAGGGTTTGGTTTGGCCAGGCAGTCTATCAATTAAAAAAAAAATTTAATATTTAAAACTTTTTCTGGTCTGGTTTATTAACGCGCTCTTTAAAACTACAGTATATGGGAAATATTTTTTGATGCTACGCAAGAGACATGCAAGACTATATATATATATATATATATATATATATATATATATATATATATATATATATATATATATATATATATATATATATATATATATATATATATATATATATATATATATATATATATATATATATATATATATATATATATATATATATATATATATATATATATATATATATATATATATATATGTATATATATATACAGTCACGATCAAAAGTTTGGAACATTTAAAAAATTTTCATAAAATTTGAAAAATGTGTTTAAATATGTTTTTTTTAATTGAAAATTTTGAGTACTAATATTATATGCATACATAATTTATATTATAAACATTTAAATTTGTTTTAGTTATAGTTTATTGTTATTTTAGCAAAAAAATAAAATAATAATTATGGGAAGAACTAATGAATTAATAACAGAAAAACGTGCTCAGATTGTTATTCTACGTGAACAAGGATTGACACTGACTTCTATTGCTGCATGTTTTAATGTAACATATAGCTGTATTATAAAAACATTAAAGAGATATCATGAAACTGGTGATTTTAAAAGCAAAGCTAGAACTGGACGACCAAAGGTAACTACTAAAAAGGCAGATAATCGTATGCATCGTTATGCAAAAGCATATCCGTTTGCCAGTGCTTCTGAAATTTCATCTGAGGTATTCCCCACAGGTGTTGCACCAAGTGTTGTGACCATTAGAAGACGTTTGTACAAACAATTTCATTTAAAGAGCCATGTTCCAGCAAAAAAACCTTGTCTTTCTTAAAAAAATATTAGAGACCGTATAGCCTTCTGTCAGAAATATAAGGACTGGTCAGCGGAAGATTGGGAGAATGTGATATTTAGCGACAAATCACTAATGGAACAATTTGGTGGTCGTTCTACAAGTGTTAGATGCCCACCTTGTCAACGATACAACCCCAAATATGTGCTTTCGACTGTAAAACATTGCCCTAAAATCAAGATATGGGGTGCCATTACAGCAAATCAAAGTAGCAGTTTATAGTTTATGGCTCCTATCACCATAACAAATAGCCATGTTTGTATTGATATACTTCAAGAAAAACTTATATTATTCATAAACATCACGAATACCCACAAGTTTCAGCATGATGGAGCACCCTGTCACAGGACCAAGCATGTAAGCAGTTGGTTACGTGAGAATGGGGTTGAGGTCATTGGCCCTTGGCTTGGTAATTCACCGGACCTCAATCCCATTGAAAACTGCTGGAACTCAAAAACGAAGTCCAGAAACTGCGACCATCATGTTCCGATGATCTTCAAGAAAAAATTAAGCAGCTATGGACTCAACTTATGACTCCTGAATATTTGAGAAAACTCATTCATTCTATGCCTACCCGCTTAGCTAATTGTTTGAAAGCTCAAGGACACCATACCAAATATTAAATTCAAGTATTAAATTTATAAAACCTTTACTAATAGTTCAAAGTTATTATTTTTGTCAATTATCATGGTTACTAATATATTTTGATAAAATAAATGAATAATTTAATGAAAATTGTGTTTTTTTATACAATGTTCCAAACTTTTGATCGTGACTGTATATATATATATATATATATATATATATATATATATATATATATATATATATATATATATATATATATATATATATATATATATATATATATATATATATATATATATATACACATATATATATATATATATATATATACAGTTGCGAAAAATAAAATAGCACCACTAAGCATATTTTCTTTTTTGTTAAGAAAACACCATGCAAAATAAATTTTTTTTTATAGCTTTGCTGTTTAAAATATTAGCTAACATGTTTATTTTCTAAAACAAATCATTTTGGGAAAAAAACTGTTTGGTGTTGCTCGTTTTTAATCAACAATGCTAATTTTGACCGAAAAATAAAATAGCACCACATACTCTTTTGTTAAAAAATAATTGTGAAAATAGCAAGCGTTAGATTTTTTTGTGCTGTTTTATTCGTTTTATGTTAGTGCGTATTAGTAGGAGACATTTACATATAAAAATGGAACGCGGAAAGCATTGTAGTGCAGAAAACGAGAACTGATCCGAAAGTTGATATCAGCAGGAAAATCTTATAGAGAAGTTGGTCGTTTAGTTGAGTGTTCCAATAAAATGATAAGAAATGCCATAAAATTTCAAGAAATGCCTGAGACATGTGGTCGAAAACGTTCTTTTTCAAGATTGCTGGCCAACCGCTTAGTCCGACAGGCTAAAAAGGAACCTTTTAAAGCAGCTACCCAGCTGAAAAAAGACATTAACATTGATGCAACGGTACAAACAGTTTGGAGTTGTCTGCGAGTTAATGGATTAAAAGCCTGTAGCCCCAGAAAAGTTCCTTTTCTAAGTGGCAGACATGTTGTAAAGCGTATTGCATTTGCTAAAAAACACTCAAAATGGCCACTCGAAAAATGGAGGAATATTTTATGGACAGCTGAAAGTAAGATTGTGCTATATGGCGGAAAAGGCTCTTGGGCGTAAGTCAGAAGACTGCCGAATGCAGAATACAATCTAAAATATACTATCAAAACTATTAAACATGGATGTTGTAGTATAATGATATGGGCATGCTTCAAGTTAACCAAATCCTGATATCGCTTTAGCAAAATTCCGCTAAAGCGATGTCAGGATTTGGTTAACTCGATGCCAAGACGTTGTGTAGCCGTTATTTCCAATAAAGGTCACGCTACAAAATACTAATATGTTAAGAAATAACTAATATTTCCTTATTTTAAAGTACACATTAAAGCTGTGGTGCTATTATTTATTTGGCGTTTTATTTGATTTTTTTCGAATTTTTGTATTATAAATAAATACTATATATTAAAACTTGTATATGTTGTTTTTTATAAAAATTATAAGCCATTTTACTTTTAAATATGTATTTAAAAGATTTTTAAACTATCAAAAACAGTTAAAAGTTCTAATTTCAACCAATTTTTGGTGGTGGTGCTATTTTATTTTTCGCAGCTTTATATATATATATATATATATATATATATATATATATATATATATATATATATATATATAAATAAGATATATGTATATATATATATACCTTATATAATGTTATTAATTATAACATGTGATAACTAAAAATCTGGACAAAGTTTGAGTAAATATTAAAATATGAAGGAATAATTTAATATAATTGCAATCACTTCTCTATTTTGTTACAAATTTAATTCTTTAAATGTATTATTAAAAAAAAAAATTATTTAGTATTAATTGAAAAAAAGGCTTGTAACCAAGACTCCCTTAGAAAACGAGAGTACGCATTTTTGGATTTGCATCCAGGTAAGAATAAAAGCTTTATTGTAAATCATTTTCGAATGAAGAACATACCAAAATCTACTATTTATAATATACTTCAAAGAAAAGAGAATAATATAGGACCAGAAAGAAAAGTTGGAAGTTGTCGCAAAGCAAAAAAGATACCTGCAAAAGAGATAAAGCGTCTTAAAAATTCGATTGATCAAAAGGATGGTAACTCACAGCGTGGTCTTGCAAAATGATTCTATGTATCACAACCGTACATATGCAAAATTATTCACAAAAAAAAATAGTTTTCATTTTCTTAAAAAAACTAAAACACCGAAAAGAACACCGCCTCAAACAGCAGCTGTTTGCTCAAAGTGCCTTAGATCGGTTTCGATTTTTAGGAAAAAAGTAGTTATTATTGACAATGAATTGTATTTTTATTTGAGCAACACCAATATTTCTGGAAATGCTGGATTCTATTCTTCTGACATAAATACAGCATCAAATGATGTAAAGTTAAAAGGAAAAAAGAAATTTGAGCCAAAACTACTTGCATTCTCAACAAAAAATCTCTCAGCATTGCTCCATCAGAAAAAACTACTTGCATTCTCAACAAAAAATCTCTCAGCATTGCTCCATCAGGCCAAGCAGTCAATGAAGATGTGTATATTTCAAAATGCCTTGTTAGATTAGAGAAATTCATTGAAAAACATCCTAAAAATGACAATATTGTCTTTTGGCCTGATCTCGCTTCGCTACATTATTTGCGTAAAGTGCAAGCTTATCTAAACGCTAAAAATATTGAATTTGTATTGAAAGAAGATAATCCTGCTAATCTGCCAGAATACCAATTGAAGATTTTTGGTCTGAACTTAAGAGACTAGTGTACAATAAAAACTGGCAAGCTGAAAATCTAAGTAAACTTAAAAAGCGAATTGAGTTTTCAATTAAGAAAATCAACATAGAATGTGTACAACGGCAACATTTACATAAGTAGACACTATTTGTCATCATGACATGAAAAACTTATAATTTTTTAAAATTTTATCATTTAGATTTTTTTTGTTATTATACTTTTTAAATTATTAAAATTGATCATTCCGTTTTTTTCTAATTTTGTCCAGATTTTTAGTTATCACATGTTATAAATTTTCTACTATTCCAGATGTTTCCCAGTTGGCTTTTGTAACATTATTTTTATGTTCTTAAATTCGTGTGGACTAAGAACTAAAAAACCTTTAAAAATACCAACATTTGTAATTGCATCTTTACCGTGTATGGAAAACTCATATTTGTGAAGGGAGTGATTGATTGAAATACAAATATCTAAAAAATTTAATTGGTATTAGGCATTTTTATATTCGCATGTATATTGGATAGATTTATCTTGTGAATTTAAAAGTGTTAAAAAAGAATTTGCGATATCAATATTAGTAAAACGAGCACGGCTATCATCAACGTAACGTTTATAAGTTTTTGGTGCAATGTTGATATGTTTTATTTTGTGTTGGAATAAATAAAAAAGATTTCCACACAAAGAACCTAAAAATAATGTTACAAAAGCCAACTGGTATAATAAACTGGGAGAACCCTAAAACGCTTTCTTTTATTTCAAATAACTACACAAGAAAAATTTGTGAGGCCATTGAAATACAACGTATACAATGTTCAAAACCTTAAGAAAACATTTTAAATTGTGACAATGGCAATTTGGTTATGAATCTCCATTGGAAACCGTTTTTTGTAAAATTAAAAAATATTGAATATCTGACATTGCAATGACATCATTTGGTTATGTTAATTAAATTTTTTTAATGCTTTTTTGTAACGGTTTTATTAGTTTGATAATGGCTCTTGCTATATGAGCCAAAATATTACTTAAAAAAATAAATAAATAGTATAATACTGTATATGATGTTTTAATGCTTATAATAATATTACACATACTATTTAAGATATCACTTAAATTTGATATATATATATGTGAAATTTGGAAAAAAATGGAAATGACTTGAAGCTTTCCAGTAATGTAAAATACTGTCATATAATTTAGTATGTAAAAGTAACAGCATTAAAGTCTTCAAGTTTTTTCAAAAATTAACTCTAAGTAGCGTGACGGTCGTAACGCTTACTTTTTACCACTTCTGAACAAAACAACTTTGTCAGACTTAATGCAGCAAATTGCACGAAATCTTTTGGTGTGTATTTAGCACATACTGATGTTATTATACGCTGAGTTTCATAGTTTTTACTTAAAGTTTTACAAGCTTTTTTGTGTTTTTGTTGTTGTGACGGTCGTAAGGAAAAATCCAATCCTTAAAAACAACAAATATACACAATCAATGATCTAAGAAAAAAAGTAAAAATAATTATTAAAAACCATATGCAATATGTTAAAAAAACGCAATAAAACATTATCCATGTTTTTAATTATGGATATTCATATATACGTTACGATTTTCAACACAACAACAACAACACAACAAGACTGTATATATAAGCATCAAAGCACATTTATACGACCCTTACAAATTTAAAACGCTATGATATGATTACTTTTTTGCTTAAAAATATTTTAAAATTTTAGTATGTGTTTTCATAACTTTTTCACTTTTTTTTCTCTTTCTCGCATATATATACACATATATACATATATATGTATATATATATGTATATATGTGTATATATGTATATATATATATATATATATATATATATATATATATATATATATATATATATATATATATATATATATATATATATATATATATATATATATATATAGGTGTGATATAGAACCATATATAACATATAACCATGAATAATGTAACTTTAATATTTTGATTAAAAAACAATTTGTATAAACAAGAAAGAATAAATATTACAACTTACATAAATGTGATTAAAAAGTGGAATACTTGTCTTCTTTTTTAAATATGCTTCATAATGTAAAACAATGGCTTTAGCTTCCATTAAATTTATGCTCAAAAAGTTATCGACATTGTGACTAGATTTTATGACCGGAACACATGAAAGACTAAGATAAACAACATCATAACCATCACCTGAACTTTTATTTAAGTTTAACTTTGCAATGCCAACATAGAAATTTTTAAAATCTTGCTCATTAACTTTTAATATAATGTATACAGTAGTACTTTTTTTAACACGCTGAAAATTGCTTTTTTTAAGGTATAATTTTCTTGTTTTAAGTGAATGCATTATTTGTAGTAATGGCATGTTGCATATAAAAAACTGTATTAGTGCTTGTGACTTTAATAGCTTTGATATGTTTAGTAGTTCTATTTCTGTCCACGAATTTGAACGTGGAGTTATAGAATTATATAAAAGATTTTGTAGTGGAACTAATTTTGAAGCAATAGAATCAACTTTATTATCTTCAGTAGCTGGTTTGTTAGTAATAATATTATTAGTTAGTTTATTTATAAGAGTTGTTGTATTAGGAACTATTGGAACTGAAGTAGCTTCTTTTTTTTCAATATCTTTTATAAGAGTTGTTGTATTAGGAACTGTTGGAACTGAAGTGGCTTCTTTTTTTTCAATACCTTTTAAATCTGATAAACTATTTGAAATTTTACTGCTTGTAGAAGTATCATAAATAGTTTGTTCAGACAAAACTGTGTTATTTAGTTTATTGTATTCTAAATTCTTTGTTGCTGGACAAATAAAGGAATCATTTAATGTTTCTAAATCAACAGGTCTCTGAACGTTTTTATCGTTGTTCTGTTCATCATTTTTTAAGTTAGGGGAACTGAGAATAGGCAGCATCACTTTAGAATTTGATTCGCTTGAATGTGATTTTATCTAATAAAAAAAATAAATAAAAAATAATACTTTAATATATACTATTATCCAAAACTAATTGTAAAATGCAAAGAATATACAAGGAGTGAACTTAAAAAACAAGATAATTAACTTTTTCTACAAATTCAGAGAATAAAAATATAAAATATTTTTTAGCAGATAGATAAATCTATCTGCTAAAAAAATTAAAAATTAAAAATTAAACAGTAAGTAAAAGGATAAAAATCAGATAATTTTTTTTTTTTAAATGTTTTTTTAACTTTATTTTTATATAAAAATTAAAAAACGTTCTGATTTTGCATCCGCTAAAAATAGTGTACACCTTTTTAGTACTTTTCAAACTTTTTGCCAGTCATACACTTTTTTTACAACCATAATGACTTTCTGTAGCTCAAAAATAAAATTCCTTATGGCTTTTATTTCAAGATCATTTTTCTGCTAACCTGTTCTCATCTCCAGTGTTCTTAGGTGATTCACCTGAGGTAATGAGATAACACTGACAACTTTAATAATCATTATACTGGTATAATTTTAGTAGATTTTAGTGTAAAAAGCCCTCTATGCCTTTGAGCAAAATGTGATGTTTGGCACTTCTAATTTAATATTTTTTTAAAGGATTGATAAAATCAAAATACAACTAAAACCCCTTTCAATACATCAGTAAATAATATTTATTGATTTAAAAAAAATTAACTTGTGCTGTTAAAAAATGACATTTAATTTACTAGCTGATTGGGATTCTTATTAAATGTATGAGTGGTTAAAGTTGCCGATCACACCAATATATTAATAAAGTTGCCAATCACACCAATATTATACAGTTGCCATGAGTAATATGCATTTTGTACTGTAACTATTGCAAGTGATTGTTGTAAGTCATAAGAATTCTTCCTTTCTTTAAAAATATCATAAGCTTAGTTTGCAGAGTTTTCAGCTTAATTAAAAAAATCGTCCTTTCTATCTTTTTAATTGCAACTTTTCACTACTTGGCTGAGTTTAACACATGTAAAAGAACATGTAATCAGAATCAGGCGGTTTAAGTGATCAATTCACCAATAAATATTTGCTAAAAAAATTTTGTAGAACATAGAGTGATCAATCAAAAGTGACATTTTAAAAATAGTGTACACCTTTTTAGTACTCTTCAAACTTAATGCCAGTCATACACTTTTTTTACAACCATAATGACTTTCTGTAGCTCAAAAATAAAATTCCTTATGGCTTTCATTTCAATATCATTTTTTTCCCGCTAACCTGTTCCAATCTCCAGTTTTCTTAGCTGATTCACCTGAGGTATTGAGATAAAACACTTTAATTGGTTGGTTATTTTAATAGGAAAATTAATTATAAAAAGAACCTCTGGCAAATGAATCATTAAAAAACCTAACCAAATATTAAGATAAGGATCACTTTAAATCAAAAGTCTTTACCAGGAAGAATACCAATAATTTACTGATTCTAAAATATTATTGTTGTGAGGCAATAAAAGATAAAATAATAACTGTGAAATTATTTAAATCAATTAAAGAAAAACTTCTTTATTTAAATGAATAAAAATCTCCAGGACCAGGTAAAATCAATAATACTAAAACAATGTGCATCTGCCTTTGCATTACTGCTCACAAAATATATATATATTTTAAAATTGTTTTTATTACAATTCATATATATTAATATAATCTATTACTAACATAAGTTAATGACCATATAGAAAATTTAATTATATATATATATATATATATATATATATATATATATATATATATATATATATATATATATATATATATATATATATATATATATATATATATATATATAATTAAATTTTCTATATGGTCATTAACTTATGTTAGTAATAGATTATATTAATATATATGAATTGTAATAAAAACAATTTTAAAATATATATTGCATATATAACAATATATATGAACAAATTATTTTATGTTATCATAACATAATTTGAATAATATGTTATAATAATATACATATGGACACATAAATTTCAGAATATATATATATTGAACTATGTACAAACTATATATTTTCAGAATATATTGATTTTTTTAACTACGTAACTAACGTACTAACTTATGTGTTTGTGTGTGGGAATTTATATTGGGGAAGCAAAATTGAGTATTTTGCAAAGAAGCATTGAACACCAAATAAACAACATGAACATCAATTGAAGACATGGGTGCATTGCTACTGAATAATCCTGAAGTTTAACGTCATTATTTGTTAAAGTCGAACAGGTTCCACATTTTTGAAGGACTAAGTCTTCTGATACACTGCACATAATTCTTTAAGGTAAGAAGATGTGTTCTGATAGTGGATATTAATGTATGGATAAATTTTTTTGTCAAACGTGTATGCGTAAATAGCATTTATGTAAACTGAAGATTTGTAAATATTATTTGTTTTTGAAATATATAATGATTGTTGTAAAAAAAAACAAAAAAAAAAACAACTTTTTTTTCAAAATTGAGATTATTGGTAAATTTTTCAGTATGAGCAAACAAGTATAAATAGCATTTATACTTGTTTGATAAGCTTGAGGTTGGCTAGAGAGGTTTGATAAGCCTGAGGTTGGCTTCAGATTTTATTAGGCCTGATTTTGTGATTTTAAGGTCATTTGGCTCCGACAGGAATTACAATATTTTAGGCTGGAATGCCAGAATTTGTTTTTTTAAGTTATGTGACAGACTGTAAATTAAATCAAAAAATCATTGTCCTACAGGGCAATAAAGAACTTTAAGTTCTTTATAAGACCTAGATAAAAATTCTTAAAGATTTTTATTCTGCAAACTACAGTTATCTAAATGTTTTTGACATTTTTTTCAATAAAAAAAATGCAGAAAGGTCGCAACACCATTTTGCCATTTTTGAACAGTCATACATAAAGAAATATGACTTTTCAGAACTATTGGCTGCAAATATAAAAAAATTATACACCTAAAACTGGCATTTGAAAAAAACATCGGCATTTATCAAGTGAGGGAGGGGCATGTTTCGCTGATGATCAAATGTTAGCAATTCTGTTTCATTATTACTTTTCCTCACTTCAACATTATCTGCTTTCATTTGTGTGTAGAAGAAACTTTTATTTCATATATATTTTTCTCAAAACATCTTCCTAACCTCATCTTCTTCTCATCTTCATCTTCTTCCTAACCTCAGCATCTTCTTCTCATCTTCATCTTCTTCCTAACCTCAGCATCTTCTTCTCATCTTCATCTTCTTCCTAACTTCAGCATCTTCTTCTCATCTTCATCTTCTTCCTAACCTCAGCATCTTCTTCTCATCTTCATCTTCTTCCTAACCTCAGAATCTTCTTCTCATCTTCATCTTCTTCCTAACCTCAGCATCTTCTCATCTTCACCTTCCTAATCTTCTTCTGCAATAATAAGTTTTTTAATTGCTCGTTTTATTTTAATTGCAAGTTTGGCAGGTATCAGATCAAAGCATTTCAAACGAGTAGTTAAAGCATGTTACAAAGTTACAACGAAAACAATTTTTTCTAAACTGTTATAAATAGCAGGCTCATATATTTTGCAGATAGATTTGTGGCTTTTTTTGCAAATTTAACTTAATAGATAAATACCATTTATTTTTAGTTCTGCTGTCATGGGACATTTGCTTTAGAAAAGACTTGATGAGAACATCTATTTAATGTACAATGTCTTCAGGTATCATGTACAATGTCTACAGGTATCATAAAAAAAATAATCTTGCATGTCTTTCAAAAATAAGCTTGATATTTAAATAAATGCAAACGAGCACTACTCGATGTGACATAAACACAGAATATATTCAGTGAAAAAAGTAGGTAACTCTAAAGTTTTTTGTTTTTGCACTAAATGAATGTAGGAAATACATATTTTTTACTAAATGCTGTGTTTATTGACACAAGGAGTGCTTGAATCCATGTCATTTTTTTATTAATTGATAGATCTTCCTTTATATACTAACTATCTATTAAAACCTGTTTTAAAATCTATTAAAATCAATAAAAACGGAGTTATCGTTTTTGCACCCATATCTTTAATTGGAATGCTTGTGGAGCAACAGAACATTATCACTGTATATTAGATTAAAATGGGTGTCACCACATAAATTACTGGATACATCCAAAAACATCTATAAACAATAACTATCGTGAGTGGAAAATAAGGGAATCTCTTAAAATGATAATGATCTAAAATTATATATTTTTTTAAATAAATTTTTTTTTAATTTCTGAAAAATAAAATTTAATTTAAAATTATCTAAAAAAATTGAAAAAAAAATTAATTATAGTAAAATAATAAAATGTCTTATAAAACTATAACATGTCTAATATTACTTGATGGTTGTAAAAGAATAAAATAATAAAATATTTTGAAATAATAGTTTTTTACATAATTTGTAACGTTCTATTTACATTTTTAATTTTATACAAATCTATTTTACAATATTTATTTTATTCTCGAATAAATATTTAAAAAAAAAAGACTTAACAGAAAAAAACTACAAACAAAATTGATTACAAGACTCAAAAATCTTTTACTTAAAAACACAAGAAATTAATATTAATTAGAATACAAGATTTTGTTTAAACAGTCGATCTAACCTACTTAAATGTCATGTTATCTTAAATTTTCTTGCGTTGGCTGAAATGCAACTAGATTTTTTTGCGTTGGCTGAAATGCAACTAAATCGGAAAAAGCTCCTAACATTTCAAAATTAGGATTAATGAACACCTCAAAAAATTATCTATGAATAGTAAAAATCTACTTGTGAACCTTTTTTTTTGCACCAGTGAAATAAATTGAAGGTAAAAGCATTCAACATTAAATGGAAAATCTCTTTACATTTTTTTGTAAAGTCTATATTTAATATTTATTCTAGAGTTTTTATGATCAAATAAATCACTTGAAAATGTAGAAGGATATTTACAAAACTTGTCAAGAATAAAAAATATTGCAAAATTTTTAAAAATTTGGAGTATAACAAAATGAAACATAAAATATAGTAAAAAAAAAAAAAAAAAAATTAAAACTATATTGTAAAAAAATATCCTTAAAAAGATTTTATTAACAAAACAATTTCTTTACTTTAAAAGGTTGACTGAGTTGTTTAACAAAGTCATTATTTGTTGTAAATTAACTCCTGTCAAAAATAAACTTGTATAAAAAAAAAATTGAAAGGGCTTTGAATAGCGATAAAAAATTTCAGAGAATTATTTTAATAACCTCTTCTTCATTCTGGACCATTTCATCAACCTTCTCTTTCACTACAAATAAATTTAAAAGAATTTTTATAAATATAATAATTATAAAATATATAATTATCAAACATCAAAAACTTATAGAATTATAAAATATATAAAATTATATAAAAAATTTATAAAATATATAAAATTATATAAATTTATAAAATTAATAAAAATAATTTTTCATTTAAAAGATTTTCTGTGTTTAAAAAAACAACCTATTTTTGTAATTTCATAATTGACTATCAAATTGTCTGGTATTGTTCTTAGCTCAACCAATAAATATGATGTGTTTGCTATTGTTACTGTACATTTTATTTCAATCTTTAATACACGATTAGTTGTTAATTCAGAAAATTTTTGCTGAACCTAAAAATGCAAGTAAACCTTCAAAAAAGAAAAATTCATTTATTCTTTCCTTCAATATTTATTACAAATAAATTTATTCCTTAAGACTCTTGAATTTTTTAATATTTATGTATTTTCTTCATTTTTCATATTATTTACATTATTTACTTAAAAAGATCTTTTACTTTTTAATTAAAAATTTTTTACTTAAAAATTTACTTAAAAAGTTCTTATTATGCAATCATATTTAAATTTCAATGGTGTAAATTTTTAAATGAGAAACTTTTGTACCAATATTCTTTATTAAATACTTGTTAATGATATTTAGCAGGACAGAGTTATAAATGTTTTGCAAGCTTTTGTTTATCTATTTTGTTCATAAAATTAACTCATAGAACTGAAGATATAGTTAAAAAAACAAAGCACTTAAATTGTAATATATATATAATAATAAAATTTTTTCTAAACTTTTCTAAGGCTTTTCTTCCAACAAGGCTACCTATTAAACTAATAAAAAACCGCACAAGATTGTGCATCAACAGCAATCATGGTAGTATTTGTAGAAAAGAAAAAGAAAATGAACCTAACAATAATGAGATAGAAAAAAATAAAAACTACATTAAAGAGAAGATACTAAATTTGCAATGAACTTAAAGTTTCTGTTTTTACGATTACTTTTGGTTTCTGTGAGAAACCAAAGGTAATCAGAGAATATTTTAAGCAGAGAGCTCAGAGTGTTGCCATTCATCAATATAAAAAAAATCAACAATATTGCAAGAATTATTAACAGTTGAAAATTAAGTTTTGTTTCAGTTAAATTTCACTAACCACTGTATGCCACAACCTGTTACAAAAGATATACCAAGCTGTCGCAACTAAATATTATTTTTGTCGCAACTAAACATTAATTGACTGGGCAATTGAGTGTGATCACACCGGCTTCCTGACCAAGCCTGTGTAATGAATTTATTAATATACTTTTATCATTTATTAGTTAATGGTCAAACAAAATAAAAAAAAAACATGTAAAATAAACTGTAATATATAGAAAAGAAACAGAAATAACATATGTTTAACAAACAATAATATTATTTAGGCAAATGTTTTAGGGGAGGCCATAGGGCTACTATCCCCATGGCCTCCCCTATAAATTATAACTGACTAAAATATTGAAACTAATCAATCAAAAAAACAATTCAAAAAAGCTCTTTAAAAATAAAAAAAGATTATATACTTTTATCAGAAGAATGATAAAAAAACAAATAATTTTTAAAAAAAACCTACCACATTAGACACTTTTATAGATGAGTCAAAAAGAGTGCAATGTAAACTCTAAAAAAATATTAAAAGTAATAATAAAAAAAAAAACTTGTAAATAAAAGAGTGAAATGCAATTTCTTTTTTAAAATATCAACTTATTCTTATTTATTACAAAATACAGAAAATGGCACTACGGAAGACCAATTAACCATGAAGTTAACATCTCTTTTTTTACCAATATTTAGCCAGATTTAGCATCAGTTTAGAATTCTATAATATGCAAATAATTTTAAAATCATTTGAAAGGTTTAACCAACAGAACGTTTTGTAATTTATAATTTAAGACAAATGGTGTCATGCGAAAACTCACCAAACAAATGATTGCTTTTTGGCAATAAAACTATTTTATTTAACAACATAATTGCAAGTACACAGAGTTTGCTAGAGCAATTCAAAATTTTCTTTCATAAAAGTAGTCACAGATGGTCATACTAACTCTTGTTAAGATAGCAGCAAAACATTTTTTTGAAAGGAGTTTAAACTAGTTTGTTATCGAAGTTAGTTTTTGCATTATTGTATTTTTTGCTTTTGGAAGATTTTTTTAATTATCTTAGCAAATATTGGTCATGTGATTTTCAATTGGTCAGGTGACAGTGTGCCACCATAGGATTAAATTCTACATAAAAAAAATTTAATATCCGCGGGTAGAAATTTTATCTAAATATTATCTGCATTTTTATAGTTTCATTATTTTTGATAAAAATTAAGTAAAACTCTTTATTTAACTTTAGTAACTTTTTTTTTAAATTTTACTTGTTTTTTGAATTCACCTTATTCTCACCTTCTATCAACTCTATAACTCCGAACACTCTATACCAGGATCCTTGACAAACAAGGCCGCTGCACAGAGAAACAAGTTAAGTGCAGTACTACCAGGAACATGGTAGGGATTGAACTCAGAATTTCTCGCTTATGAGGCAAGTGCTCTACTATCATACCACTACCATATTTATTTAACTAAGAAGTAAAAAACTTAGTAAACTATTTTTTAAATTAACAAAATATATTGTCGAACCTAAAGCATATAAATTTTAAAGTACATGTTAATCATAAAATATAATATTATGGCAAATTATATACCATATCATTGGTTAGAAGCAATTATTAAAAGCAAAAAAACTGCGGCCAATAGCACAATATAAGTCATGTCTCCAACAAAACAAAACTAATAAAATAAAACTTGTCTTCAAGTTTGCGCTACAAAGTTAAACTATTAAGCATAACAAAAGTTTGCTTTTACTTACAACATGCTAAATAACATTCTAAACTTTGCTCACAAAAAAGCTCATTGAAATACCAAAATACTTAAACAAACAAATATAAATCTTCTCACAAATTTGTGTATGGCTTTTTACCAATAATTACATTCAAGCAGCATTATGTACAAACCCAAATCTACAAAATTAATGAAATACAGCAAATGCTGTTTTATTTGTGAAAGTTTTTTTAATCACTTTAACACATAAAACAGCATTTGCTGTTCATCACTCTTTTTGATCACTTAAAACAAGATGATCTTGAATCTGATCTTACTTTTGAAACAGATTGGAGCTTGAAATGGATTGTAAATTTTAAACTCCAACAAAACTCAGTTATTTAATGCAAACAATTACTTCAATATTATCAACATTCCTAGATTAATAAATGACCTTTCACTCTGTTCTCTTCTTTATGTCTTCTTGAATTATTATTCACTACTGACCTCTCATGGAAAACATAAAAAATCAATTGTTAAGTTAGCATTTGCTAAGGCTGCTTTGTGCTTGCTATTTTCTCACTTCTGATTCCATTTTCTACCTCTACAAATCTCTTCGCCCCTGTATGGAATACTGTTGTCAAATTTGGGCTGGTTCTTCTAATAATCCTCTTTCTCTTCTAGACAAGGTCCAAAAACGCATTGTAAATGTAGTTAGACTTGCTCTATCAGCTAAGCTTGAGCGTCTCTCTAATCATTGTAAAGTTGCATCTCTTTCTTTTTTCTACAAATACTATCATGATCACTGCTCAAAGGAGCTATCGCCTTTAGTTCCATCAGCAAAAACTCTCACTTGACTCGTCATTCAGCAAAATCTTATCCTTTTACTGTCCCTGTATGCTATAAAAACTTTTATTTGTCTAGTTTTTTTCCATGCACTTTAACTCTTTGGAACTTTCTCCCATCTTCATGTTTTCTTGACTCAACAACCTACAACTTTTCAAGTCTTCTGTTAAGCATTTCCTTTTTCTTTAACTTATTCTTCATTTTTACTTTAACTTATTCTTTAACTTCTTTATTTTCTAAAAACTCCCAACTTAATAATGGCTGCTTGCAGCCTTGTTGGGAAAATTAAAAATCAACCCTACTACATAACAAATTAAATACTTTTAACAACTTTAATTAAAATAAATAAAATAAATCTGGTTACATAATACTTAGTGGTTTAAAAATTTGCTAAAAAAAGTTGCCACGTAAAATGTCTTCTTTATTTTTTTCTTCTAATGAATTCTATTATTTTCTTTAATTCTCGTCATCCAGCAACTATATGACAAACAAACTTATGTATTTAATTCATAAGAGAAAATTTAGTAGTACTCTATTGTTTTTTTTTGCGATTTTCTTATCAAAAAAAACTTCAGATAATAAAATCAAACATTTAATTTAAAATAATTTTAAAAAAATCACACTCTAAACTCTGAACCCACAATTTTTGACCTTAGAGTCGGAACTCCTGAAATATCGATGGAACTCCCAGAGTGTAAAAATAGTGGTGATATAAAATAAAATATTTTTTTGTGATATTATTACATTAGTGAAAATATTTTTAATAAACATAAAAAGTTTTTATAAATAAATTTTTTAATTACCTGATATGGATATTTAAGTTGATTTTGAAATTCGTTTGGCAACAGAAAAAACTGTGTTTCAGCATTAACATTAAGTGTGCAACCAAAATCAAGGTAATTAACGGAATACTGTAAAAGATTTATTACAATATATTTATTATATACATTAAACATTTCCTAAACTAAATTACAACAATATTCTAACAATATTGATGAATTTTATACTAATGAATATACTAAAGGCCTCTTCTAAAGCTGTTTTAACTTGACATTTTTTATGATGTTTCGTGCACAACATAGTATGGTGCAAATGTATGTAAAAATCTTATAACCATAATATGAGTGCCTGTTTTAAAAGGTGTCTTGTTTTTCATACAATTTGATCAACGTTACATATATTTAACAAGATGGGCATTACATATATTCTGATAAAATTTCCAATTTTATCAGAATATATAATATATGTGTGTGTGTGTGTGTGTATATATATATATATATATATATATATATATATATATATATATATATATATATATATATATATATATATATATATATATATATATATATATATCCTTATAGTGTAGTCGAAAGAAACTTTTATGGTAAAAAAAGTCTCTTTCGACTACAATTTTTTTACCTTGTCTTTTAAGCTGCATTTTATTGTCGTCGAAATGTCAAAGCAATTAAATTAATGCGGAAGTACATTTAATTTTTATTGTTTTAAAAAAAAACCGCAATAATGACTAGAAAGTTTTTTTTAATTAGTGGTGTTTTTGTTTTATTAAAAAACATTTTTAAAACATGCATAAGTGTTGCTACATCGACTATCTTATAGCCTGCTGCTACAAGGGAGTGTAGCAGCAGGCTATAATATATAAAGGAGCCTGACTTGCAACGAAGTGCTGCTACATTGACTGACAAATAGCCTGACTCGCAAGGGAGTGCTGCTACATCGACTGACAAATAGCCTGACTCGCAAGGGAGTGCTGCTACATTGACTGACAAATAGCATGACTTGCAAGGGAGTGCTGCTACATCGCCTGAGGGTTTGGTTTAAGCAGGCAGTCTATCATTTAAAAAAAAAAATTTTTTTTGAAGTTTTTCAACATTATCTGGTCAGGCTTATTAATGCACTTTTTAAAAAACAGTTTATGGGAAAAACTTTGTGACTACCATGCAAGACTTAGGGGAGCGACCAAGTCTTTTCTGATTTCAACAGAACCAGTTGTTTCATATTTTATACACATCTTTCTAGCATCACTTATTGATGTTTGATATTTTTCAGTACATTGCTTGTAGTTTAGGCTCTTTTTTTCATCACAAATGACCCAAGATCTGTCCAATGAATAAATTATAATAAACCATTGTTAATATTAGTTTTACTTTTTCTAAAATAAATTCTAAAAAATCTAGTTTAAAATGCTAATTTTTAATAACTTTAACAAAATTCTATTAATAACAATCATTTTTAGTAAAAAGTTATTGATAAAACATATTTTATAATAAAAACTCAGATGTTTCTTACTTTTCATTGTCACATTTATTTCGGACAAAAAAATTGTAAGATAGTTATAAGATTTCATTCAATATTTACTTTTGCAATGAGTTAAAAAGAGTTATAAATATTTTTGTTTTTCTTTGAAATTAAATTAAAAAAACAAACATAAAATTACTGCAGTCTGTAGATCCAGACGTAAATAATTGTTTTTATTGGATTTTATCAACAATATTATATATATATATATATATATATATATATATATATATATATATATATATATATATATAAACAACTTTTTATGGGACTAAAAGTTTCATGCCTATACGTCAATCATCAGCCATGTACTATATCAAAAGCAAATAAAAAACCGTTAATAAAATTTTTTATTTAATCTAAATCTGAATCATCTAAAGAAATCAAAAGAAACTTAAAGAAGAAAACTTTTCGTTTGTTATTAAGTGGAAAATTATCAAGCACTGCCAAACATATAATCCATCGTCCAAAATTTGCAACCTTTGTCTTAATGAAAAGTTTTTTTTTTCAGGGGAAAATCTGTTAAACAAAAGGAACGAGTTGGTTTCAAATTGTAGGCATAAAAATAAATTTCTTCTTTCATTTTATGATACTGGCAATTAGCTGATTTATATACAATTTTTTTTGACGTTTTTTTGCTTTGTCTCTATAGAGATATCAGATGTTGCTCCACAGTATTTTGTAATTTTTTAACCGTTTTTTGTTTGTTTTTGATATAGTACATGGCTGATGATTGCCGTATAAGCATGACACTTATAGTTTTATGAAAAGTTGTTTTTCTCAATGTAATAAATAAATAAATATAAATAAATATATATATATATATATATATATATATATATATATATATATATATATATATATATATATATATATATATATATATATATATATATATATACTGCTCTATTTAGAAAGTTATTTAAATTCTTTATTATTGAGCGTTTTTAACGGAAATAGAGTTTTGTATTACTATTGTAATACAACATTAAACATCAATTAATGTGTATATATATATATATATATATATATATATATATATATATATATATATATATATATATATATATATATATATATATATATGAACAGCTCACAAAATAACAGGTGGTCAAGGGTCAATGACTCTGAAATGACCAAAATTGTTGTTTTGACCTAAATTAAATTATTGAAAGGTTGATCAGTTAAAAAATCTGAATTAAAAAAAATAATTTGTTTTAGTTTTTACTAATAATTTGTGTTTTGAAATTACTAAATATTCATAATAACATCTAACTAAATATTCATAATAACATCTATAATTATATAACTATTAAATATTATAACATTTAAAATATTTTTCGGCTGAAATATTTTGAGAATGCAACTAAAATATTTTTATTGTTTATGATGTTTATTAACAATTGTAATTGTAGATTAAACAATGCAATACGCTTTTAATTCTAACAATTGATGCATATTATTTATGACATTAGCTATATCTTCATTTTTTACATATCTTTAGTTTCACTTTACAATAAAATCAAAGCTTGCCTTTTATATACTTGATTAAAGTTCTTATTTTGTTTTTTTCTGTTTTTAATTAAAATTACTTAAAACTTTTTCTTTTTTTCTTATTCAATTTTTGTCATTAAATTTTTTTTATATTAAATCTTTTTAAAAACCTCTTGAAAATTTGCCACTATTTTACAAAATTAATACATTCATAATACATTTGCCATCATTGCATAGATTGAATGTTATTAACCCATTTAGCAATTTAAATAAACTAAAGTTATTATTAGTGCGTTTTTTCTAATTGAGAGAATGATTAGTGTCCATAATTTTTATTGTAGCATTTTATAAATCAGTAGTCTAAAGTACTAATTATTCAGTTTCAATTATTTTAATTAATTATAATAATGGGCTAGATTCATATACTTCATATCATTTTCGTATCCTAAAATTTCATATTTTCTAGAGCTACATCTTTTTTCTGATTTCTTTTTTAAATACTCTACTGATTTCTATTTCTTATTTAAGCTAGTTTTTAAATAAAAGATAAAACAAAACAAAAATTTAATCACTAACAAGCAAGAAAAAAATGAAAAAGGAGAGGAGTAAAAAACTTATTCCTCCTTTTGTAAAAGTTATTTTGAGATTTTGCTCAAGATCTTAAAAATTTTTCAAATACCCCTAATAATATTCAGAGAAAAATTGAAGAGTATGTTAACCTCGTAAAAAAAAAAAAAAAAAAAAAAAAAAAGCAAGGGAAATTACATATTCACAAAAATAATAACTTTTTATATTTAAATAATTTTAAATATTAAAAAAATAATTATTAAAAAATAAAACATTTTTATTTTGTGAAATATTTATGTAATGAAATCAGGATTAGCATTAAAAAACCACCACCAAACAAACTCCCTAGTAATTTAGCTTATTTTAGATAATTCATTGTGAATTATAAGCAAGGCTTCTAAAAACTATAAAATAGTAACTACCTATAAATAGAAAATATTGAACACAATATTTTTGTTTATACTGAAAACTTGATTACTTGACTTAGACTTGATCATTTGACTTGATTATCTTGACTATATATTTGCACAAACTTTTTTTTTTAACTTTCTAGTTTTATTCTTTTGACCAAACAAAACCAAATGAGGAAAATCTATTTTTATTGATCCTGAACTAGCAGGTTTGAAGTTTATAAATAAATTTGCAATATCTTATAGGCAACTTTTTATGAATAGATTTCTTATTTCTTTGGCTAATAATGGATTACAATTCAATACACAATATTATTAATATAATATGATTGCTACATATTCTTGTTGGTTAATGAAAGTTGTTTTTCTGCTCCAATGATAAAATCCAATGAAAAAATATATAAAAATTAAGATTACAAAAATACAAATAACTTATTACATTTTTATTTTTAGTTTTTTAACTTGTTTTTAGAAATACTTGTATAAGTATATACATTTCAACAGATCATCTATTTTTTTTTAAACCGGAAAAATGTTTGGACAAAATATCCTGAAAAAATTTGGAATATATTTTCCTTTATTTTTTTCTTAATTTTGATTTTTAGCTGAGTTCTTTTTTTTTTAAATCTAAAGTTTTTTTTCTTCTAATTTTTCAAAATTTTCTATGAGTGATGAGTGAAAAAACTTAAAAAACAAAAATATACAACTAAACTTGTATGTAAAGAAAATGTTTTGGATAAAACTTAAAGCTGAAAAAAATCTGGAATTCCGGAAATATCCGCAAAAGGATAATCCCTGTAATCATAAAAACTTTGTGATTATTTTTTTTTTATTTGCAATTACTCCCAACAAGGCTGCAAGCAACCACTATTAAGTTGGGAGTTACTAGGAAAAAAAAAAAGAATAGAGTTATAGAGCAAGGAAACGGTTGACAGAAGACTTTACAATGCGTTTTTGGACCTTGTCAAGAAGAGAAAGTGAATCGTTAGAAGAACCAGCCCAAATATGACAACAGTATTCCATACAGGGACGAATAAGAGATTTGTAGAGGTAGAGAATGGAATCAGTAAGGAAATGGCGAGCACGATAAAGAGAAGCAACCTTAGCAGAAGCTAATTTAGCAATCGATTGTATATATGGTTTCCATGAAAGGTCAGTAGTAAGCGATAATCCAAGAAGACGTAAAGAGGACGACTCAGTAAGAGGATTGTCATTCATTAATATAGGAATGTTGATCATATTATGGTAGTTGTTTGCAGTAAACAACTGGGTTTTGTTAGAGTTGAAATTCACAAGCCACTGAACCCCAATCTATTACTGAAGTGAGATCAGATTCAAGATCAGCTGCTTGTTCTAGGCGATCGAAAAGAGAAGACTTTTTGTCAAGACAGGAGTATAAAGTTGAGTCATCAGCAAAAAGAGCTACTTTAGATGAAAGGTTTTCAGGAAGATCAATTATGTAGATAAGAAACAAAACAGGGCCCAGGATGGAACCTTGGGGAATCCTAGAAGTTACTGGAAATAAAGAAGAGTGTTGGCCTTCAAGGATGACTTTAATAAACCGGTTAGAAAGAAATGATTTGATAATCTCAAAAACTTTCCCAGAAACACCATATGAAGCAAGCTTATGGAGAAGACCAGCATGCCAAACTTTGTCGAAAGCTTTAGATATGTGGAGAGCAATAGCCCTAGCCTCACCGCCTCCATCTAATGCACGATAAAATCTTTCAGTTATAGCAGTTAGCAAGTCGGCCATAGAGCGAGAGGATCGAAAACCGTATTGATTGTCTGACAGCAGTTTATTTGACTCAAGATGAGATGTGAGGAATTTGTTGATCAAAGACTCAAAGACCTTGCTAATAACAGAAAGAAGACTGATCGGACGATAATTGGAGGGGTCAGAATTTTCTCCAGAGTTTTTGAATATTGGAACCACAGATGCCATTTTCCAACAAGCAGGAAAACAAGACTCAGTCAAACACTTGTTAAATAGTTTAGAGAGAATTGAAGAAAGTTCTGGAGAACAATTCTGCAAGACTGTGACAGGAATGTTGTCTGGACCACAAGCTGTAGACGAGTTTAATTGAGATATGACTTTAGCAACAGAAGCCAGAGTGATTTGAATGTCTAACAATGGGTCAACCTGTTTGACTGGAATGGAAGGAAGAGAATGTCCATAAGATTCAAGAGTGGAATTAGAAGAAAAGTTCTTTGCAAACAGTTCTGCCTTATCCCTGGGAGAGGTAACAAGATCAGTCCCATGAATGAGAGATGGAATGTTAGATCTACCCTTGTTAACAATGCTGTTGAAGATTTTCCAAAAGTCTTTAGAGCCTAACTTCTGTGATAAGATGCGAGATTTAGTGAACTGAGAATAATGGAGTTTAGCATTAGAAAGCACCTTTTTACATCGATTTCTTGCAATAATAAATAGCCGTTTGTTCTCAAGAGAGTTGTTCTTTTGAAAAAGATGAAAAAAATGATTACAATTGGATATAGCAGCCGCAAAAGAAGGAGAAAACCATGGAGAAGAATGAGGTTTGACTTGAAACCGACGAGAAGGAATAAAAGCTTTCATTCCAGCCTGAATCCAGGAGGTTACGTAGGATGCGCATTTGTCAGCTGAGAGAGAAAAAACATCAGCCCAAGGACCATCACGAAGAAAATCACGAAAGGAATCCCAGTCAGCTTTAGGGTAGTAGTAGGTGGTGCGATGATAAGGTGAGCCCAAAAAAGAAGTACGAGAAGAAAGATTTATAGAGATCATTGCATGGTCAGAATTACCTAAGGGAGAAAAGGGAGAAACTGAACATAAGCTAGGGTCAGAGACAAGACATAAGTCAAGGAGTGAAGGCAAATGATTAGGGTTGTCAGGAAAACAAGTCACAAAGTTAACTATTTAGGTAAGAGATTGAAAAACGCAGAAGTTAAAGGCTTTAGTACCAGCAGGATCAGTGGTGTTAGAGCCAAGCCATTCAGTGTGATGGGCATTAAAATCACCAACAACAACAATATTGGCAGAGGGGTAAAGAGAGATGGCATGGTCAATTTAATCAGAGATAACATCTAAAAGAGTGTATCATGGGAAGAAGGAGAACGATAAAGAACAAAGAGAAAGGTGATAGAGTGAAGAGGTGCTAGGCAAAAGCACATAAATGAATGGTCAAAGGATTCGAACCTGATTTTACAACAAATAGGGGAATTAATGCATATGTATACCCCTAAACCTAGCATGTGACTATTGGAGTCTTTACGAATCAAAGGATAGTACCCATCAACACTGACATCTGAAGAAGGAATTGCAGAATTTAAATTTGTTTCACTGAGTGCAAGCAAGTCTGGTGAATTTTGCAGGAGCTAAGACTCAACTGACGGAAAGTTGCTTCGCAGACCGCGAATATTTGTAAAAGATATATTAAAACATTAAGGTGGTGGGGATGGTTTTTTAGGCTTAAAATTTTTTTTACAGGGAAAAAATTGTGTAGTCATTTCTTTAAATATCAAACAAATGACGGCATGATTAAAGTTTTAAAGAAATCAATTGAAGCAAAATTTTATGATTTAAAGTTTAAAAAAAATAATTGATTCATATTTAGCTGAGGGTTAAATAATTAAAAAAATAATTAACTACATAATTTAAAAAAATGTACTTTATTTTGCTGACTTTCATGACAACTAACTACAACTCCTCTAACATACATATTGTAGGTTGTAGAAAAATGAAAGATAGGGCAATTCAAAGGAACAGGTTGAATACATTTGGTAGTAGAATCTTTGATCTCCCACCTAAAAATATGAAAACGAATATTATTTTTAAAAAATATCTTCATTGTTGTCAAATAAACTTTTTTTTATAAATCCTTTGTGTATTTAATTATGAAAAATAAACATAATGCTTGATAATTTAAAACAAGATGCTTTTGTTATTTATTAAAAGCAATATACTGTTCAAGGTTGTTAATATGGTCTATATTACTTTTAATTTTAGAAATTTGTGTATTAATCATGACCCCTGGTAGTAAAACTTGTGTTAAGTGATCAATCATGACCACTGGTAGTAAAAAAAAAACAACATCTTTTTCAAAATACAACACTTGGTGTCTACCAAGAACTGTTACGATAAATATAAGAAAAATTTTTTTTTTTTTTTACTGTAATAAAAACACTTCTACTTTTAAGAGAATAAAATTTCTTTTATTTTAAAGAAAAGTTAACAACATCTCATGAATCTTTTTCTTATAGCAGATCATAAGTTAAAAAACATGTTTAGAGCTTCTGGACACTACAGACTTGGTAAAAGTAGATATATAAAGCCAGAGTCACGGCTTTATATCTCTACTTTTTGGGACTCCGCATCCCTATTCAAAACATAATTCAAAACTTCAAAACATCTTCAAAACTTTTTCTCTCAGCCCTTATAACTTGAAAAGTTAAGAGATTATTAAAGTAGTTGAAATTTTCAACCATTTAAACAGGTTCTTATTTTGAAAAAGATATATCACAGAGATTAAAAAATTTCTTGTAAGCGGTGTGTCCACACTGATATTTCAAATTCTTTACACTCATTTAATTAATAATAATAAACACTTATTTACTTTTTCTGGTAACTAAGATTATTTCTTAATTCTAGTTAGTTGTCAATAGTTTAAAAGTTTCTTAAATCCTTTTAATATGTAAAAAAATATGATTAACCACCTTCAATCTTTTGTTTTGTATCAAAATAACCTTTCTACAATACCAATGAAAAAATTGTGAAAATAGGGCAAAAACATAAACAGACATGGTTGCTAAGGCCTTGCTAGGGGTTTAAAAATTACCTTGTTGCCTATGTTAACAAATTTTGGGAATTTTGGGATTTTTATTATTTGGGTCTATTAATTTTTGAAGAGAAGTAAAGCGATTTTTGTATTTTAGGATGCTCAAATTGCTGGAATTTAATAAATTTTTTTTTTTTGGTGCTGATTTTAACAGGGTATTATTTACCCTAAGATATTGCTAAAATTATAGAGTTATAAAATAAACCAGCAAATGAATTTTATGAATTTTTTACATACTTAACATAATAGTAATAATCATAGTTTCTTAAATTTTAGTTTTTGGCAATTTTTATAATTTTTCAAGTTTCTTTTTTCGAGTTTCTGGCATAAAATAAAACATACTTTTTAGCAATAGTTTTTCAAGTTTCCTAATTTTTTGTTCTTAGCAACTAAGTAGCAGTTTTTAATAATAAAATAAAAATAACAACATCAATTAGTATTTATATTATATACTTATAGTGTAAATACTTATGATATACAATATTAATGCAATAAAAAAAAACATAAAACAATAACATTTTAACATATTAACACTATAATAAATAGTTAATATTAAAACTTTCCAGTAAATAAGAAATACAATAGAATCATAGCATCAGCTGTGAGGTATGTGCATATTTGAAAGTTTACATCAGATGTTGAGTGTTTTTGATTAGATGACTTATTTAACTCATTTACTCAAGGTTTGGGTAAAGACTAATGGTAGCTCTCTGAGAGGGTGGCCACCAACAGTGTAGTACATAAGAGCAATTAGTGCAATGTTTTGCATAAGTATTGTCCATTTTAGTGCTTTTGGAATGTATTATTGAAGCAAAATTTATAAGCATTATAAGCTCTTTGTTAAACACGATGAAATACACTTGAAAAAAACAAGTTAGGATTGCAATGAAACAAATACTTATTGCTCAGGGAACCATGGTCAAGTTCTAATAATTATTGCTCAACAAGTTCTAACAATTATTGTCAGGTTCTAACAATTATTGATCAACCATGGTCAAGTTCTCTATAATAATTCAAGTCATGACACTTGTAACTGAAAATGTCTTTTATAAAAAATTCATCAGCACCAAATTGCTTCTTTTATCATTTTTATCCTTTATTGATCTTTCATAAACAGGGATGGCAAATTGGGATCCCGTACAAATTGTTCATCTTAATTTCCCAGGATTAGTTTCTAAAATTTCCTGGGAATTTGGGATTGTCATAAAAAAAGTAAAAGTACAAAAAATTTAAGCTTAATTTGTTTTTAAAAAATTAGTATATCAAAAATACAGGCTTTGGAATAGTAGCCATTTGGTTTCGTAGCTGTTTATTCTTTGATTTACAAAAGTTTTTTTAACACCAGAAGGTTATACAGAAGGTTTATGAAACTAAAAAAGTTTACTTAATGTCCTATTAATTAATGAAGTTATCCAAATACATAAGGTTTATTAAATAAACTTTAGTTACCATTATTTAAAAATGAAATTCTTTTCTGAAGTTAAAATTAAGCATCAAATTATTGGACCCATTATAACAAAAGTCAGGAAAATTGAAAAAATGAAAAAAAGTAAAAGATCATTCATTTAATCATGGTTTGCAAAACCCAATGAGCAGCTTGTTGCTTGATTCAATTAAGATGAACAAAAAGGAATGTGTAATAATATCTGATTTTGTAGTACATTTTACTCCCATTAAAGCAACTGTAGTAGCACTACATTGACTCAACTTTAATTTTCTCTGACATTGCATTAGATTTTATTTGACAAATATAAAAGAACAACAATCTGAAATTGTATTATGCTTTGAGTCACCGAATTAAAGAGAAGAGAAATCATTTCTGGAGTTTAGCATATCTTTATGGCCAGGTTACTTCATAAAAAATCCCAGAAGTGTTTGTACCAAAATACAAGTACCGAAAATTAAAAAAATTATGATAAACTTGATAAAACAGCAGACTTGAGTAGTGATAGTTGTGTTTAGTTGAACTAGGCTTTTTCAAACCATGAATGTGATAATTATGTCAAAACAATTAGTGAACAATTGAATGAAGTTATGGAAAAAGGATTGCAAGCAATACGTACAAAACATTCAAGAGTATAAACTTTAAAAATTCAAAAAGAAATGCTGCCATTTGAAAGTGGTAAATGAAGTAGTGGAAAAAGGATTGACAGCAGTATGAACACAACCTATAAGGGAAGAAAAATAACTTTTTAAATTCAAAAAAAAATACTGGTTTTCGAAAGTAGTAGCTCAGGATGTGATCACTTTTAAAAAATATAATTATATACTATCTATATGGTCAACAAGTGTGTAGTCCGAACGAGCATTCACAGCTGCTGGGTTTTTATGTTCAAAAAATGGAATATAATTAAGTGATTATTGACGCTTTGATTTTTTAAGGTAGTACTTTCAAAAATAAATATATATCATGTATATTTATGCATGTTCATATTATTTTTAGTTATTATTTTTTATTAATACTGGGTTATCATTTTAAGGTATTGTTTTATAATTCAATTTACTTAGGTTCATTAATGAATGAAGTATTTTATTTATATTATCATTAAATTAATCATTTTTAAGTATTTGATGAGTACTTAAAACATTAGTTTTTCTTTCTACAATTTCATTTTTTTCTATTCAATTCCAGGATTTCCAGGGAACAAATTTTTCAACCATGAAATCCCATCAGGATTGAAAATGTCTGGGACTTTTGCCATTCCTATTCATAAATATTCATAAAAAACTAAATTTTTACTTACCTCTTGTAAAATTTACTAGACCTTACATTTTAAGAGACTAAATTAAAAATGCTGTTTTAATTTTGGATCCCAGTGTTGATGGATATTAACCTTTGATTTGTAAAGATTCCAATAGTCACGAGATTGTCACAGGCATATACTCAGGTATCAATTCAATTTTTTATTATGAAATTGGGTTTGATTCAGTTGATTATTTTTATGTCTATGTCCTTTAATGTTACTTTTATGTGCTTTGCCGTAACAATTCGCTTAACCATCTTTCTCATTATTACAGATTACGGATCTCAGGAAAACTTTTACCTTATACTTTCTTTACATTAGATTTGCCACATATTTTACTTATAATCTCTATTTATCTCCTTAATCTTTTTATCTCCTCTACATAAGATTACATAATCATCACACTTCTTACTAGAATTCTTTTTGTGACTTTATTTATGATATTTTTTTTCACTAGAACAACTTCTTTGAGAACAAACATTCAAAAATTTATTACCATACCAATTGAAAACACATCTTACTACCTAACCAATTAAAAGTACATCTTACTACGTAACCAATTGAAAATACTGAAGTCTTCCAATATTCTCAAATTACTAAATCTCTTTTTTTATTTTGGCTACTGGAAAACAACATCTACAGCCAATTTTTCAAAACTCTGGAGATCTGACCCTTCTAACTATCCAATCAGCCTTCCTACTATTATAAGTCTTGGTATTAACAAATTTCTAATACCTTATCTTAAGTCCAATAACTTATTTAGATAAGAATTTTAATCCTCTCCCTTTCCTGACTTGACTTGTTAATAGAAAAATTCTTGCATTAGAGGAAAGCAGTAAGGTGGGGACTATTGCTCTTGACATATCAAAGGCTGTCAATATGTCAATCTTATAGCAGTTTTAAAGTTGTCCATGATGGACAACACTCTTCTTTATTTCCAGTAACCTCTGGGTGATCATAAGGTTTTATCCTTAATCCTCTGTTTTCTATATTAATGATTTTTATGATAATCTTACCTCTAAAGCAGCTCTATTCGCTGATGACACTAAAAGCAGCTCTATTTGCTGATGACACATAAATTAGTCTCTATTTGCTGATGACAAATATACGTTGACAAATAAACACTAAGAAATAAATCTGACGAATAAACATTGATAAATAAATGCTGACAAATAAGTTACTGACAAATAAACGCTGAGGACAAATAATCGCTGATGACAAATAAATCAGTCTTGATAAAAACAAATTCTTTGATCACTTAGACCATCAGCCAATCTTAAATGTGATAGCACTGGGTTCAAAGTGGCTTTACAACTTTTAACCTAAATAAAACAGTTCTTAAATACTAATAACAACTAGTAACAACTAGTTACTAGTAACAAACTGCTAATAACTATTGCAATATTTTAGATATAACTATATTGTTGAACAAATAATACTGAGTCCTTGATTTTATTTGATTATCTTTCACTACTTACCACTCATAGAAACCATATATCCAATCAGTTGCTAAGTTAGCATTTACTAATGTTGCTTCATTCACATTCAGTGCTTGTCATTTTCTTATTGACACATCCAATTAGTTGCGCATCCCAGTTAATTGTGCATTTAGGCCCAAAATATTTGTGTTTCAATTTTTAATAAGAATAGAATAGGGAATATGATCAGTTTGGAAGATATCAGCAATTTTAAATCAATTGACTGTGAAGATTCTCCAACATATATTGAAGCAATCAAGGAAGATGTTGAAGATTGTTTGTCTTTTAAAGAAAATAATGATAATGCAGTTGCTATGGATAACAATTCTGATGAAGAAGAAGCTATCAATGATGAGATAGACGAACAGGTAGTTAAGGTACAGACTTCTTAGGTATTGAATTTATACATTTATCTCTGATCGATATTGGCAAGCAATTAAAATGTCAAAATGCTAAAGCAATTTTAAAAGATGGCAACGATAAATTAATAAACAGCTACAAACAACTATCATCAAACATATAGTCAGTAATTATGAAAGTTAAACAAGAAAAGCTTATCATATAAGCCTAGAATTCATGACTTTTTCTTTTATGCATAATAAATTTCTTAATAAAGATTTGTTTATATAGTTAATAATTTAGTTAGCTAAATTTTTTCTCATCTTTTTCTTATTTGCGCACTCCAAGTTAATTGCTCACCGCAGTGCCTGTTTCAATTTGCACAATAAGGCGAGAGACTACTGTATTACAATTATCATTACTAATATTATCAATAATATCAATCAACCTCCTGATTTAAAATAATAAGTGACATGTCTAATGGTCAAAACATGTCAGAATGCTATAAAAAAATTTTTTTATATTTTTAGTAAATTTTCTTTTAATTAACATTCAAACTTTATTAGTGATTGCTTTTTTTTTTAAATATATATTTTTTTGCATTCACCAAATTTGGTATATAATAGTTGTACTCACCATAATTTATTACTGATATCATTCAACAACTTTTCATTATAAGTAAAATTATCAATTAAACGACAGTGAAATGTACCATCTTCCTTGAGCGGAGAAGAAACAGAAACCAATCTTTGATTATTTGATTCTTGTTTGTCTATAAATATTTTAAACTTTATTTAGGTTAATTTAAAAATGAAAAAATACAACTTTTATTTGTAAAAATGATTTTAAAATAGCACTAACCAATAAAAATAAAATGGTTAACATAACATTTTTCTATCTGAATCTTAAAATTGCCTAATGTTCTGGTCAGTAATATGCTTTTCTTTTTATGTCCCACAAAAATCAGTTCATAAATGAAGTACTAATCTGGAGTCAGATGATTTTGTTTAAAAATATAATTAAAATTATTTTTAAATAACGTACTACAATTATTGAACTTTGCAGCATTTTTGAAAAATTTAAAATTATTATTAAAGGGATCCCTAAGTGCTACAAAGATAAAAAAACTAGTGTTTGTACGTCAAATTAAACAAAGTAGAGAAAATGTCATTATTGCAAATGTATTAGTTGGTAATTAAATTTAAAAGTAAAGTCGTTTTTTTTTAACTAACACATAATTACTTACAAGAATAAGTTTTGTAACATTTTGTGAAAATATATTTGTATATTAAAATTTTTTTAATAACTTTTATTTATATATTTGTGTTATAAAGGCAATTCCACGTCCAAAAATGAATAGAAGTCAAATTTTAAACTCTTTTTAGTCAGTCTTTAACAAATTAATATTGATGTAGACACACGAAAGTTTATTTAAAATATTTCCTTAGTACAAAAATAAATTTATTTGAGTCATTTTTATGGTTTCGAAAGTGACGATTATTCTCATTTTTGCTTGATAAAAAAAATAATTATTGTAAAATGTTTTAGTTAAATTAACATTTATGTTAATTTTGCTATATTTTTTTGGTTCAAATTGATAAGGTTAAATAGACATTTTATTAGAAATTAAACTAAGACAGGGTTTGAATTAACGCAAAAAAATCTAATTGCGAAAAAAAAAAAATTTTTTTTGCTCCCCCCTCTCTCTTATAGCTTGGGCCGATGTGTGGTAATGGGGGGGGGGGGGAGAGGGTTGCGTTAGTATAAAATTGTCTCTTTAGCACGTAATTGTTATCTTTTAACATATTATCTCTCATATTTAAATGTTATCTTATATTTTTCTTGTTTGGCGGAGTTTAAATAGCGTAATTTACTGTTATAATTTACAGTTACAGTGTAATGAGCAAGTAACGTATTTAATACTATTAATTAAGTAATTGTTTTTACTTAACATGGTACTTAAAAAAGTAAAAGTAAAAAAATAAAAGTAAAAAGCAAACATTACTATATTTCAAAAAAATAAAAAGTAAAAAGCAAACATTACTATATTTCAGTGATGGATACAGGGGAAGGATGGGAGTATGCATCCCCCCCCCCAACCAGAATCTGAAAGTCTTAAAAATATCATAAAAATTGAGGACCTTGTTTTTTGCTTTTTTTTTAGGAGACGAAAACACGGTACAAAATTCAAAAATATTTCAACATCCCCCTCCACCAAAAATTCCTGGATCTGTCACTGCAATATTTAAACCACTTTAATTAGTCATAGAAAACTGTTTAAAACGATCTCACTGACAATAAAACACGTGTTTTTAATTCAACTTTTCTATTTCAATTGTTTTCCAATAAAAAGTGAAACAAAAAAATTTGGTTTAAAAAATTTGGTTTAATAATTATTAGAATTAATAATAATAATAATTAATTCTTTTTTATTAGATTTTTTCTCAAACAGTATAAAAATGCAAATAAAAGTCAGCAATTTTTTTGCTCTAAAGTTTTTAAGCCTTATTTTAAACATTAAATTTTGATAAACAAAGATAAAAAACAAGGCTGTTTTGTTAGAATGAAGAAAAAATTTGAATTAACATCTTTTTCCTTTTCAACTTTTCGCTTTAACGACCTTTTAAAAATTTTGCACACAGAGATTTAAAGTAATTTAAATTCAAAAATGTTTTACGTTGAAAAAAAATCTCCATGCAAAAGAGTAAATCATCTATTCATCTAATTCAGAATAATAAATTTTGTGTGACATTCTTTAAGATAAAACATTACTTGTAAGAATTGCTAGAAAAAAAGTAATTAAACAACCAAAAAAAAAAAAAAATTGTGAAAAGATTTTTTTAAAGAAAAAACTAATAGCGAAAGTGTGAACAGCAATCGCGATCGCGATACGCTTAATACAAGCCCTGTAAGACTTTTTTAAAAGTTCTAAACTATTTAAAACTATTACTTAATAACTTTTTTTTTACAATGTCTTTCAACCGAATTCTATTATACTGTTTTTGCAAAACTAATTGAAAAAACTTGATTAAAACTCAACTATTTAATCACAACTTTTTTTTACTTGAAAATCGAAGTAGATATTCTAAAATTGTTGTGACGTACTAACATGATTTTTAACAACTAATAATCGAGTTTCAATGGTAAAAAAATAAAATCAAAACGGAGTTGTTTTTCAGTGATTTCGGCAATTGCTTTTTGTTAGCATGCATTTATTATTACAATTTAGCAAAAAAGAAAAAAAACGTACGTATTTTTTTTTATGCTCTTTCATATGAGATCATTTGTTAGGAGCACTTAGGGATCCCTTTAATGATTTTCCTAAATACTTTGCTGCATAAGATGTTACACGTAAGTGTTGAAAATGTAAAAAGTGTTTATTAAGGCAGAGCAGAGATATTTAAGTTTACCTTTATCAGAACAAAAAACATTTTTAGGCTGATCTATTAATTTATTATTATTGTTAAATAATTTTCTAAATTTTTGATATATATATATATATATATATATATATATATATATATATATATATATATATATATATATATATATATATATGGAACTAACCCAGAGGGTTTGTGTCAATCAAAGTATGTCTGTTAGATGTCTTAGACATCTGGACATCTGTGAAATGTCTAATGAATGCCTCTGGGGTTAGCAGGGGTTGATAGCTAGGGCTAGGAAAAAATTTATCATATTTTATATATTATACATTTATGCATAACTTAGATAAATAAAAATTTTTATAGCATAAAGGAACAGATAGGGACAAAAAAAGGAAAAAGGTTCAATCAACCAAAACTCATTCTTGTCAAGCAAGAATGAGTTTTGGTTGATCGAACTAGAGATAATAACTTATTTGTGCAGCAAACATGATTTGTAGAAATTGAGAGGAGCAAACTTACAAGAATAAGATCTCAAGCTTGGTAGAAAAACCAGATCTACCTACATTTACAATGTGCTTTTGGACCATGTCTAAATATGAAAGGGTTATTAATCGTCAATATAGGAATGTCAATAATATTGGGATAGTTGATTGCAGTAGATAACTGAGTTATGTTGGAGTTAAAATCCACAAGTCACTGCATGTCCCAAGCTGTTACAAAAGAGAAATCAAACTAAAGACTTCCTTTTCCATCATATTTTCAAATATATTCAAATTTTTTAAGTAACAAACTTAAGGAAATTTTACCATGATATTTTTTTTGATAAAGAAAAGACCTATCTTTAATTCTTTGTAATATAATCTCAGGACAACATCTAAATAAAAACAAAACAAGCTAAATTGGCATTTTTTAAACTAAACTTGATCCAGTAAAATTGCAATAAAGTTCAAAAAACAGGTGTTATTTTTATTTTTAAATGTTTTAAGTTGTTTTATTGAACTCCTTGCCTTAAAATATGTAAGTGTACATATATACACATTTTTAGCTTTCAATTGCACACATAACAGAAAAAATGTCTAAAAAAAATTTTCAAAATGACAGGATTTTGTTGCTTCAAGGCAAAATTTTAAGAGTTATATCTTTGAAACCGTTTGGAATTAGATTATAAAATTTTGGAAATGTTTATAACTTATTAAAATCTTTGAGTGGTGTAAAAATCAGCAAAATCTGAGACTTAAGGTTGCATGCCTCTGAAGTTTTCACATGGGATTACCCTAATAAAATCAGAACCATGAATTAGAGATGTGATGTCAGACTTACTTTGGCTAAGTTGAAACTTTTAAAGGCTTTCCAAAAGTCTCTCAAACTTAACATCTGAGATACAAAATTTAGTAAACTGAGAATTATAGGCAGAAAACGTTTTGGGGAGAGAATTGGCTTTTAGAATCTTAAATAATTTTGAAAAATTTTCTATTATCTTGGTTATATGATCAAAAATATGCTATGTTGAAATATATGTACCTCTTTAAGTGGTCACTTAAGTTGAGGAGGCTACTAATAATTGTTATAACTCATTTTAATGGATTTGAACTTTGTTCCCTTACAAAGTAAGCTAACTGTTTAATCTCAATTAATTTAATAATTCTAATTATTATAAAACAGATGGTTTTTCATATTGTTAACTTTTGAAGTAAAAAATGTGTTAAGTCACATATTATATGTAATAAAGGGAAAAAAAAAGTAATTTAAAATTAGTAAAGAAAAACACAAATATGGTTACTTACTTAGCACATTTGATTGATGAGAAAGAAAAAAATCTGGCCAATTTTCATGTGATAAACAAGTGTCAGTAAATATGCTGCATGCTACCTTTGCCTTTAAAAAAAAAAATTTTAAAAAAATCAAATACTAAATATGACATACTTTTAATAAATTATATGAAATAGGAAAACAAAAATCAAGTTCATCAAAGTTTAATTTTCAGATCATTAAATGATAACCTTTTTGACTGAGAGTAACAACTCTCCAACAGATTGTGTAGCTTCCAACGACCTTTCATAAAGAAGCTGAAAAAAAAATTACATTTTAATGATTTATAAAGCCACAATTTTGTCCAATAAAAACATTACAAATGTCATTTGTAATGTTTTTATTGGATAAAGCGATATCATTATGATATTGCTTTATTTCAAAAAAAAAAAAAAAAAAATTAGCTTTTTGTATAAAAAAAAGTTAGCTTATTGTTTGAAAAAAAATTAGTTTTATGTTTAAAAAAATATATTAACTTATTGGTTAAAAAAAATATTGCTTAGTGTTTAAAAAAAAAAAAAAGTAAAGAAAATTGCTATAAAAAAATGAGCAGCAGAGGCACATTAATTAAAATGTTCGCTTCAGAATCAAGAGATTTAAAATTCAATGCCTGCTCTTGTCATATATGCAACTTCGCTAAGGGAGGTAGTAAGTGACTGGGGCTCCGGCCCTGGCTAAAAATAAGACTTTTTTCAAACCAAACCCTGGCCCTGGCAAAATTATAAGATTAAGCAGGGGTTGATAGCCAGGGCTAGAAAAAAAATAATAAAATACTTTTTGTATTATAATTTCATATTTAAATTTATTTATTTATTACATACTGGCACATTTATTTATTTTTAAACTTCAATTTACTTTCAACAAGATTTTAAGCAACTACTATCAAGTTATGAGTTACTTTAAACTCATAACTGAGAATTCTTGAGAACACTTTTTTAAGACTATGATGGAAATCTTGTCTGGAGCACAAACTGTAGAAGTGTTCAATTGAAAACTAACTTTAGCATTAGAAGCCATAGTGATTTTAATATTTAACAATGGGTTAATCTGTTTAACTGGCAGGAAGAGTGTGGCCATTAGATTCAAGAGTTGAATTAGAGAAGATTTTTTTGCTAAAAACTCTACATTATTCTGGGGACAAGTAAAAAGTCAGACCCATGAATTAGAGATTAAATGTTAGATTTACTAACATTATGACCAAGTAAAAAGTCAGACCCATGAATTAGAGATTAAATATTAGATTTACATGACACTGTTAAAGATTGAGCAAGTCTCTAGATCCTAACCTCTGAGATAAGAAACAAGATTTATTAAACTTAGAATAACAGAGCTTAACATCAGACAGACCTTTTTAGATTGGCTTCTTGCAATGATAAAAAGACATTTATTTATAAGAGAGATGTTCTTGTAAAAAAGATGAAAAAAATGATTACTGTTTAAAAAAACAACTGCTCAAGATGGTAAAAAATGTGAAGTAGAATTAGAGTTGAATTAATATTAAAGAGAAGGAATAGAAGCTTCTAAGCTTTTATTCCTGAAGAAATAAAGCTTCCAAAATGCGCTTTATGAACACATATTATGGATATAAACATATATTTTTGCTATTTATTAAGATGCTGGCAAACAATATTTTTTCATATTTATAAACTTTAGTATTTATATGGTGTAATCTTTTCCAAAATAGAAGATGATCAGATGAATGTGTGCTGTGACTCTAAAACGACAAGAAATGGAGGCATAGTCTTAGATTAGAAAAAAAGTGTCTTATCGGACAATGTTTGTTAGAGAAGATTAAAGTAATTTAGGTATGTAGATAGGTAGAAGGGTAGATGTATAGCCTGTAGATAGGTAAAAGCTTTAGGAGAAAATGGTAGTGGTAGAAGTAAGAAAACTTGAAGAGAATACCTTATATATTTTATGAATGAGGTTTAGTTAATGAAAGAAAATGCTCTAGATTGTTTATATTAGAGAAACAGCATAATTTTTATTAATGGTTTAATTTTTTTCTTTTCTTTTTCCGAAGAGAATAATGTTATTCACCTTCAAAAAACAATAATTATACTTTACATCATGCTAGTCAATATTGCAATATAATAGGACTACACTACAAAAGCCAAAAAACCCAATCCCTATCCCAGTTTTTGAAAACAGCTCCAACATTCTTAGAGATCTTGTGAGGGCGGTGAGGGATGAAATTGTTCAGTATATTCCAACCAAGATTACATTTGTTATAAAAAATACGCTAATAAATACTTTTGTGTAAAATTTTTGCGCTGCTATGCTTCTCACAAATATACGGCCTCATTCACACATTATAACACAAATCTGAATAAATATACAAGGATAAAGTAAAAAAAGATTATGAACCAAAGTATATAATAAAGAACAAATATTTGATATACTGATTTTGGAGACTGTTGATGTCTACAGGTGTGATGGTGTAGTGCATTAGTAAGTACCGTTTGGTCGTCTAGTATGGTCTCATTATGTTTTCGTTCACTTTCAAATCGGGTGAATAGAAAGCTAAACACACTCACTTCTTGCCCTTATGGGCTAGCACATCAGAGCCAGACATAAGATCTACAGTATGGATTTCAATTGATCGAATGCACACATTAGTCACCATAGGCCACAAGCCATAACTCTTAGCCAAAAGAGCTACTGCTCTGTGCTGGTGTGGAATGATGTGCTATAAAGTGATATTTCAGATCTAAGAATATAGTCAGCGAGCGCTGATCCGACGTGCATTGTGGAGCTTCCGACTGAACGTGTGCGTGAGTGTCAGCGTAGTCAATAGGTTATTGATCGCCGTAACCACATCCAGCGGAATAACTTAATGTCCGTTTTGTCATTGTGGAGTACATTGGAAAAAGTCGGGGCTCACCAGCCACAAAGAATAAATTTTTTGTTTATGCGACACAATGATCGCAAAAAGTGACCATTCAACTTTTGTTGAATGTGGCCAAAAGAGCACATTCAACTTTTTTGTCTTGAGGCAAGTGAAAGCGCAACTGTATATATGTTTTAATAAATGGTACCTAGAAACTTAAATCTTTGTCACAAAAAAAAGTGCTGCTTTTTTTTTTTTGTTGTTAAACTTTTTAAAATTAAAAAATTATTATTTGCAAAGCTGCAATTTTAAGAATAATGAAAGAAATAAATAATTTACATATTTTAATTCATTTATACAAATGGAGAGAAAAGAAAGAAATTTATTTATATTAAAAATTAAAACTATGTTAAATGATAATTTAAAAAATGTAATATTAAATTTATTTATTTTTAAAAAACAAAAAAAATTGAAACAAAATAGACATTCCTCAATATATAGATTTACAAAATAACACTTCTAGATTTGTTTTTTTTTAAAGTAGTAAATTTAACTTGTTTTACTGTAATTTATTTTATTCCAGTAGTTTAAAAAAATTAATGTAAAATGAAAAAATAATAATAATAAAGTTAATTTTATGACATCAAAATCATGACAAGCTAATGTGCTTAGCCGTTTTTATTTAAAGAGATCCCCAAGTGACGAGACTTTTGGGGACCAAGAGTTTTGTTCATATCATAGATAAACATTAGAAAATTAGTCAAAAGTTAATTAAACTATCCAAAACAAATTATTGAATGAGATATTAACAAAAGCATTTTTTGTTTTGTCATTATACTTCTAGTTGAGCTAAATTAATTTTGAGCCTAATTTTAGGCTCTCAAATCTGCATAGTTTTTTCCATTAAAAAAACATCTGGCTTCAATAATGAATGTTTTTACTCACCACAGAAAAACTCCGTTCAGTTTTACACAACGAGATTGTGTTTTCCCCTTTATATTTAGTCTGCAGTGTTTTAAATTTTGAAAGACTTAAAAATCTTTTTTTTTTTAAATCTTTCTCACTGTGCTGGGTATTACGGATGTTGCTGAATTAAATTTATAATCATTTAGCATTATAATTTTTTTAAATTTTTTCCTTTTTTTTTTTTTCAATTTCAAATTTCAATCACAATATTATTTAAATTTTAGAAGACTAAAATTCTTTTGTTCAAATAGATTTCTTTTTAAATAAAATTCCTAAAAATAACTTGTGTATTTAAAGAATGTTTGATCTTGATATCGCTCTAAATAAAATATAAAAAAATGGAATCGCGTTTTTTATATTCTATTCAAGACTTCTTGTAAAAAAATTTTTTAGTTAGAAGCTTATATTATGTGTTAACAACATATAAGATATAAATAGAAACATTTATATAGCTAATTTTTGCGAGTCTTTGAGTAAATTTATTAGTTCAGTAACTGTAAGTTACTGTAGTAATTAACTGGTTGTTTTGATTTAGTTTAAAGGTAAATTAACTGTGATGTATTCTATCCATTTAGTATATCAAACTAAATAAAACTTTAAATTAATATCGACTTCCAAGCAGAGATTTAAAGTGATTTAAATTTAAAAGCGCTTTATTTTGAATAAAATCTCAACGCAAGAGAGCAAAGATCATACTTCTATTCAAAAGATAAATTTAGGGTGACATACTTTAGGGTGACATATTATGAACTTTATGACCCCTAATAAAAAAAACTTGAACAAAAATATTACTTTTTAAGAATGCCCTAAAAAAATGATAAGAAAAGAAAAAAAAATTAACAAAATTAAAAAAAAATTAAAAAAATTAAAAAAGGAAAAGTATTTTCTAAAAAAAAAAACGAAAGTGTGAAAAGGAAACACGATTTGCGATCATGATACGCTTAATTTAAGTCCTGATACAGATGACTACACTGCTGTTTTTTTTGTTTTTTAACTCAACTATATCAATAAAAATTTAGGAATGCTCATCATAAATTAATAGAATTTAGTTAGGTACTATTTTTATCAATTGCTGGGATACTTGCTTTAATGTAGATACTTCCTATGCTGTCGCTTAGGGTCGCTTAGCCATTTTAACAACTTTTTTTTAAATGTCTGCTCTAACCCTCTAAATGTGTTCTATATAATAAAATAATAATGGAATTAAATTTTTATCAAAAAAAAAAAAAATTTTAGAGGTAGCTTAAGACCTTTAGCTCAGACTTGTAATTTTTAGAACTTGTCCTACCAACAACAGATGACAAGTAGAAAAGATTGATAATAAACAACTAATTGTTTATTATCAATCTTTTATAAACCTCTTTGTAGCAAGAATTAATTATATTTTATTAACAATCTGCAATATAAAGCATAACATGTATATTCTTGTACAGGGCTTAAAGTAATGTTTTCATAGTGGAGTACATCACGCAAAGTTTGTCTTTTGAATAGAAGCATGATTATTTGCTATTTTGCGCGGAGATTTTTATTCAACCTAAAGCACTTTTTAATTTAAATTACTTTAAATCTCTGCGTAGAAGCAAATTAAAAAAAAAAAGTTAAAAAAGAATTTTTCATTCATTCTATTTTTTTTAACAAAACAGCATTTTTTAATCTTTTTTTAAAAGAAACGTTGCTCCAAATTAACTTATTAATAATGATTTGAATTATTATTTTATAAACAATTTTTATATAATTATTTTTACTACTTTAAGTATAATAAAATATATATAAATTCGTTTTTTATTAAATAAAATTTCTATTAGTAAAATGTGCTAATAGAAACCAGCAACTTTTTTGCTTGCACGTTTTTCGCTTTGTCGAATAGAATATGAAAAACGCAACACCAATTTTTTTATATTTTCATTTTATTTATAGCGACATCTAGACTAAACATTTTCTATAAATAAGCAAGTAGTTTTCAGGAATTTTATTTAAAAAGAAATCAATTTGAACAAAAGAACTTAAAATTTACTTATTCAAATAATTTTGTGATTGAAATTTGAAATTAAAAAAAAAATTAAAATTTAAAAAAAGTGTGATAAAACAAGGGAGAATGAAGAAGAAAGTTTTTTTTTCTTAAATCGTAAATTTTGTTAACGTTTTGAATTATATATTTTTTTCTTGAAAATAGTTTTAAAAAAAGAAACATTCTATTACAAACATCCAAGCAGTGATTGCAAATTGCAAGTTAAAATAAAAATCATAAAAAATTTAAATTAAATTTAATAAATTATTTTACTTCTGTTCGAAAAAAATTTTTTCTAAAAAAATAATTTTAGCATATTCTTATACTTAATATAATTCGATTTATTAAACAAAATTTTTTGTTTCACTTTTTTTTGGAAAACAATTAGAATAAAAAAAATTTGAAAGAAAATATCAGTTTAAAAACCATTTGAATGAAAAACATAATTATACTTAAATTTTTAATAGTACGCTTGATTAAGAAACAATAACTGGTCTATAGGCGCAAATATGATGTTTTGTTTTAGTTTATTAACTAGATCAATTTTATTTACTTGCTTCCTTTTATTTTATAAACTGTATAAATCAACACGAAACAGCGTCACAAATTTGTTTTACATTAACCCAAGCTCAAATTGCAAATTGCAGGCTTTCCCAGGAAAGGCATGTGGTCGCACGCCTTGTTTGTCCACGCATAGAATAAATTTTTCTGACTAACTGACCACGTTTTATTATTATGCGCTTCAAGAATTTGCGCCAAAACAAAGCTAAACGAAAATACCGCAAAAATGCAAGCAATCTTAAAGTAAATAAAAAAAATCTGTTTGTGCTTTCAAATTTAAAAATTAATGTATATTATTAAAAAAAAATTTACCTATATTTTATTTATTTTTTTGTTTTTGTTTTTTAGGGCGGTAGTTATTTTAGCTATGAAAAATCAAATCAATAAAAAAAATAAAATCAATAAGAAAAATCAAATCAAAAAGAAAATGATTATTGTTTAATAAAAATAAAAGGACCTTTTAATGTAAAACTTGTTTATGACTTTTATCAGTCAGTAATACTTTAAAATTCACGATAGAACTTTAATCAATTTTTAAATGTTTCGTAAATACATACAATAAATGTTTAAATGTATTGATACGCAAGAAAGCGCGAAAACGATTGCTATTTATTTGTAAAATATGTTTTTTTTCAATTTTCAAATGAAAGAAAATTTTGTTGTCAAACGATTGGGTTGCTTATTTTGCAATCATTAATTGACTTTGTGAACAAGTGTTAATATATAATAATGTCCCGAAGGAACTGTTTTCGTAACAATGACAACAGAAGCAATGCAATTATTTTTTTAACTTCTTTTGTAATTACAAAATTATGCAAATGAATAATTTCAACGTAATAAAAGGCGAGCATTGACTCAGTATAATCAGTTTAGAATAAGTCGAGAGAGAACTATTTTCACACTAAAATTTTGTTATCTTTAAAATTTCAAATAATATATTTAATAATTAAAACAGCAATTTATTTTCTTGTCTAAGTATTGGGGAATAACGTTATCGCCTTTGCATAAACCTTCATAAAACTAAATTAAATGAAAAAGTTTAATCAAATTTGTCTAGCGTAAATAATGAATCAGTTTTTTTAATACATTATCTAATAAAGTTAGTGAATAAATTACGTATCAAGTCTTTTTATTTTTGTGAAAACTTTATGATTTATTGTCGCCTTTTCCTTGACTTGTATCAAATTTCGTAGCTGAAAATAGCAACCCTAATAAAAGAAAACAAAAACAGTATAAAAACTTTGAAAAAAATGTTTAGGACTTTTTTTTTTTTTTTTGTTACAAGATTTTTTTTTTTTTTTAATTTTTTTTTTATTATCAAAATATTTTTCTTACATCCAATTTTAATTTTATACTTTGTTTAGACTTCGTTTCCTTTTTTTAATATTATTTTTTATTCTCTGTAGATAAGTTCCGCTTTCCTACGAAATATTGCCACGGTCACGTTTTCTGAAAAATTTATTCTATGCGTGGACAAACAAGGCGTGCGACCGCACGCCTTTCCTGGGAAAGCCTGAAACTGCAAAGTTGTTTTAAAACAAGCTCAAACTGCAAACTGCAAATTTTTAAAACAAACTGCAAAAGTTATTTTAAAAATTGAAATTTTTTTTTTGGCGATTAGATTTTTTTGCGTTAATTCGAGCCCTGTTGTAATATATTATTAGCCTTACTTTAGGTTTGATGGGAGTAAAAATCAAAAACTCATAAAAATCTATTCAAAAACTAACAATGTTTAAGACAAATACGAGAGAACAACACATTCAAAAAGATAGAAAATGCACAAAAATAAAATCCATATATTTACATTAAAAAAAAAAATAATAATGCTTTCAGGCCTTGTTTCAAATTCCAAAATTCTGATTCTCAAAAATAAATCAAAATTTTGATTCTTTTTTCTTTGATTGTTATGATGATAGCTCCTCATATATAAACACAATTTTAAACACACTTTTGCAAAAAGCTTAAAATTAAGTGTTAGTGAAACATCTGGTAAGTATTAAATAATAAAATAATATAAAATCAAAAAATATCATATAAGATTACCTCAGATATTTTTAAAACAGAATCCATTATGTATTCATAAATTTTATATTGATGACTGAAATGAGAAATTTATGTGTAATGCTATGTAGTGGGTTGTCTAAAAAAATAATTCTTTTAAAAAAAGACTATAAATATATTTTATATAAAATATCACTGAATTTAAAAGATTTTCAAATCCAGTGATATTTAAATCCAAAAAATGTTCAAAATCTTTAAATATTTAATAATTCCCTAATATTATTAAAAAAAAGTTTTTAAAGTTTTTAAATGTTGGGTCTCAAATGAAGAAAATTTATTTAAAATTTCCAAAAATAATAATCATTTTATAAAAAATATACCAAAAAAAATTACTTATTTTCAAAAAAAAATTTAAAAATGGACTTAATCACTGATTAAGGCATTCATATTATTAGTTTTCATATTATTATCATTAATTTTTTTCAGGTGTGTTCCTCAGATGAATCCTAATTTAAATTAATAAGCTTTTTTTTGTATTTTGCTTCAGGAAAAAAATATATAAATCAGACTGTTTTATGCAGACCCCTGATCTAAACCTAATAGAGTACATCTGGGAATTTTCAATAAGGAAAATTAGGCTCTCAAAATCTGCAGGTCTCGAAACTATAACCAACAACAAAAGTCTTATAGAGGCACTAAATAATGTCTGCAATAATGATCAGGAATAAAAAGCAAATGTAAAGAAGTGCATCTAAAGTATGCCAAGAAAGATACAAAAGGTGGCCACAAAAGGTGGCCCTACCAAATACTAAAAAACATTTGTATTGCAAGTTTTCTTAAATAAATTGTTATAAATAGTAATAGTGTTTAAAATTTTACATTTTAAAGAAAAATACTTATTTAAGCAAGTGGCACCAATATTAATATAAAAATTTAATATAAAAATACATAAAAGAGCTTTTAATGGTTAATATGATAATTTTTGCCAATTATCATATTAACCATTAAAAGCTCTTTTATGTATTTTTATATCAAGTGTAACCAATAATTCAGCTGCCTGCCACACACACACACACACAAACACACACACACACACACACACATCCTTCTTGCTACAAATTTGGACTTGTTTATTGTTTGATTGATCATACATTTAAAACTAATAATACTTGGGTTGGTTTTGATAAAGATATTAAGAATCTATCATTACTTTTACAAAATAATAAATTTCTACAAAAAATTATTGACTCTGAAATAAAATCCTATACTGATAAGAAAATGAACCCATCTGTTTCTAACATTGTTAATAGCTTAAATATAAAATACTTTAGGCTTCCATACATTGGAATGTACTCTAATTATACTAAAACAAAAATTTCAAAAATTGTTTATAAATATTGTAAAGATGTTTTAATAAAATTAATTTTCACTACTAATAAAATACAAGATTGTTTTTACTTAAAAGAGTCATTTCCTAAATTGCTTAAATCTCATGTTTTCTATAAATTTTCTTGCGCTGGCTGTAATGCCAGTTATATTGGAGAAACCTCCAGAGATTTGGCAACTAGAACAAATGAGCACTTTAAAAGTGATAAACAATCTCATATATTTAAACACTTAAATTTATCTGTTAATTACAAAAATCTGGCTAACTGTGATTCTTTTGAGATTTTGGATAATAATGCCCCCAACCAAACACAAATTAAAAATAACAGAAGCCCTCCATATTAAATGGGAAAGTCTCTAACTTAAAAAACAAACTTCACAATATGCTATGAACTTATCTATTCAGTTTTACTGTCAGTTTATCACTATTATTATATATTTTTTTTTGACAGTTAGTTATTTTGATTGATTATTAAAATAACTAACTGTCAAAAAAAAAAAATAATAATAGTGATAAACTGACAGTAAAACTGAATAGATAAGTTCATAGCATATTGTGAAGTTTGTTTTTTAAGTTAGAGACTTTTCCATTTAATATGGAGGGCTTCTGTTATTTTTAATTTGTGTTTGGTTGGGGGCATTATTATCCAAAATCTCAAAAGAATCACAGTTAGCCAGATTTTTGTAATTAACAGATAAATTTAAGTGTTTAAATATATGAGATTGTTATTTTCTAATAAATATATTGGTTCATTATGTAAAAATTATTTTTGTTATTATTTCTCTGTAAAGACTTCTTTTTTTTAATATTTATTTCAGAGTTTTATTATTGTAAAATAATCTTTTGAAAATGTAAATAAAATTTTACGAAACATGTTAAGAATAAAAGACATCAGGTTATTTTTAAAAATAATTACTTATTTTATGCTATTACAATGATCACAATATATATATATATATATATATATATATATATATATATATATATATATATATATATATATATACGATTTTATATGTAATTAAACATGTAATTGTTATAATTGTATTATATATATATATATATATATATATATATATATATATATATATATATATATATATATATATATATATATATATATATATATATATATATATATATATATATATATATATATATATATATATACGTTATATATATGTATAAATGTATATAAAATCGTATGATAACATTAATATAAGTTATATTGACAATATGAAAAGGAAATAATGTTATTACAATATTATAAACAGCATTATTGTTATATTATAACAAATAAATTTTATTATCAAGACATGATGATGAAACATGATGATGAAACAATATTGAATATCGTTTTATTATCATGTTTCGTCATCATGTCTTTATAATAAAATTTATTAGTTATAATATAACAATAATGCTGTATATTCAATATCATATTGAATATTTCATTTTCAATATTTAGAAAACATAACTTTCTTATGAAAACCTGAAAGGATATTATTGACATAGTTAACGACAGATAAAATATCAAACAATTTATAAAAATAAAATACAAACAATTTATAAAAATAAATGTTATAAATAAAACCACAGTATAAAAATATTATCCACGTGTGTGGATAATATTTTTATTAAAGTACCATTGGAAGCCGTACTTTTATTTTTTTATTTAAATTACTTTCAACTATTATATCATTTTCAATAATTATATAAAATAACGTAATTAGGAAAACCTGAGAGAATATTATTGATATAGTTTAACGCCAGGTAAAATATCACAAACAATTTACAAAAATAAATGTTAAACATTTGTAACAACACGTGTGCATATGACTTTTTTTTATTAAATCAGTTATTAAACCCGTATTTTGTTTTTATACGGATGGTGTTTTAGAACCAGGTTCGAAAAACCAGAATATTTTGGCTGCTGTTACTAATGGTCCACAAAATAACCAATAAACAAAACTATGGTGGATCGCACAAAATATCCATTATATAAGTCCGCTATAGAACGTTTGCTGGAGCTCTAAAAATACCTTATCATATTACCACAGAGCTCGGGAGAAGAGGATTTAACAAGAAATTTGAAGTCTCCTTTTCAACTAATTTGACCAGAACAGGCATTGAACCAGTTTTTATTATTATTATTTTTTACATACGCATATATATCTAGCAAACATTTTTGTTGTGCATTTTAATAATTATTTTTTAAATTTTATCACCTCTAATAAGAGCTGACCTAGCTCTAATTAGATGTGCAAAAGCCGTCTAAAACACTGTTTCACTCAATATAAAAGCGAGCTTGACGTCCCAAGAATTTTTGTGTTTAAAAAAAAAAGAATTTCCGCATAAAAAGTATAAAAATTCACTAACTTTAAGTTAATAGTATTTTTTTTTTCTATAAATGCTTTCATCTTTGAATAAAAAAAAAAAATAAAAGAACAATCTTTCTTCGTTAAGTAAATATTTACGTTAAACGAAATAAAAGTAAACACTGTTAAAATATTTTAGATGATTTTGGATCACTTTTCTGTTTTTAGCGATTTTTACGGAAAACCTGTCTTGGGCCAACCAAGATTCGCTAACATGGATGTTTCGTTGAAATTTGGGTGTTTCGTTGAAATTTGGAACACTTATCAATGAATGTCTATTTTATCAGATTCCTACGTCATCCTGGTGATTTTTTTACTATAACTTAATTTTTAATGCATTTATATATTTAAATTTATCTCTTTTAAATGTAAAATATAATTTAATTGATGGATGACGTTAGTTAATGAAATTTCGACCTTTTATGCAGGTGAAAATATAAAAATTATTTTATGACTTACTTATCTCTGTTTCAATTAAGATAAAGTTTGAGTAATATTTTTTTGGTTTGTATAATAGTCTAATAATGTTTATAACTTGTTAATAAATATTTGAAATATATATTTTCAATTTTTTGTTGATGAAAAGTAACAACAAATTACTAAAGTTCAGCCAATTTCATCATTTGTCTCTTTTTTTTTTAACTAAAAGAAGTTTTTTTACTATTATATTAAATGTCATATGATAAAATATTTTATTGTTGTTTTTATTCCCTTTACAAAACAAAATTATATTTAATATTTCAAAAGTTATAAATATTTTAGTAACACCCCTAACGTTGAAATTTTCAAAAAAACAAGAAGCCGCTAACCTCTGCATTACAGCTGTTAAACTTCAAAACAACGCAACAACAAAAAATGCATTAGTTTAATATTACTATAATTCCTATTTTTATTTTATTTTTTAAATATATTTTATAAAAATTAACGTGGCAAAAAAACTTCTAAAGAAAATAAACTAATTGTAAAACTATATCTATATAATTGAATTAATGTGGAATGTATAAAATTATGATTAAACACCCTTGACCAACGCTGTGAAGGCCCATTAGTCAGATCTACTCAGATCTCCACCTAAATATATTTATAATGCGTAGAACAAATTTTATTATAATTAGCTAATGATTAAAAAAAACAACTCTGATCTAAAGTTAAAATATTCATTTTTCGCTATAATTAAAATAAATGGTTTGTCTTTCACTCGAGATACAAGATTATAGATTTTTTTTTTTTTTAATGTTGATTTTAGGTGTCCCAAGAAGTGGTCTTATCACAGAGCACCGTGGAAGAGCATTTAATAGAAAGTTCACGCCTCCTTCCCAACCGATGTCGCAAAACTTGCCCAGATGTGGGGTTCGAACCAAGGATTTTATGTTTCTGAGGCAAGTGTGCTACCACTGCGCCACGGCTGCTTAGATGTTTTATATCTTGTGCGGCAACAACTTTGTATAAACTTAATTTTTTTTCTTTTTTTTAATTTTATATAGGTGCCCGAAGAAGTCATTACGGTCATGGCAGGTTTTCAGAGCATCACGGATGAGCATTTGATTGGAAGCTCACGCCCTCTTCCAAACCGATGTCGCAAAACTTGCCCAGAGGTAGGGTTTGAACCACGGATCTTTGGTTTCTGAGGCAAATTCTTATTGAATTTAAAATAGAAAATATATCAGAGATTTAAGACATAAGAATATGTCAATCATATTAAAAACTTGTTAAAGCGCAAAAAATTATTTAAAAACTTTTGCCACTGGCATTGATGTCAATATAAAGCCTCAATATAAAGATGTTGAATTTTGATGTTGAAGAAATGTAGATGCTGAATGTTGATGTAGGAGGCAACTCCGATTTAAAAAAACCCCTGACTTTGGGCTCTTGATTGAGTAAAGGCTAAGAACGATGTCTTGATAAAAATACTCATCTTGGGCAGACGTTAAATATAACCAGCTACTGTCTTGTAGAAGGCCTCCTATGCAAAGACTTAAAGGGTAAACAGATTCTATCTGTTGACTAGCATTGCACCCCTTCTTCATTTATTAGGCTAGCGTAGATGTATTTATAAAATATTATTTCCAGTTTAGGATTTTTAATGCTGGATCTTTTTGACTCAATCCACGGGTTTTTCATTCTATTATCTCCCATTGAGGGTACAGCTTTAAAACTCAGTTTTATGTAATAGCTTGGATTATTAAATAGTGTACTGAGTACTATCTGTGCTTTGAACCAAGTTCTTTAACAAATTAAAAAATGACTAAAGTACCAAAAACTATAAAACACAAAAAACAAAGGTCACCAAATTTTCTAAATCATTCACTGATATTCGTGGTCTTCGAAGTAATTATTCTTCTGTTGAATCTTATCTATTGCAAAGATTACCAGACCTACTTACTCTTTTTGAGACTAATTTGAGTTCGGCTGTCTTATTATCTGATCTTAGTGTTGATGGTTATCTTCTTTTAACTTGTAAAGACTCCAATAGTTACATGCTTGGCCTGTTCATTACATTCGTAAGAATTAACTTATCTGTTGGAAAACTAAGTTTGAATCCACAGACTATTCTTTTATAAGCTTTCGTTTTGTACCACTTACTCTATTGTCTTCTTCTTTGTTCTATACCGCTCCCCTTCATCTCAAGACTGCACTCTTTTCGATGTTATTTCTGATCAAATTGACCAAGCCCTTTCACTTTATCCTTCAGCCAATATCGTTGTTGTTTGTGACTTTATTGTTCCTCACAGTGAATGGCTTGGCTCTAGTGTCAGTGACTTTGAAGGCGTTAAGGGCCACAACGTTTGCTTTTCTCAATCTCCACCACATGTAGTTGACTTTCCAACTCGGTTTCTAGACATTACATATAATTTACCTTCTCTATTTAACTTATGTCTAATTTTGAATCCTATTCAGCGCTTAGTTTCTCCACATTCAAAATTAGTTGCTTCTGATCACGGTTTGATCTCTCTAAAACTATTATCTCATTCGACTTCATCATCAGAATCCCTCGATCGTCGTACTTCTTACCACTACCTTAAATCTAACTGGGACTCTTTTTTCGCGATGGCTCTTGGGTAGAACTATTTCGTCTTCCTGTTGGTAAATGGGCTTCCTACATAACATCTTGGAATCAGGCTGGCATGGAATATTTTATTTATTATTTTAAGTCAAACTTTACTCTTTTACATAATTTTCCCCTCATTGTGGTGCTGCAATTTTCAATCGAAACCATTACTTTCATATCTATCAGCAAAACTATTCTCCAGAAAACAGACGTTTAACAAGTGCTTATCAGAGTCTTGTTTTTCATCCTGATGGAAAGCGGCATTTGTTATCCCTATTATTAAAAATTCTGGAGAGCGATCTGACTTGTCTAACTACCGTTTCATTAGTATTTTTCGTGTTATAAGGGAGGTTTTTCAGTATTTAATTAACAAACACTTAATTTCTCATCTTGAACCTAATAATTTACTTTCTGATCATCAATATGAATTTCAATCTTCTCATTCTTCTGCTGATTTGTTAATGATGTGAAGAGGTTAAGGTTATCGATCTCGACATTGCTAAAGCTTTTGATAAAGTTTAGCATGATAGTCATCTCCATAAGCTCTCTTCTTACGAAGTATCATGACAAGATTATTGAATCCTTTTTTTCCAATCGTAGTATTAAAATTGTCTTCGATGAACAGCACTCTTCTTCAAATCCTGTAACTTAAGACGTTCCTTAAAGTTCTATACAAGTATGATCTTTTTAATTTAGATTAATGATTTTCCAGATACTCTCACATCTAAAGTGGAATTGCTCGCTGATGATGCTACTATTTATTCTTGTCATGATAAGAAGCCAACAGTCTCTGATTGCTTGGAAGGGGCATTTGAACTTGAAAATGATCTCACTTCTGCTGCAGCATGGAATCTCAGTGGCTGGTGAACTTTAACTCTGATAAAACTCAATTTTTTTCAGCTAATCGTTATCGCAATAATCTTCCTAAATTTATTAAAAATAATGTACTCGATGAGTCATCTACCCTTTATGTAATATGATTAACTCTTACTTCTGACCTTTCTTGGAAACCATATATCAAATTCTTTGCAAAAATAACATCTGCTAAGGTTGCGCCTCTTTATCGTACTTGCCACCTTTTTACTCAAGATCTTTATAAACGATGCTCTTTCTCTTTTATAAAAGGAGCAAAAACGCATTGTTAACATAGTTAACAATGCGTTTTTTTAGACCTGCTCTTGCAGCCAACCTCTAACCATTATCACACCGTCGTAATGTTGCTTTTCTTTTTTTTTTCTACGAATACTATAATGGACACTGCTCTAAAGAGCTAGCGTCTCTTGTGCCATCTACTAAAATTCATTCTCGTGTTACTCGTCATTCAATTAAGTCTCATCCTTTTTCTGTGACTGTTCCTAAGTGCTCCAAAAACTCTTATTTGTCTAGTTTTTTTCCTCGAACATCAGTTCTTTGGAATTCGCTTCCTTCATCTTGCTATCCTGATATATAATTTGCAATCTTTTTTTTTCGTCTGTCAATCGTTATCTTGCTCTACAAACTTCATATTTTCTCTTCCAGTACCTTCCAACTCTTATAGTGGTTGCTTGCAGCCTTGTTGAAAGTGAAGATGTAAAACAAAACAAAACAAAAAAAAAGTTGATGGTTTCTTCAGGTTTTCTAAGAACTATAGTCTTGCTTAAATAAATTGCTTGCACTTTTTTTTTTTAAATAATCGCCACTATTTTTTTTTAATCAAAGTCATTTTTTAACTTTATCTTTATTTTAACTTCGTACTAAGCTGTGAGACATATTTTATAAATTTCTAAAAAAAAAAAACGGTATTGGAACCTGGTTTCAATACTGTTTTTTTCTGAACAATCAAAACAATTTAGATTATTGAAGAACGTGTTCAATAAAGGTATATAATATATCTGGATAATTAAATAACTAAATAATAAATCATTAAATAACAGAACATCATCATTAAGTAATCTGGTAACTAGTTTTTAATAGTGAGTTTTTTAGAAACTTAATTTATTCAGAGATTTATTGTGTAAAAAATAAAGGCTATGCAAGATATTAGGTTTTTAAACAGAAAGAGAAAGAAAGAAAAACATCAACTTATATATAGAACATTATGCTTTTCTCAAACCTTTCAAGAGTTATATTTTTAAAGTATTTTTTTATAAACCCATAAGGAAGTTAGGAAGTCCATATAATACCATATTAAAACGTTCATGGTTTTCAAAATAAATGTTATCTGATTTCTCTGTTTCAATATTATTTTCGATATTAGTTTCGACATTTTTACATAAACAAAGAGAGCGAATCAATTCTCCAACAGTGCTGTTGGAACTCAGTAAACCTAAAAAATTTTTTACGAAATAAAATATCGTAGATCATATAACAAACATTACTAAATTATATCATGTTTAAAATACCTCCAACAATAACTTTTAACCGCTTATTGTTTGTATCCAAACTAGTTGTCCACTGATTTAGAATAACGGTTGCTGTACCACATATAGATAAGATAGCCGATGTAATAACGGGATTTTCAACCATTAAATCACCTGAAAAACTAAATGCGCGGTCCAATCGGACAGTTACTAACCATAATAACATACTTAATGAAATACATAAATTGTTTGTTTCCAAAATATCGGTTTAACTAAATATAAACTTAGTAAAAAAAAAACCAAGACTCACTTCTCTCCAACAAAAGGTTGCTGCACTAAAGTACTCCGTTTTCCTTGCGCTAAATCGAACAACATTGCAACATAAGAATTGGTAAGATTTAACGGAGCAACGTAATAAGGAGGAACTACCGAAAAAAATTGGCCGAAACCATGAAAGATAAACGAAGTGTTAAGAAGCATTTGAATTTCTTTGACATTTGCTGTTTTTTCTGAGCCTTTTATTCCAATCCATTTGCTTGTCTTTTGCTTTTGTTCAGATATGATTTCTTTAAAAACAACTTCAGGATGGTTCGAATCTACAGCAAATTTCAAATTATAATTAGATATATCGTGACGTTAGAATTATCTTGTTCTATCTCCACATTTTTTAGTTTTTAGATAAAACGATTTAAAAAATAAAAACTTTAGGAGACGGCGTATAAATTTTTTTTTATAACTTATATTTTTCCCGCAACTTTTTTACTTATAACTTAGATTTCAATTCAGTAGAAAGAAATTATTTTGAGGAACACAGCACTATCATAAACTCAATTTTTTCAGAAAGTGGAGATAGAACAAGATAATTCTAACGTCGCGATATAGTGTTTAGCGACAATTAAAATAATATAAAAAAAAGAAATCTAAGATAAAAAGAAACCTTTAATTGTTTGATCCGTCAACCCAATATCTGTATCTGCAAATGGATCAACTAGGTCTGTTGAACTTTTAAGTAAAATAAAAACTAATAAAAACTACTAAACCGGAAAAAGTCTATAATAATCAAAAAAAATTTCATTTGCAAATAAAAACCTTTCTCCCTACCCCCTTGTCACATTTCTCTAATCTCTTCACTAAAATAAATAAACCAAAATCATTGCTCACCATCAAAATACTGTTTGCTTTCAGACCAAGAAAAGAGAGAATTTATAGTTATGCTTATCCAGTTACGTTTTTGTAATTTTTTGTAAAGCAGCCTTGTCTGTCACGGTTAGTGGTTAATTTAAGATAATACAGTCAAAAGGGGGATATGGTTAAAAGTTGCTTTCTTAATGTAGTCGTTACTAGACCTTAAAAATCACATTAACAATCAAACCATAGAAAATAACAATAAGATTGTAAAGTAAAAATTGGTGCATCAGATTTTATTGCTCAGTTCACTACTTGTAACTGTTGTCATGGGAGCATTTTTAAGAGCTCAATGAAAGTTATCATTCAGATAGGTAGTTATTATTTTGGTTATATGATAGGTTCTTAACCAATACTAGTCTAGAAAGTGAAAGAGATTGCAATTTTAAATTGTATTTGATTTTGGATGCAGCTAATTCACTCAATTCAAGGAGAAAAGGATCAGAAAGTAAAATAAAATGCAAACTTTTTTAAAACTAAATGACAAAGGTAAATATAAACTCTCAAAACTATAAAAATTTAAACTCTGCTTTTAGAAATTTTAAGAATCATCAACTGATGTCTTAATTAAACTTTAAAAAGGGTTAAGATGATACCATGTCTGGAGAAAAATCTAAGATCATAATAGGAGTATACATCAAACCATTAGAGAAACCATGAGACTTGAAGGAATGAAAAACCATGAGACTTAAAGGAATGAAAAACCATGAGACTTGAAGGAATGAAAAACCATGAGACTTAAAGGAATGAAAAACCATGAGACTTGAAGGAATAAAAAAACCATGACATTTACGGGAATGAAAAACCATAAGATTTGGAGGAATAAAAAATCATGAGATTTGCAGGAATGAAATTTTATTGATGCAAAATTTTGACTAGTCTTGATAACTTACAACATATTATCCATAAAACATTTTCTTTTTTAGGAGATGCAGAATGCATTAGTTCAAAAAATGAAATGTATGCCATACTATTGAAAAGAATGCTTTTACTATTGCCTGAGTAGTTTCATTATTAAGAAGAAGTTTTCCAAGCAAAACCATCAGTAAAACCAAGTGTTCCCAGTATAAGCATTATGCAAATTTGCTACAGGATACATGCCTATAATTAAATAGAACAAAATTAAAAGATACCAATCTTATAACCCATCTACATCAATGAGAAATATTTTATTATGACTTTTGATAGTCAATTACTACTTAACAAAAAAAGTAAACTAGTTTCTGCTTGTAGGCATAGAAAGAAATTTTTAATATCTAACTTTGATTCCGGCAATTAGCAAATATCAGATAACGTATAGTTGAGGTCAGATGCCATTGCAGCGCTAAACTTATAAACGTATTTTTTATAACGGTTTTTATTTTATATTTGAATAATATGGCTGATGATTGTCTACAAAATTTTAGTAGTCCTCTAGAGGTGCTTAAAATAATGAAAAGATTTAGATCAGTTAAAAATACAAAACATTGATTGATGAAAATTAAACAAAATATCATTAAACATTATCCACTTTAAAATAATCTTGTTCAGGTTGGATATTCAAATAGCTTAGTTATAAATTAGATGACATAATTATTAATAAAAAGACAGTTAATTATAAGATGATGCAGGTATAATCAATATGACTTTAAATTATCAACAAGATGACATCGATATTAACAATCCATCTTATTAGCCCAAGAAATCATTTTTAACTTTTCAAGTATAATCAAGCTTTTCAAATAAAATTTGAAAAGCTTAAAATAAATAATGTTAAAACAAAAAATGGAATGAAAAAAATAACAGTAATGAATAACATAAAACAATAAAAAAACATCAAATTTACAAAATAAATATAAAAAGGATACATTTTAAAACTGTGGGATCAAGGGCAATGTTTTCTTTTTCAATTCTAAAAGTTCCTGAAACCTAAGCAATACATAAAAATAGTTCCTGTAACTTAAACAATAAATAAAAACAGATTCAAATTTTTCTTAGACGTTTATAACTAACATTTTATAAAACTTTTTATTTATTTTTAAATTTATTACAAAAGTGAGCTTCTTTAAAGGTTGATACACTTTTGAAAAAAAAAAATATATATATATATGGGATTCATCATATAATGATGAGGTAACATTTTCAAAAAATAAGCAAACCCAAATTTAAACACAGAAATCTAGTTTAAAAAAAATTTATAAATAAAAAATTGATTATATAAATGCTACCTTCCTAAAACCCTAATTATTATTTTTTATATAAATGCTACCTTCCTAAAACCCTAATTAAGTTCACCTCCTCAAAGCTGAGGGCCACTGCAGTCAAAGAGGCTGCCATAATTATTAATTTTAATTAAAACTCTCTCCTAACTTTTTAAACCTAAAACAGGAACTTTGATAAACAAGGTACTACCAGGAATGCAGTAGGGATCCAACATAAAACTTCTCAAATGTAAGTGTAAATGTAAAACTTCTCAATATAAAAACTGAACTCTACTTATTACTATGTATTAAACTCTACATATAGTCAATTTTAGACGATGATTTTAATGCTTAATGGGTCAACTTAATTTGTATATTTAATAAAGCAAAAACTAAAAAGAAAATAAGTTTTGTTTTTTACCTTGACTGTTGCTGGTGATGTTTTAGATTTTTGTTTTGTATCTTGAACTGTTTTCACTGCATCTGTTTTTTTCTCGTTCACTTTAAAATTAAATGTATAAAACTAGATGTTAATCTTTATAAATAAAGCTAATCATAAATTTCAATGTATACAACAAATGATCCTTTTAGCCTACCTGTATTTCAACTTGGTCCTAACACCCTACCTACATTTCTCCTTGATCCTTAAAGCCTACCTACATTTTTTTAAAAATCTTTTATTCAACGTAACTTAAACTTACCTGTATCAAAACATCTAATAAACAATTGGTAAAAACAATACTTAATATAACAAATGAGTAAAAAACAATAACATATTAGAATTAGCAACCCTTTTTGATGATTGTTGGTTATTAAATTAAAAAATACAAATAAAAATAGTTTTTGCTTATACTTGGGATGCGTGGATTTAATCTGTGGTATAGGATTTGAAGTGAAAAATCTCTTGTGACTGATTTTATATTCTGATTGCTAAACACACTCATTGCTTCCAAAGGAAGTTGCAATAAATCTTTATCAGCTAAGATAATGATAATCGTTTCCTTCTCCTTACTTAAAAATTTCTCAAACTGCGTTAAAATATCTCCAAAATATGCTTCTATAACAGCTATAAGATTTTCAAATAACATTCGATGTTGTTCTTCTAACAAGTTTTTCTTGTTGCTAACTTCTTCCGATAACTATTGAAAATCATAATTTATAAAACCAAATGTATGCTTACATAATTATCATCAGAGGTGGAAAGTAACAAATTACATTTACTCACGTTACTGTAATTGAGTAAAAAATTATACAAAAAAGAATAGACTTAGTAATTTTTGATTTTTTATTCGACAGCTTCGCGATCTGACAGGCTGTTAAAAAAGTAACACAGTAACTTTTACTCTGAGTACATTTTTAATAACCTACTTTTTACTTTTCCACCTCTGATTATCATAAATTAATACAATTAAATTATCTACTTACAAAAACACCTGGAGAAATATGTCTGTTTGGGTACTTTTTTACAAATTCTATATTAAAAGTTGTAAATTCTGCAGACATCTCAATCATGCTGTTAAGTAATTCATGACTTGTTTCATTTCGAGATAAAAATCCAGTAAACGTTTCTAAAAAATAAAATGTTTTCAGATTAAAAATTGTATGTATGTAAAAAATGTATACTTAATGACCGAATAACAGACAACATCTAAACTAAAAAGTTGTGGTAAACTTTTTTAACATGCACACACACAAATTAATCAACTTTTAATATAATTAAAAAATTATGATTAATTAATTTTTAATTAAAGAAAACTTAAAACTTAGAAAATTAGAAAACAATGGAGCACAGAATTTATGTGGCTTGTGGACATCTTGATTCTTGTAGTAAAGAGTGATTGACAGAACCGGTCAACAGACTGACTCAACCACCATATTACATATTGAACATGATTTATCATGGTCTTTTGGGAAGCAAAGAATAATTTTAATTTTTTGAATTTGACAGCAATTTATAAAGTTTTGAAAACAAAAATGTCTAAATAAACAATTACCTTTTTTAATAACTCACAAAATATCCAGTTTTTGTAAATTGTTTTTAGTGCGATTTTGTAAATTGGTTTTGTAAATTATTTTTAGTGCGATTAATCTTATATTGATTAAAAGACATGCATATTGGATGAGCCAAAAAAAGTGTTTATTGAATGGAACATCTCCTACTAAACTGTTCTAATAAAAGTGAAAAAAGTAGTCAACTTAGCCGAAATACAAAAATATCTTAAACTAGTTGTTTATTTAGCTTTTATAAGCAATACTTGTTTAAAAATAAGTAACTTTATTTATAAGATGAACAAATGTTATTTCTCTAAAATATATTGTTGATGAATAAAAATTAATTAAAAGCTTTTAACACTATTCTTAACTTTTGGATACTCAAAGTATACTAAAAATGAAAAAATATGTATCTATTAAAACTTATTTGTTGATTATTCACTTATGATACTAAAACCTTTTTTAAAATACAATAGCATTTATAGACTCATCCTTCAATTATATGTTCTTAATTTTGACACCTTTAATTTTAACTTTCAGGTGTTGGAGATACGTGTTTGCCTTTCATTGATGTTGGTGTCGCTTTTAGAAGAGCATTTCATCATAAATCTATGTTTGTCTCTTGAAATCTCAATCTCCATCAAAATTTTGGTTAAACATTAATTAATACTTAAAGTTTGAATTTAAAATTTTCATTGTTAAGTTTAGTAAATATCATTATTGTAAAAAATATTCAATGGTAATCTTTTTTACTATGATACATAAAATATTTAGTTAAAAATTTATAAATAGTTTTTGTTATTATTTAGTAAAAAATATTTATAATAAAATTTCAATAAGTTAATAAACTTGATTAAATGTTTCCAAATATTTTTGTGTTAAACATCACACTGTAAATATTGTGTTAAACATCTCACTGTAGTATTTTTGTGTTAAACATCTCACTGTAATATTTTTGTGTTAAACATCTCACTGTATTATTTTTGTGTTAAAAATCTCACTGTAATGTTGTGTTAATCATCACACTATAAATGTTTTTGTGAAAATACCAACAAAGAGGTATGCTAAAGAACCTTGCAAGACAATACCAAAAAAGTAGTTCGCTTAAGAACCTTGCAAGACAATAACAACAAAGAGGTATGCTAAAGAACCTTGCAAGACAATACCAACAAAAAGGTATGCTAAAAAGAACCTTGCAAGAAAATACCAACAAAAAAGCTAAAAAGAAGAATCTATAAAGTCTTTTAATATTATTATTTAAACTTAAAATTTTAAAATTATTTTAGTCTTTAAAAAGAAGGATGTTATGATTAAATAAAATATGTCTATTATATCCATGTAAACTAATTTACAAATGTGTGAACACAGATGTAAATATGTAATAAACAGAACACAGAAAAAAAGTTACTATTTTGCAATCTTCAAAATGTCAATTTTAAAATTTGTTCTTACAAAGAACGAATTGAAAAAGAAATCCAAATTAAATTCGAAATAAACAAATTTTCTACTCCAAAAAACTGAGGGCAACACTACCATATCAGTAACTAAGCTTTTTTTGGTGTATATATGTAAATATACAGACATATGTATATATATATATATATATATATATATATATATATATATATATATATATATATATACATATATATATATATATATATATATATATATATATATACATATATATATATATATATATATATATATATATATATATATACATATATATATATATATATATATATATATATATACATATATATATATATATATATATATATATATATATATATATATATATATATATATATATATATATATATATATATATATATATATATATAAATATATATATACATATATATATATATATATATATATATATATATATATATATATATATATATATATATATATATATATATATATATATATATATATATATATATATATACAAGGAATAAATTTGGTATGTATAAATACAAATGGTATTTAAATCAGACCCGTAGCCTGATTTAAATACTATTTCTTTAAAGTAGGAGCAAGTTTTCAAGAGGCGCCAAAAATAAAATAAAAATAAAGGGGCCCAAGGGCATTTTTTTGCATAAATTTAATAAAATGATTAATTATATTTTTGTATTTTCAAGATGATTTCGCCTTGCTCTTTTTTGTGTTGTACTAACAATTTTATAATATATATGTTCAACTTAAATTTTTAAGTGGTCAAACAGGATAAAGCACAGGGGAGGCATGTGCTCCCCTTGCTCCCGCCCTGCCTATGGGCCTAATTTAAATAGATTTTACTAAAAACTCATTTATTTATTTTAAAATAGCATGTGAAGAAACCAAACTATGGAAAAAATATTAAACAATATTTGCATTTTAAATCACAAATATTTTTCATAAGAATCAAATGTTTCCAGCATTTTTTTCAATTTCTTCTGCAAGTTCTGAGCAGCAATATTTTCTTGGGATTTCCTTTCCGTCGAAATACCGTTGGTAATCAAAAATAATTGCTCTATGGAAGCGTTTGTACCTGGCAAACATAGAGCGACTTACACCAATTTTAACAAATTGCTATAAGGAATGTTATCATTTTCAAAATGAGAAAAATTTAACAGACTGTGAGTTCCAAGAAAAAAAAATTTTCCTTTGTGCAATATAAATTAGTTCTCTGAATTTTGTCTAACAATTCATTGTCATCAAATGTGATTTCTATTGATTTTTACAAAAAAATTATAGTTTCACTAATTTTAATTTATTCAACTTTACAGTTAAGTAAAGACCATTTAAAAACTTGAACTTGATTAAAGTGACACATCCACTCATCTATATACTCTAGACAGACATTGTAAATTATTTCTACTTCTTTCAGAATTTGGTTTTTCAAATGATGACTACTTTCTTCAGTAACTTGCAAATACTGTCTTACCATGAAAGGTAGAAATTTTTCTTCTTTTCTAGATTTTATCTGGTCTTTAAAATCCTTTAATACTATGGCAACTTCAGCTGCAGAAATGTCATTTTTCTCAATTAGTTTTACCATGTTATAAAAAACATTGGCTTGACTGTAAACAAAAAACAACACTATTTCATCCATTTCTTTATTAAAAAAGTCAAATAAAAGTTTTAGACAATTTTCTAAGCTTAAAAAGTATGATCTTAGCATGATAAAGCATTCGATAGCTGGAAGGAAGGCCAACCAACAAACTTTTGAAAATCATAGCAAATTTTGACATTCCACATCAGCCTCTTCACAGAAGTTTTATTAAACTAGAAACTCTATCAGTAATTTGGTAAAAAAAATAGATAAATTTGAGAAATAATTATTTTTATATCAGAAGATAAACAACCAGATGCAATGTTTATTGCGTTTGATAAAATATGAGCATTGCAACCAATACCAATGATTTTTGTGTTTGACAGATTTGCAATGGTCTTCGATCGCAGACCGTCCACGATTACTAATGTCAAATAAACTTTGACAAGTAGTACATTTGAGTAGGTCATCTTTGATCTGCATTAAGAAAGGAAAAATTTTCTTTAAATTATCATTAAATGTGTTTAACCTTCTCTTCTTACTATTCATTTTTGAATTTGATGTATAAATAGTTATAAAAATCTTAAATTACTTTTTTAAAAATACTTATCTTTATGAACTTCTTAAAATAAATTGCAAAGTGTTATTAACAATAATTAGGGAAAAAAGACATTACAAGGCAAACAAAATTTGCGTAAAACAAGCGCATTTTCTTTGTTGCAGTTAAAAAATCTTTTAAGGTAACTTTTTTTCTTCTCTAATGAAAATTTTAAAAACTTTTTTTAAAATGTTTTTAATTTAATTCATTTAGTTTCAAATTTAATTCATTTAGTTTTGTGTTTTATAGTTAAGTTTATTGGAATTTTATTCATTTTGTTTTTTAACTTTTTCTAACTATTTAGAAATTTCATTTAAATTTAAAAGTCTTTCAAATGAAAGAATTTTATTTGCTTTTTTTAAATATATAAACGCATACACAAATGCGTACAAACCCCAAACGTGCAAAAATATTGTCAAATGCTTACCTTATGCTCCAAACACGTACGTATGGTCACCTTAGTATGTATTAACGGAAAAATTTTCTAGCATTTATAAAAATATATACTAGATATTAATTTATAAGATATGATCAAATAGTTAAACGACAAACACAAGAACAATTTTTTAACAAAACTACATCAGTAATCAAATAATTATTTAAAAAAGAAATAAGCAAAATCATGACTAATTAATTAACATAACTTAATGGATCGAAAACAGTTTATATTTCTAAATGACGGTTTTCAGACAAAAAACTTTAAATATTATGTGGAGTTTAACAAGACTCCATCTTAGGTCTTATGTCAACAATCTATATCAGCATCAAATACTATGTCTGCTATCATTTGCATTTATATATATATATATATATATATATATATATATATATATATATATATATATATATATATATATATATATATATATATATGCAGATATAAATATAAATTTAACTGCATATAAAACATCACAATAATGTCATATCAAAATAGATATCTTGGAAGTTTCAGTACATCAACTAAAAGTTTTAGATTGTATAGTCAGTATTCACGCATATAAGGCATTAACTTAGGCAAAAAAGATATTTGTATACAAATTTATATCTTGTATACAAATTTAAATATAAAATTAACAAACTTGAAACCTTGCAAACCATCTTTTTTCTTTCCTGCTGTGCCACCATTAAAGACTCCACCATAAAGATATTTATAATCAGGAGAGTGTTGAAGAATTAGATATGTAATTTTGAAAGGAATTTCTTTTAAAAGTTGGAAATGGTTCTTTGAGACTGAAAGTCGTTGCCACCACTTTAAATAAAATTTCAGATACACAATGTGTAACAATTTATATTTATGTTTATAAATGTGTTTTAAATTGAAAATTAAATAAAAACTATGATTGATTACTTAATATATTTATTCTTACTATATAATATAATTTATTTTACTTAATATTATTTAATAGAACTTCATTTAAGTAAAAATAATTACAAAGTAATCAATACTAAATAAACTCATAACAACACATGTCATAATAAAAAATCTACTTTATAACAACAAAGGTCTAATTGAACAAACAAAAACACAGATCTATCTCATAAAAATACGCAGATACTTATTATAAAAACAAAAAATATCTACCTCATATTTATTTAAGTTGTTGATGTTTGTTTCATTTATAAAACCATAAGGAGGTTCTTCAAACCATTTTTGAGAATACTCCATGATGTTGAAAGCCAAGGCACTAGCTGAGTGTGTTGCATTATCAAAAACATATTTTAACACTTTTCTCATGTAAAGTGAAAAACAGCAACTCTAAAAAAAAGAAGTTAAATATAATAGAAAGTAACACCCAAACCATGGCTGTAGACAAGTGGGAGTTTGAAGGAGGGGGGGGGGGAGATACACCCACTCCTATTTATAATGGGGGATATAGATCCCTACTTTTTGTTTTTGTTGCGTCTCTAATTAAATATATTTATAAACAATTTGAAAATATTTATAAAAACTTTACTTTTTGAATATGTAAAGAAATAATTTTGCAATTAAACTAATAATAAAAAATAAAAATGATTCAATAAACAAATAGAACTTGTTGCATAGAAATCATTAAAATATTGTATTGAATTCTCTATCACAAAAAAGGGAATAACTTTAAAATTTAAAAAACAATTAAAAGATAGATACTAAATGATTTGTTGAATTAGTTTGAAATAGTACAAAATTTTATACTTGTATTTGTAAACTTTAATATATTCTGATGTTACATTATTCTTAAAATTAGTTTATTTTATGTAGATTATTTGATTAAATGATTGGACCATTAAGAACACATTGTTCAACTTCTTCAAACATTAAAGCAAAAAGCAATTGAAGATGTTTTTCAAAGAAATTTTTTGAGTTCTTAGTTCTGCAACTGAACATAGTAATTGCTGAAATTGTTTCCATAAATAAAATTAATATTTAATAATAAAAATAAATTTTTCAAATTTATAAATAAAATATTTGAACAGTTGATGAGTAGTTTCCAACAATTAATATATCTTTTTAATCTAAGGTATGTAAAATATTTTATAAACTTTTTTTTAAAATAAAAAAATTCAGTATAATAACTCCATAAGCAAATTAACATATTATTAAAGTCTATCTATAAATAAATTTTACTTGGCAAGGTGTGCCTTTTTTTAATTAATATCAGATTAAGACATGCATTTTTTGTTCTTTCACAAAGCATAACTTAATTCTAGTTAGCTGATAGGTACACTCACAAGAAAAACATCCCTTTGAAACCTCTAAAACGAGTCTTTAGCTTTATTGATAAACTACATAAACTAGTTCACCCTCACATTTTTTCTCCAGCCGTCACATACGCAGCAGTTTTAAATTTCTAAATTTAAATTTTGAATTTAGAAATTTAAAAATTTTGATTTTCTAAAAAAAAGTTTTTTAAGCTTGCCATTACATAAGAATACATCGTTTCCCTTTTAAAAAAAAATTATCACTGTACTTTATTATAAACTTTACCTTCATGGAACACCTGAGTAATATTTTTCATTATTTTATACATTACAATGCTAATATTTGCAATAAATTTACCTGATGCAAAGCCAACAACTGAAGAGCCACACATGAGTCTCTGTGCCCAATACTTTCTAGTAAATGAAAGGATGTTTTTTTGACTATTTCAATATGCCCTTTCTCTAATCCATAATAAATAGCTGCCATTGTGTATTCCATACTCTGAGATGCTGTTGAAACAAAAAAACCAAGAGAGGAATAATATTGAGAAATATCTCTTTGCTTTTTCTAAAAGATTAAAAAATGTGTATATCTGCAACATAATACTGGAACATATTACTGAAACATATTACTGAAACATATTACTAAAACAAACTATTGGAGCATATTACTGAAACATATGGAGCAAATTATTGGAGGATATTACTGGAACATATTAATCTAACAAAATGATGCAATAACATATATTTCTGAACAAATTACTGCAACATACATGCCCACTGTTTATTGAATAAAAAATTTAATTGTAAGATTTATGTCCACTGTTTATTTAATAAAAAAAGGAAAAAAAATTTTAGCTTAATTTTTATTTTTAACATTGTATATACTTATTGTTGCAAATTTAATGTGAAAAGTACTGAAAAAATATTTTTAGTTTTAATATATTTTTCACACAAAAATTTAAAATAAAAAGATTAAGAAAAGTACGTAACAAAAATTTTAATATAAATGTATTTTATAAGTATATTGTGTCTTAGCCATACATACGCAGACACACACGCAGACACACACATACGTGCATATAGGTATAAAAATACATTTCTAGATTTTTATGTTAAATATTTTTTGTTTAAATATTTAATGTTTTTGCCTCTTTTATTCAAAACTTACCTTATTTATTTCAAAACTAGAAAAAGAATTTGCAGTTTTCACTTTTGAAACATAATTTAGTAACTGCCCAAGCTCTCCAAGAGTTTCCACATACTGATAAGATAATTTTTCGCAAGAAACTAACAATGAATGAGAAATATTGACTGAGGTAGCAACAATTTCTTGAACAGTATCATACCACAATTGTTCAAACTGTGAAATTTCTGGTTGCAAGTCCACATATTTATCTATCACCTATAAAATAATAAATATACTTTTCTTTTTTAATTATTTACCTATTTAAGTAATAGAGGTTTTAAACAGATATGTTATTCGAAATAAAAAAATAAAAAGCACAACACACAATGTGATTTATTTAAAATAACACTCTGTGAAAAAAGTTTAAGTAATATTTAAATATTATATACATTTTTTTTTTTTTTTTTTTTTATTTGTATTTATTTTAATGTATGCATAACTAAGTTAAAACCTGATCAATAGCTGATTTCTTTTCTTCTACTAAACGCTTTTGAACAGATTCATTGATAGCTATTGCTAATATAAATTTCATAATGGAAGAAAGAGATGAATATGAAGAAAATAAATAGCGGTGAACTGGAAGGAGAATAGAATCTAATTCAAAATTACCAATTGCAATTGCAAAATTTCTAATTTCTTCAAAAATATTCTTTGCTCGAAAATAAAAATCTAAATACTCTTCTTTTTTCATATGTCTGTTATATTCAACTATTTCTTGAAAAAGCTTCATCATCAACACCTGCAACTGAAGACTTTCATTTTTAAAACCTAATTGATTGAGAGCATTCAAAGATTCTTGGTACTTAAAATGTGCTTGAATAAGAAGCTCAACTTTTTGTTCATCTAAACAATCTATTGATTCACAATGCAAGATGTCACCTAGCTTTAGTGTTAAACGTGCTCTCATAAAATTATAGTCATATGCTCTCAATGAACTTTCCATTTTTTGTATTTTTTCCTCAACATTTTTTAAGTAGAATTTAGACTTCACAACTAAATTTTTTTTGTTACAAAAAGGAATTTTTTGAGATAAACAAAATGTCCTGGAAACGTCAATGGCTAAATCAACAATTAGCAGAGCTCTTTTGAACCAAGTATCAGTAGATGAGAAGCCTGGATTGCTTAATAAAGTCATAGCTTTTAACAAATCTCTCTGATTATAAAATATGAATGCCAAATGGTATTCAATTTTTGCACTTGCTTCTTCATATTCAACAGTGCGAGCAATAGTTTGAGCTTCTTGTAGCAAATATAACGCTTTTGAAAAATTCTTAAGCTGAATAAATAACTCTGCAATTTTAATGTAACAATCCACTTTAAATGTGATACTGTCTGGTAAATGACTTTTGGTTGATGAGGCTAGTAACTTTTGATTTTTATTCCATGAATACAATTCTTCTTGATTTCTAAAAATATTTTTGAAAAATTTGTAAGTATTAATTGTAAGTAAGTATCAGTTGTAAGCAAGTATTGATTGTAAGCAAGTATCAATTGTAAGTGTAAGTATTGATTGCAGTACAATGAAAATGTTAAAACTTTTTTTTAAAATTTTTTAGTTTAAAAACATTATTTGTAAAAAGTCTTATTATTAATAACAAAATATATAAACTGTTATTTTGTAATCATATAACATAATAAAGAGTACTTTTTTGACACAATAATAATATTATTAAAATTTTTTTTGACAGTTTATACAACATTTTCTGTCATAGCTATTAAAATGCACTGGCCTTTTGGAAGCTATAAAAAGATAAATATTTATTTAGGCCTGGTAACTACACTATGTGGTTTTAAATGTCAGAGTTGCTATTAAAGAAAAAAATATGGTTGACAAAACTAATAACAAACATGTTTCTGAAAAACTTCTATAAAATTACTTTTGAATAAACTTCTATACAATTACTGGTGAAATCTTGATAGTTTTTGAATGACATGTTAGGAGGAATCCTTGACGCTTGACGCTTCTGGCTATTTCAGTTTGCATAAACGCAAAATGAAAATGCCTAAATCTCAAGCCAAAAAACTTTGCAAAGCTACAAGATCACTCAACATAATTTCAAAAGTCACCTCACCTATTGACCAAAGCCATATTAGCAACTGAGGAGCAATATCTATACTTATTGAGTTGGCTTTTATATTTTTTGAGGGGGCTGGAAACCATCACTAACTAAGTAGAGCATTACATTTTTGGCATGAAAAAATAAAAATATGGTAAAAAATATTAGGTGCAGAAAAAAAAATAAAAATATTAGGTGCAGAAAAAAAGTTATTCAAATTAATAATAGTATTATAGTAACATGTTACAAAAATTTTATTCTGTTGAAACTTTTTTCACCTTTTTTAATTTTTTATACTTTTTTACTCCATCGTGACATTAAAATAGTAGTGTTCTATCTCCATTTTTTAACATTGAGAGAATTTAACTTATAATTTTTAATGGTGTAATTATTTTTACAGCTGTTATTATTTATATTGATGAAACATTTTTTTTGTTTAGTAATTAATCTTATATCAATTTATAATTTTTAAAATTAAAATTTTTAACCCACGCAACCACAAAATTACCTTTAGGCATAAAGATAAAACTTTGCAAGGATAAAACTTTGCCTCAACAAATAGAGTTTTTCAATCTAAGAGTTAAAAAAACTATAAATCGAAGGAAGCAGATATACTGAGTTGAAAACATAATTCACAAATGCATTAAAGACATGCTACATCTTCCTCTCTAGAGCCAAGCAACAATATGTTTATGCTTACCTGATGTATCCACCTCTCAGAGTATTGATTCTGCTGATGATTAATACAGTTCAAATAGATTAATACCAACCATTCATTCACAGTTTTCAAACCATCAACTAAGAGCATTTTTTTCATTTATTTGAGAAAGGTGCATATTAATAAGGAAGTGGTAGTAATAGCAGATTGTAAGCAATAAGTACTAAGTTCAACTCACAGTACATTTCTGTTCACACTTCATCCTGGTTCACACTAGATCCCTGTTCACACAAAGATGGAGTTCAAAAATAAATTAGCATTAAATTACTAAAATTAACTAACCCAAAAAAAATTCTTATGTAAACTCACTCATTAAAAGATAAGTTCAAACAGAAAAGAACAAAATATGAAGTGAAGAAATCCATAATAACTTTTGAGTACATTAACTTGTTTATAGTATTTTCATATGTAGGCATTAGAAAAAGTTTGAATCACTAAATGGCATAAATCTATAGGCTTTGAATGAATAAATATTATTCGATATAACATAATAAATTAATATTTATCTGGTTGCAACTATTACGATCTCCCTCATTTACTTATTAAATCATTCCAACTATATTTTGTAAGAAGAATGGTAATGGTAAATGTCATTTTTCAAAAATAGGTTATTTAAAAACAACATGATTTTTTATGTTAAGCTAAGTTTGCAAAGATGTTGGTGTATGTATGTATGTGTATATATATGTATATATATATATATATATATATATATATATATATATATATATATATATATATATATATATACATATATACATATATATACATATATATATATACATATATATATATATATATATATATATATATATATATATATATATATATATATATATATATATATACATATATATATATATATATATAAATATATATATATATATATATATATATATATATATATATATATATATATATATACATATATACATATATATACATATATATATATATATATACATATATATATATATATATATATATATATATATATATATATATATATATATATATATATATATATATATATATATATATATATATATATATATATACATATATATATATATATATATATATATATATATATATATATATACATATATATATATATATATATATATATATATATATATATATATATATATATATATATATATATATATATATATATATATATATATATAACAAAAATTCAAATAATCATAATGACAGAAATTATATCTTACTGTACTTGAGCAGTTAAAGAGAATATATCTGTATTCAAAGCATAGTTATAATGATAGTTGAAAGCATCAAACATTTCCAATGTGTCATACAGCACACTACATTTGAGGTGGACTAGCGTTACTAAAATTTGATTCTTTAAAATTTCTTCTGATAAATAACCCATCACCAGTAAAACATGTGCAGTTAGATGTGTTAAACTGTTAATCTCAAGATAGTTGACCAACTTCTCCATGTATAGGAAGAATTGCATTGGTTTAGTAATTGAATTATTGCTGATAAACAAACCATTGCAATCAGCTTTATAATATTGTAAATGTTTTTCAGGTAGTTTGTAAATACTAACTTCCTTAATAGTCGTACAAAATGAGATAGGATCAATTTCAGTATTAGATAAAATTTCTTTTTTTTCTGGGTTAAGTTTTTCACCAGGTAAACATCCAATGTGCATACATTTTTCAACATTTATATAAGATATCTAAAATTAAATGACATTTTATAATCTTTACAATTTTTAATATTTTACATACTATAATACTATATAAAAATAATTATAGAACTAAATATAGTTATTATTGTTACATTATATATTTAATTATGTTATATTGTATATGTGAAAATTTATCGGTTTATAAATATGAGTAAAAAATTAAAATATATTACTAACAAACCTTCCACAATTGTTTTACTAAAAACAAAGCACTGTTCACACATTCTATAAATGTGTTTGAATTAAAGGTACTTATATCTGCAACCATTAACAACAAACAGATTAAAGTTGTTGTTTCTTCTATAGTTTTCACTATTTTCCCATTAAGTTCCAATAAAGTAGACAAATCAATTGGTGTTAACTTTTTTAATAATAAGAAGCTCATTGCATGAGTAAGGCATTCCATCGTAGTTTCAAAAGGATAATTATTTGTATACAAAAAACTTGCTAAATCCATTAGTCTACATACTTTTTTATAAACATTATTATTTGATAAAACATTCACAGAATTTTTATAAGCTAAAAGTTTATCTATACAATTAACAGAATATGTGGCCACCTCAAACCAAATATTTGACAAAAACTCATCACTTGGTTTATAAAACTTTGTCATATCAGATTCAATAGACTTGTTTAATCGCACCAAAAATATAATTTTATGTTTTAGAAGCATAGTTTGATGTTGAGAAAATTTAATAACTTTTAACAAATTTTCAATCATCTTAACACCATCTTCAAACTCTTTCTATAGTTCAAAAAAAAGATTTTAAAACAAAAAAAGTATGTATATAATACTTGTGTTGATATAAACTAATATTTTGCACCTGATCAGAATAACTTCGAAACAGAACATCATGTAATGCTACAACTAACTTTGAATCTTCCTCATTCATAATAGTTTTTTTGCCTTTCTCTGCATACTGAGTTTCTTTAACTCCTTCTATGTTCTATAAACAACTTTAACTGATAGATTTTTATAAAAGTATAAACATTGAACATAAATCAACAGAGATCAATAGTATAAACAGTAAAACTTTTCTTTTTACTTTATTATTTATTTCATTTTATCTAATTACTTGCTATTTTAAGTATTTTATAAAGTATATTAAAAAACACTATTTTTAAATAACATTATACTATAGTAATAAAGATATAACAATAAAATTACCATGTTTAAAACAAATGCAATAACATCCAATAAGTTTTTTAAGCTGCTTTGTAATACTTTTATTTTAACAGTTGAATCAAGGAAAGGTTGAATTGCATTCCAATAATGTTTAGATGCATTCATAGCTAAGTTTGATAAACTACCATTTTTAGCATGCCTAGAAATGCATAACAAATTAAAGCTAGGCTGAAATATAAGTTAGACAGAGTCAGTTAGGTCAGGAATCTTTTCATAATAAAGAAACAAAATTGGCTCATTTACCTCAATCAAAAAAGAGCCAAATATTAAATTTTGACCCAGTTTAAAAAATTAATGAGTCACATAAAAAAATACCATGATGTATACCCCATTTAATATACATATAGTGTATGTTAAATAATAAAACACCGAAAAAATTAATAACTGTTTTGTTATACATTAATCTTATTTTGCACAAATTCAGACAAGTGTGACACAATTAATTAGACTTCTTTTATTAAATTTTCTTACAGAGTAAATTATTATTTAGTGAATAAATTTCGTTGTTTTTATTTTTAAGCATGACAGTACCAAACATTTTGTTAGCTACTTAACGTGATTTTTGTAAACGCATGTTGGACAATAATTGTTTACAAAAATAAATTGGTGCAAAATTGAGAGAAGCTTAAATTCAAAACTAACTAAAAATAAATATTGGAACAGTTCCAAACAAAGATAGTTTGATCTGGTTTTTCAAGTTAATTTACTTTAGACCATTTGTGTTGTAATGAAAAGGCTGATTTTTGTTTTTCAATGTACTCAAGTTCATGGATCTAGGAGTGTAAATTTGAATACCAAATTGCTCTATCTTCTAAATCTACCCGTTCAAGTTCATATTGAGCTTGGTTAATTTTAGGAAAGGCTGAAAAATCAAACTTTTAAATATCTGTTTTATAAAAAATCTGCTTTATCAAAAATGAAAAAGTTTACTTTCTTTTTCTAAACACTTAAAAGCAACCAAAAGATGAAATTACATTTTTCTAAACAACTTTTTTTGAAAAACTTGAGGTCAGTGCTTTCCTTAGTAGCATGCTTGTGTTCCCTTACTGCTTGGAAGTACAATAACTTGGAAGCCATCATGAAGTAGAATTCTTGCAACCAATCAAGGTCTAATCTGAACTGTAACCAATCAGAGTCTGACAAATTAGAATATCCCATTTTCTTTTCTTTTAGCGTTGGCTTTACTTCATAAAAACAAGCAATAAATTTATAACCATCAATAAACTATAAACCAATAAACCACTAATAAGATAACCACTATAACATTCAAGATTGATTTCTTTAAAACCAATCTTGAATGTTATAGTGAATGAGAAACTGGCAGTGACTCAGACTGTTTTCCATTATTTTATTTACAATTTTAACTAATAATTTCATTATCTTTAAAAATATTTTTTGGGAAACTTTGCATCCGTGAATAATGCAATGATAAGAAAACACATCATAGTTAATACTTTTTGTTAATGAAGCAATGAAACCTTTTTTTCTCCTTTTCATGCTTAAAGCTCCATCTGTAGCAACTGATATGATTTTGATGATATTTATATTTCTTCATCTGCAATTATTCAAAGACTGTATTTGCAATATCTTCTCCACAAGTCTGTTTCATGTGTAACAGTAGTTCAATCAGCTCTTCTTAGATACAAAAATTTTATAGTAAATTTATGTATCTGCAAAAGAGAACAACTTGTGCAATTACATCCACATCATAAGACTTATCACATTCCAGAGAATATCGTGATGCAAATTTTATGTCTTCAAAATGCTGGTTAGCCATATCAATAGACATCCTCGTCGTTCTTTCTTTCATAAACTTTCCTGATAATGGCATTTCTTTTTTTTTAATTACATTGCCAATATTCAAGAATTTCAACATATTTAAATGGAAAGTTCAGAAAAATATTTTCAAAGAGACACATGATGAAAGCAGTGGTGGATTAAGACTTTTCAAGGCCCAGGACTATTTTAAAGTAGGATGCACCGTTCCATGTCATTAATCAAAGATTTTTTTTTCAGAATCTCTTTTTTAAAAAAAAACTTATTTTGAATTGGTTTTTTTTTTTATAAGGGGGCTATAATCACTACTAACACCCCCCTCTTTTCCTTAATCCAGCACTGCATGGAAGTATTTTGACAAAATATTTAAGAGACACGTGATAAAGTTCAAAAAGCAACCTGTAACTCGTAAGCAACAGGTTTCTCGTAAGCAACCTGTAACCCGTAAGCAACAGGTTTCTTGTAAGCAACCTGTAACTCGTAAGCAACAGGCTTCTCGTAAGCAACAGGTTCCTTGTAAGCAACCTGTAACTCGTAAGCAACAGGTTTCTGATGATCATTGTTTAAAAAAAAAACAAATAAAAAATCAAAACTATCTTTACCCATAAAAAAAAGGAAGAATTTGTTATATATTTAATAAGTATATATCAACTAATAAACTTTTTTAAAATTTGATTAAAATATTTTTCCAATAAGCTTCTTTTCCACTCAATTTGTCTTCCACTCAACTCATCTTTCAATTACTTTATTTTTTTAATAATTTAACAAATTGAATTTGATTTTTTGAATTTTTAGACTGAATTTGAATCTAAATTAAAGCATTTTAATTTAGAGATACTTAAAATATTGGTCAAAAACATTTTTAAAAACAAAAAATTCACACACTAATAAATAACAAGTAACAAAAACAATTAATAACGTTCATGCCACTCACCATATTCATAAATAAAAAAATTAAAATTATAATAAGATGTATACTATTTTTAAATTTCTATTATATAAATATCGTATATAAATTATATAAATATATTATATAAATTATATAAATATCTTATATAAACTCTATAAATATCTTATACAAATTATATAAATATCTTATCCAAATTATATAAATATCTTATATCAATTATATAAATATCTTATATAAATTATATAAATATCTTATATAAATTATATAAATATCTTATATAAATTATATAAATATCTTATATAAATTATATAAATATCTTATATAAATTATACAAATGTCTTATATAAATTATACAAATATCTTATATAAATTATATAAATATCTTATATAAATTATATAAATATCTTATATATATTATATAAATATCTTATACAAATTATATAAATATTTTATAAAAATTATATAAATATCTTATACAAATTATATAAATATTTTATAAAAATTATATAAATATCTTATACAAATTGTATAAATATATTATATATATAAATAAGTTCGATCCCCACCATGTCCCTGGTAGTACCGCGCTTAACTTGTTTCTCTGCGCAGCAGCCTTGTTCATCAAGGTTCGTGTTTCGGAGTTATAGAGTTGAGAGAGGGTTATAACCACTATTAAGTAGCCTCCTTGTCTGTAGTGGCCTTCTCGGCCTTGAGGAGGTGAATAACAAAAAATATATATATCTTATACAAATTATATAAATATCTTATACAAATTATATAAATATCTTATATAAATTATATAAATCTTATATAAATTATATAAATATCTTATATAAATTATATAAATATCTTACATAAATTATATAAATATCTTATATAAATTATATAAATATCTTATATAAATTATACAAATATCTTATATAAATTATATAAATATCTTATATAAATTATATAAATATCTTATATAAATTATATAAATGTCTTATATAAATTATACAAATGTCTTATATAAATTATATAAATATCTTATATAAATTATATAAATATCTTATATAAATTATATAAATATCTTACATAAGTTATATAAATATCTTAAATAAATTATATAAATATCTTGTATAAATTATATAAATATCTTATATAAATTATATAAATATCTTACATGCAAGCATCAACAAAACAAGGAAGAGCATAGTTGAAAGTATCAAACCATCTGTTTATGTTGGATGTGTAACATTGACCTTTAATAATGTTGGCATAGTGAAGTAGCTGATAACTTTTGGAATGTTTATGATGGACATAAAATAATTAACATACTTAATAATTAACATAATTAACAATATTTTTTTTTGTTTAAACCAATAATACATTTGTAATTTTATGAAAAAATATTTTAAAAACATTTATTATAAGATATTAATATTTACACTAATTTATACAGCAGAATACCCAAAATACCTTCTGTTTAACATTTTCTCATTTTTCAATTTTTGTTTTTGTGTTTTTATTTTACTGTCAGGAGTTTTTAACTCGAGAGCACAGTTGCAGCACTCAATAGCTTTCTCAGTATTTTCATTGCTGAATGACAGATGTGCAAGTTTCACCCATATTTCAAGTAATATTATAAAATCATTACACTTTATACTTTTCGCAAGATCAATTACCTAGATTTTTTAAATATTGAAAATATTTATATATTTAAAAATATTATGGATACATACATTTCTAAACATAGACTTTTCAACTTCAATGCTTTCAATTATATTATAGAATGATAAATGTTTACATATAAATGTCTACATATATGAATTATTTTAAAATATTGCATAAGTATATAACTTTAAATACTATTATTTGCATACTAAGGTAATCAATAAAAGATTATGTTATCATTTGGTTCTACTGAATAAAAATGTTTAAAAATTGCTTGAAACTTTTTTAAAAAGTTAAATAAAAACATATATTTAGGCAGTTTTATAAAAAAAACTTTAAAGATGTATTATAAATTTCAACCAAATTTTCAAATATTCCAAACTTACTTACAAATTTTCAAATATTCCAAACTTACTTACTTGAAACAGTTACTTTTATGAATCAGTTTACAAAAAAAAACTTTTGATCTTTTTTAAAAATGTTTTGCAATTTTTTCTTATAAATTAGTAAACAAGCTTTTTTTTTCTACATAAAACTTCAGTGCTGTGGTTTTATGTAAGTGCTTCATTAACTTCAGTGCTGTGGTTTTATGTAAGTGCTTCATTAACTTCAGTGCTGTGGTTTTATGTAAGTGCTTCAATTCAGTGCTGTGGTTTCATGTAAGAGAACATAAAACATAAAACTTCGGTGCTGTGGTTTTATGTAAGAGAATACTAATCAAATCATTTCAGTTTAAGAAAGATTAAAATAATAAATTTAACAAAAGTTATTAAAATTAGTATTATAACACAGCAGAAAAGAGAAAAAATATTAGATAAATAGAAACTCAGAGAACAGCATTTAATAAGTTAAACCACAGCACTTAGTAAGTTGAACCACAGCATTAAGTAAGTTGTGAAAAATGTCATCTCTAAAACTCATCCAAATTAAAGTTAGAAAAATATTTTATTATTATTTATATTTTAATAGACAAAAAAGCTTTTTTAAATTTAAAGATATTCACCTCATTTACAGAAGTAGTTGGTGAATAGTTAACTACTTTGTTTTGATGAAGTATCATAGCTTCAAGATGGCATAAAACAACTTCAACATCTTCAACTTTTTCAAAATTTAAATAATTTTTGGATTGATTCATCAAGCCTTTACATAGCACCCATGTCTTGAGAAGCTCAATACGAGATGCAAGAGGTACAATGTGCTGAGAAGTATATTTTAGTGTATTTTCTAAGATACTGCTTGCTTCAGTTAAATCTGGCATGTCATCCTTTACATCTGTTAAACATAATCAATTAAAAAAACTTTCATTTTTATGTCATCCTTTACATCTGTTAAACATAATCAATTAAAAAAACTTTTATTTTTATAAAATAATATATTTTATAAAATTATATAAATAGTAAGGTGGATCATATCTTTTTAATTTATTATCACTACTATAAAAAGCTGAATATAAAATATAAAAATAAGAGAACAATGAACATTCAACATTCAACATCTTTGAGGGGCAACTTTTGTTTAAACTTTTTAAATAACGCTTTTCTACATAGTTCAAATTCATCAATATTCTTAATAGAATATTTTAAATTTTATTTACAGGATTTTGCAAAGTTATAAGTGCACATTAGCCCATCCCATAATTTTTTTTTGACAACCAGTTTTTATGCGAAGTGGGTAATGAGTGGTGTAGAGGTCATATTTATATAAAAAAAAAATTATATTTTTTCTTGATAAAAGTATTTGCACCAATTGTTCGAAGTTACGCTTTATGCGATTTTTGACTAAATTTAGGGCAATTTCCAAGCATTGGCGCCATCAGATTCTGATATCAAATCCAGTTAATTTGTTCAACGATGTTTTCACTGTGTTCCTACACCAAAAAAATAACTATATTATTAATTTAAGAAATATGCTGTTCCTATCTTACTAATTATGGTAGATAAATCAACACTTTGGCTACTGTAAAGTAATTTTTCTGTTAATCTTTAGGCTTTTTTCCAGTCATACAACAAACTTTATAATTTTTGCCTCATTTTGTTATCAAATGATGTTTTCCTTCTAAATACTGATACCGGAACATTGAATCAAACAAATCCAAATCCAAAATGATTTCCTTGAAAGATTGGGTAAAGAATTTTCGATCTTTAGTTGTAAACTAAGCTAGATCAAAACGTATCAATGTTATTCAAAATTATATATACACATTTTTTCTGTGGCTATTTTAGGTGCTCCAAGAAGACCTAAATGTCGAATCACAGAGCACTGCAAAGGAGCATTTAACTTGGAAGTTAACGCTTCCTTCATGTCGAAAAAATACCTAGAGTAGGCATCAAACTACAGATCAATGAAGGATTCAGCATTTTTTGGTGTTTGAGATATTTAACAGGCATGGCGCAAACTCAAAAAATTTGTATGTTTATACTTATGTCAAATAATGATGCTTTGCAAAATATTGCGATGTTTGGAGGCTGGAAACTAAAAAAACCCTAAAATTTCATCCTCCCCTGCCCCAAACGTGAGAGCAACAAGTTAGTAAAATAACTTTTTTGAAATTCTTAACTGTGTTTATATTTAATGATAAATTTTAAGTTTCATAGTATTATCTCTCAAAGTTCATAAATTATAACCATATAAAGTTTAAAACCCCCTCAATTCGAGGGGGTTACAAATTTTATATAGTCAACTTTTGAACGCTTAGAGATTGTTAAACAATACTTAAAATTTATCAATGAATAAAAACTTAGTTAAGAATAGCAAAAAAATTATTTCATCAACTTGTTGCTTTCACGTTTGGGGCAGGGGATAAAATTTTAGGGATTTTTTTTGTTCCCAACCTCCAATAATTGCAACTTTTTAAAAATTACGATTATTTGACATAAGTGTAAACATAAAAATATTTCAAGTTTTGCTATGCCTGTTAGCTGTTTTAAACACTGAAAAATGCTGGATCCGTTACTGCCATAGATCTCTTGTTTCTGAAGCAAGTTTGCTTTATAATTCTACAAATTTGCAATAACTCTTTGTATACATATAAATTTTCAGCTTAAGACAAATATCTCAAGTAAATATAAAAAAAAAAAATTTAAATATACTTTTAAGGTTTAGAGCTTGCAATTAGATATCTGATTGATATCTGAATTCAATTTATTAGCACCATTCAATAACGAGAAAGAAAGGATGCAGTCGCCATAGCTAGCTCCTTGAAGCCACTATTCTTTTTTTAATGTTTTTTTTTTTTACAAGTACTCTTTATTACTCATCACACGCTCTACATTATCTTGAATAAATTTTACTGTAAGCACAGTAAAATTAATAGATTTACATTTTTGCTGTGAGTTCTGATGTGTTGTTAACAACTTTGAAATATCTTAAAAGTTTTGGTATTCATTGTATTCAAAAGTTCTGAGGAAGTCTCATCCGTAGACATTTTTTCAAACTATGACTTAAAATATCAAATATTACCCAGTAGTCTGGTGAAATATACAACTCAAGACCTAGTGGCTAGCCTTTATTAACAAAAACTGCTTTTAGAAGAATTTCAACTTTGATTATATCTGTTTTTTCATCTTTTTAAACCTCCCTTTGTTTTTGAATACAGAACTTTTTACCATTTTTATATTGAGATATTGGTAAAAAGATGAAAAAAACGATGGTTTAAATAAACTGTTTAAACCATTGTTTTTAAACAGTTGGTTACTTTATGACATAAATTATTCTTAAATAATAAGACTAAAACATCAAAACTTATGAAATTAAGTTTTACTTTAAAAATTGCAAAATCAAAAAAGTTGCCGGTCAAAAACCGCGATTCCCTGGAGAGAGAAATTTAGTCAGCCATTCTATTGATCTTTTTGAGTATTTTATTACTCAATAAGAACCTGCATGATTTCAGAGAAACGTAACTTGAATTTCATGAAAGTCAAGATTTGTGAAACAGCTCCATTTTTGTTAATTTTTACCTGATGGTCTGATTTTTTTCCGCAAGTTTACAGTAATCTCTGCTCTTCTTAAAAATAAATAATTTTCAAATAAGAAACTTATTCATTTTGTTTTTGCAAAAAGATATTTTAAAGTGAAGCAGTTTTATCTTTGCCTTATTATTTTTTAACCTTTATGGTTTTATGATATAAATAGTTTATTCCCTAGTTTAACAGTTTAATGTATGGCTATGGCTATATGAAGCTTTCTGACATGATGGCAGGAGGTTAACAAGAATAATAGTTGGTCAGTAAATTTAGTTAACCTTTTACAAACTTCGTTTAAACAGCCAGCGCTTAAAGTGGGTGAGATAAAAAGCATATAACAAATTATTAATTGCTGTGTATTGGGCTAAAAAACGCTGTTGTTTTTAAAAACCATGTTTTTTAAATTTTTTCAGGAATTTGTGCATTTTTAAAATACCACCAGTTAACAAAAAAAAAATAAAAAAAAATGCGCACACTCTGTATAGATAAAAACCTTCCATTACTTGTAATGACGTTATTATATAGTTAATGATTTGTAATCTTTTATTCGTGCCGATTGTTTGAAAATGCCAGTAAAAACTCAAAAAATATAAAAATGTTAAACTTCAAAGGAGTGGCGCAAGTATAAATAATCATCTAAATTAAAAAATAAAAAAATTTCATTAGAAAACAATACCTTGGAAATATTTTACAACACTCCGCGTATTAAAATTTGTTCAAGAGGGTCAAAATGGGATGGGCTAGTGCACATTTGCAAAGTTAAAAAAATTAATTTTGATCCTATTTTAACTACCAATAGAAAGAAAAGTACGGAAAACAATTACAGAACAAACTAAAAAAATAATTATTTTAATGAGAAATTGGGAAAAATAATCAATCAAGGAAATATCAGACGCTTGTAATTTAACTGGAAATGCTGTTAGTCGCGTTATAAAAAATAGTGATAATATATTCTTCACGCCATCTACAGTAAAAAGAAACAAAAATGTATAAAGTTAAAAACTCTATAAATACAAAGATTGAACAGACAATATTTAATTCTGTTGTCTGTAACAATGCCGTAATTTAAAAAGAAATTCAAATGCAAATTTTTGAACAACATGATAAAAATGTTTGGATTTCGTTTGTTTCCTGTAAATTAAAGAAATTAATATTTTAAAAAAGATTAGCAATCATTCCTCAAGAAAGAAACACCATGGAAAGAATAAATCAGAGATCAATTTTTGCGGCAAAAGTTACTAAAATTGCTAATTAAAATTTGGTTTTTTTAGACAAAAATGGATTCAATAAACATTCAGCGGCTCATATGGCTATTCTCCAAATGATACAAAAGCATACTTGACAGTTCCCGCAAATAAAGGACAGAATGTTAGCCTCGTGTGCTTAATTTTCAATTTAGACATTTCCAATACAAAAGCGGTGCATACAATACACAATCATTTATTGATTTTATCAACAACTAGTACCATTCTTTGCAGCAAATCCAAATAAAATTCTTAAATAGATAATGCAAAATTTCTTAAAGCAGCTGCAGTACTTCAATTACTGAGAGAGAAAAATATTACTTACAAGTTTTTAGTACCATACTCCTAAATTGAACCCAATCAAGGAATTCTTTTCAATGTTAAAATCCACTTTCAAATTCACAAAAATGCTAACCCCAATATGACTATTGAAAAACTCTAGAAAATATTTTATAACCTGATAATAAATATAGCCAACAGTGCAATGGCTTTTATAAAATATGAGAAGATGGTTGGAAAAGGCAATAAGGAGAGAAGAATTTATCTAATTGAAATATTTGAAATGATTTTTTTTTTTTTTAATATGTATATTTTTGCATCCCTTTTTTAAAATTTATGATTAAATAATGTATACTATTTTTTAAACTTATAGAAAGTAAGTATCTAATCTAGAAAAGTTATTGATATATAAAAATATGCTAATTAAGTATAAATGTAAATAATTTTCACAAATTAATCACTTTTTTTTAAAAAAAAAAAACACTTTGAGTGCTATGATGTAATTTAATTTAATATTTTGCACAAAATTTTTTATTTTTAAAAAATAAAAAAAATAATTTCCAAAAATATATATATATGCTCTTACAACTTTGCAAGCGTGCACTTTGACCTTATTTCTAATTTCATTTTTACTTTATCACTCTCTGTTCTATCGTTTAAGATTGGTGAATAATAATCGTCACGTAAATAAGCTTGTTAAAATTCACACATTTTTTTATGTTACTTTTAAGGGTTATTTTAATGACTATTGTACTCATAAAATTGTCATTAGAGTTTTGATTGTATATATATGTAAGATTTTATGTAATAAATGTGTTAGAATCAATAAGTTCAGATAGTTGTTTTTCAATATATAATCGCAATAATGTAACAATATTGTGAGTTCCTGAATGCATATTGCAATATTAATATTGAAATATGCATTTTTTAAATAAAATTTTTTTTGTTAATGTTAAATGTTTGTGTATTGAATTGTTGGCACTTGATATTTACATTCACAAGAGAACATGATTTTTTTTAATTTATTTTTTGTAAATGTGGATTTCGAACAATTTTTTATTCTTATTCTTTTTAGATTGCATAACGAACTTGAAGAAAAAGTTTACCAAAACCAGAAGTTACACAAACATTCAGTATTTGGCCAACAAAAGCAGAAGTCTTTAAAAATTATCTATACATCAGGCATGCAAAGACTTTCTCACAATCTTTAAACTCTGAAGAACCATCAATCAGAGACGTAAATAAGATAGTAGCTGATGATTTGGTAGAGATATGGTTGAGGGCTGGGTTGCCAACAATTTTATATAATGACTGATATATAATGATCTGAAAACTTAGATAAATTGGTTTGAAATGAAACTGAAATGATTAAGGAAATATGTTAATGAAAAGAGAAATTCATCTACATTTCAGTGCCAACTTGGTTCGTTTAATAAAGTATTTGAAATTTGTCTTTGCAAATGTGTTAATCGTTGTATCAGGGACCAGTCAAACAGCCATTGTTCCATCAAAGTTCGTTTTTAAGGAGTTTTGGCTCAATCAAAAGAGTAACCATAAAACATTGAGCAGATTGATCCAAAAAAAAAAAGAATGACTCCAAAAGCAGAAATTTTATAAAGAATGGAAAATTCAGTTTAGAAAAAAAAAACATGCCAAGCTTGGACAATGAGGATAACTCTTTCCTGTGAGAGTGATAAAGAAAGCAGTTGTTGTGATGATAATGAAGAATATGATGAAGCTACTGATTCAAAAGACAGCTCACATAGTGCACATGATATAAAATATTGCAATGTATTTCAGTACAAAGAACTCTGTCAAATAATGGAACAAACAGGAGTTAGCAACAGAGATGCATGCAAAATTGTTAACGCTTGCTTGAAAGATTTATCATTCGATTCACCACAATACATATTAGATGCAGATAAATTAAAAAGAAAACGAAACCTGTGGAGACAAAAAGATGTTGAAGAACATGCAGAACTAGCCACAGAAATTATTGGAATTGGTTTTGATGGCTGTATAGACAAAACCCTAAGGTTAGTGGAACAAGATGATGGTAAAGTTAGCAGGGCCACATCCATCAAAGAAGATCATTACGTGGTAAAGTAGTTGATGTTGCAAAAGAAACCATTTCAGTTTTAAATGACAGAAATTCTCTTGTGACTTTACAAAGCATTGTTTGTGATGGAACTCAAATAAACATGGGCTGAAAAAATGGTATCATTCGTTTACTTGAAACTCGTTACCAAACTCTTCATTTGAATTAGCACCTTTCAGAGCAATTTTCACTGCACTTGATGGCAGTATTCAATAATTTTTATTCAAATTTTGAATTAAATAATAAAAGTACATGTAAAATTTACATTTTTGAGTTTCAATCAAATTAAACAAAAAATAAATAAAAACTAAGTAATTCATAAATACCTAACTTTTTTATTTTTGTAGGAGATTTCTTTTTAACTTTCTTATTGTTGGCTAACTTTTCATCATTTTTAGATGAATCTATTGAAGAATTAATATAAGTTTGGATTAGACCTTGTGCTAATGCATTACCTAAACTGCATAGTATTGCTTGGTTTGGTTTTGCTGTTTTGGCAATTGTTTGCATAGCAAAAAAAATAGGTTTAAAATATTTTGTTAGCTTTGAGAATTGTCCTTTTGATATTAAATGGATTGTATAGTTCCAAATATAAACAGCAGCATTGTTCACTATCCAATCTTCCTTTAACTGAACACCAATGTCTGCAGAATGAAGAAAATGTTGTAATGCATTTTCTGAAACTTCTATCAACCACTTGCAATAAGCAGACCATTGATTATCTACATTACATTTATCAGTCATACTTGTTTTATTTTCATCATATCCAAGTAAAGTACTATTTAGTATAGGTGATACCTGCACAGGTTGTGCTTGTACAAACAAAATCTCTTCTCTTACTGGAGAGTGTGGCATCTGCAGAAGTTCTACTTCTTTATACTTTGAAGCAGTTGGTATCTCCAAAAGTTCAGTTCCTTCATACTTTAAAAGTTGCACAAGGCACTAGAAAAATAAAATTTGAATTCAAAAAATGTTAGACTGCAAACTAAAAAAAATTAAACTATAAGTTTGAACAGGAACTCAAAACCAAACATTTTGCTATTATCAATCAAATCGTTGTTGCAAACAACTAAAATTGCTGTTGTAAACAACCAAATGGCTGTTGGAAACCAAAATTGCTGTTGAAAACAACTAAAATTGCTTTTGCAAACAACAAAAATTGCTGTTGCAAACAACCAAATGGTCATTGCAAACAATCAAATTTTTGTTACAAATAATCAAATTGTTGTTGCAAACAATTAAATGGTTGTTGCTGACAACCATTTAAATAAAATTTAGACAAACTACCAAGTAATTGAAGTTCATAATTAATTTATTGTTACAAACATTTAAATAATGGATATTGTTGCTACAAACATAGAAATAATGAATGTTGTTGATATTCAATTTGATTCAAAAGAAAATAAAATAAAAATTACTTCTGCATAGATATAATGTATTTCTGATGCTAATCTCTTTAATGCATTTTTTGGTTTAACATCCTGAGATCTCTCATTTGCATCAAAGATTTTGTTGTAACAAAAAAAGAAAAAAGTAGATGACGCACGAGTAATATCCCATAATCCTTGCTTTCTAGCAATTTTAACTAAATCAGACCATAAGTATGTTCTAAAAACAAAACCAGATACTAAGTATGTTCTAAAAAAAACACAAATTTAATAATAACAATAGTAATAGCTTTATTTTTATTAAGTTGAATGGAAAATATAATAAATAACAGTAGATAAACAGTATACATAAAAAACTATAGAAAATTTATTTTTAATTTTATTTTTACAAAAAAACAAACAAAATAATTAAATATATACATAAATTCTCCTAATAATTTAACAAGAAATATGTAGACAAGCTAAAAATTTAACATTTTAAAACTATTTTAAAATTGTATATATACATACAAATATTTTCTTAATAGTTCAACAAGAAATATGTAAAAATGCTAAAAATTTAACATTTTATATACTTTTAAACTATGCTTTAAAACTATGCTTTAAAATATACAACAAACTATTATGTGATCAGTTAAAATTTAATAAAAACTATTGAAGTTGTAAAATCTGATGCATTTGAGTTATTCCCTGCAACGGTGCTCCTCGGTGCAACGGTGCTCCTCGGTGCAACGGTGCACCTCGGTGCAACGGTGCAACGGTGCTCCTCGGTGCAACGGCGCAACAGTGCACCTCTGTGCTGCATGGCAAATCATTTGTAATTATATTTTTTTGTTCTGTAAAATACAACTGGAGTTCATGCTGGAAAGAAATGTATTGCTAAGTTGTTGTTATTATTTTTATCCATTTCTTAAAATAACTTATGTTTTAACAAATTGTAAAGTTAAAAAAATTAAAATTAAACAACATTTTTTGTGCAAATATATTAAACTACTTCTTGTCAAAAAAAAAAGTTAATAAGTGCGTATAAATATTGACAAACAATATAAATATGCATGTAAACAATATAAATATGCATGATGTATGTAACTATTTATTAACTAACAAGATAGTGTCATTTATATTGATATAACAGTGTTATATCAATATAAATGACACTATCTTGTTAATGACATTATCAGAAAATTAATAGTGAGTACTTTGCCACTAAAAAAAAAATTATTTTAATAACAATATCTTTACCATTATTTTACACTTATTTTAATCATTTCCTACACTTTTTTTTAAAAAAACTTCAAATAAGTTATCCATTAACTCTGTTGTAGACATGGAAAGCAATACACAAGTGAAATATTTTTTTAAATTTAAAATATTTCATCACCATTTAACCTTTGTGATATTTCATCATTATACTACCTCCATCATACTTTATAATCAATTCACTCAACTTTCATTTTTCTAACAACAAAAAAATAAAAAAAATGATATAGATAAAATATTACAAAATGATATAGATAAAATAGCCAAATGGTGTCATGTATGGAAGATGAAACTTAATGTAAGTAATTGTAAGTAAATGTATTTTGGTAAATATAATAAAAAAATTCAAATAAAAAAAGAAAATATACCACCTTAGACTAAAATCATAACATACGAACTCAAATTTAAGTATCTAATTTAAAAAAAAACCTATACATTATGACATTTGACAGAAAATACAACCAACATATCAATTACTGTGTCAACAGAGCTAACAGAATGATAGGTTCAATTAAACACACTGTAAATTTAATCTCATTTGCTATAATATGCATGCTCCTTCTCTTTATACTTTTGAACTCACACAATAAGGTACTCTCAAATCTTAATAATCTGTCAATATCTGCTTAATCAGTAATAAGATCGAAAACTTTGCTTCATCAGCTTAATTAGTCATAAGATCAACAATTTGTATTTGATAACTTCTGTAGTAAAGGATGTACCTTATGTTATTTTTGAATCATTAAAGTAACTTTTAAAGTCAGGAAATTTATTTAATTCATGCATTATAATAATAACATAATTCAAGTCCTTTGTCAATTGTATTTAAAGTTTAAATTAGATTACATTAGATAAAGTTTAAATTAAATTAGAAGATGATGACTCTAGAAAATGTTGCTTTTTTCAAAGGTCGGGAAGTCAAACTCTTGATAAAGTTAGTATTTATCTCCAAAACCCTTGCATCTCACACGGTCAACTCTATGTTACATGTTAAGAAACAAGATTGTTTAATACCTTATTTAAGAGAAGTTAAAAAAAAATCCATTTGCTTTATAAAAATTTGCTATATAAAAAACCAGATTGTTTGATCGGTGTTTTTTTCAAATTGTTAAAGATTTATTACGAGGTATGTCATTAAACAAATATTACAAAAATAAGGTTGTATTTATAAAGTTTCTAAATTATATATTTTCTGAGTTTATATATTTCTTTATATTTGTGTGTTATTTATTATGTGTTTATATGTGTTAAGATTATATGGGTTTACATTTTGTAAGTGTAGATATCTTTTGTATATGAGTGTTTCTATGTTTGTGATATGTTATTTGTTTATAGTTTGTAAGTGGTTATTATGCTGTGTCATAAATGTGTCATAAATGTCATAAATGTGTAATTACCTGTAATATATCTAGGTATAGGTATAGATATCTATATATTACTGAAACTGACTACATATAATCATTTACTAAATGATTCAGTGTTTTTACCTACATATAATCATTTAGTGAATGATTATATGTAGGTAAAAATGTTAAACATGTAGGTAGTTTCATTACTGAAACTGACTACATATAATCACTAAATGATTCAGTTTTCAAATAAAAATAAAGGTATATCCTATTGTGATCATTTATTTTTAGTCAATCCAAATTTGCAACAATAAATCTTGAAACTTTCACAAAAGATAAACAACCTCACAAAGTAAGTTTCTTATTTGTTATCTGTTTAGTCACATTTTTGAGTTATCAAATAAATAAATAGAGTACATAACAAATTAATGTGTATTAAGTGTATTCAATAATAATTTTGTTACATTTTTAGATCAAATTTCTTCTCCTGTGACTGATTTTGAAAGTTCCTACATAGCAAAATTTAAGAAATGTTCTGAATGTTGATTGTATTCAAAAAGTTAAAACAAAGCTTGATAATCTTCATACCATTTACTAAAAGATATATAATAATGAAAAAATGTTTCAAGTTAAATTGTTTTATAAGTATTTTTGAATATAAATTTTTTTTTTGTATTTTTTTTTAAGCTTATTTTTTTATTTTATCAAGAAAATTTTGTTTGTTTCTCAAATAAATTTTTATATTTTTTATCTTTGGAATTGTTGTTTTGAATGGATATTTTTGCTTTGTGTTTTATATTTCCGTTATCTTTTTATATGTGAACGGAAACCATTTAGACTGTTATCACCTTTTGTACAATCAAGATAGTTTCCAGTTTCATTAAGTATGGATTGCACAAACAACATGTTTAAAAATTTATTTGCCAAATTTCACAGTAAAAACAGTTTAATTGTATGAAATTGTTAAGAGTTTTATTATAAAAAGGCTTTTATAAAAAATATCGAACAGATAAAGCTTATTTGAAATAAGGTCTCTTGAAATAGGTCTCTTGGGCCCATTTTTCAATGTCCAAATTTGCTTTTTAAATAAATCTTAATGAGAGAGTTAAAATATTATTATCATAGCCTAAGTTTCCAAAAATACCTGAAGAAATGTTACCCAACTGTCTTATATGCTAAAGATACTTTTACTATGTAGAAAATATAAAAGTAAATAAGTAATAATGTAATAAGTAAAAATACTAAATAGTTCTAAAGTATAGTAAATTAAAAATTAACCAGAAGCAAGAACTTTAGTTAGTCAGTAAAATGCTAACTGCGTATATTTACAGCAAACCAAGACATTTTAATGAGCACAACAGTTATCATATTTAAAACATTTGCTCATCAATTTTTTAAATTAAATATAATGGTATTCTATATATTATTTTCAAATTAGACCATTTTTTATAAATAAATTATAATTTAACAAGCAATAGATTTATGGTTCGCAAAAAAATTTGATTTCACTAACTACCAGAACTTAAAATTGATTTATTTTTTACCGTTAAAAATAAATTAAAGTAAAAAACATAATTGAGACTATCCAGTTCAATATACCTGAGACTATCCAGCTCAATACAATTGAGAAACAATAAGCTAAATAAAGAAATTATTACTTCATTGTTAAGTTAAAGAAATACTTTTTTTTTTCCAACAAAGTAAAAGTATTAAGTATTTTGTAAAATTAATTATGTTAATTTTGTTAATTATGTTAATTATAATTTTATGTTAAACTTGTTAATTATGTACTATGTTTGTTATTGTTTATGATTATATGATGTAGGATTTTTATATACATTTTTATAAAAACTTTGCATATATATATATATATATATATATATATATATATAATATATATATATATATATATATATATATATATATATATATAAAAGACTAATAGAAGCTTCTGAAAATCTTAATGCGATCTTCTAAAGATCTTAATAGTAAGAAAAAAGATTTCTTTTATGAAAATAAAAGTTGAACTGGATAGTCTCAGCTATGTTGACTATATATGATAAAGCAGTTTGCATAATAAGATCGATATATAAAGACTTTTTACTTAAAATTTAGAAATAATGAACAAATAAAATATACCTCTTTATACTAATGGAATCAACATCTATCTTCTGAAAATGTTCATCAACAGCCATAATTCCTTGTTTATACTTTTCAATTTTTTCTGAAAAAAATTTAGGAGACTTCTTTTCTGTATTAATCAAGGCTTTTTCACCTTCAATTACTAAATTGAACAAATCAGGAGATAATAAACAACCAGCTTTCTTAAGATAAGCACTCATTCTTGTTGGATTCTTAACATTTATTGAAGTGGCCTGAAAATTAAAATAAAATACTATACATGCATGCATGCATGCATACATACATACATACATACACACATACATACATACATACATACATAAATACATACATACATGCATGCATACATACATACATACATACATACATACATACATACATACATACATACATACATACATACATACATACATACATACATACATACATACATACAAACATACATGCATACATACATACATACATACATACATACATACATACATACATACATACATACATACATACATACATACATACATACATACATACATACATACATACATACATACATACATACATACATACATACATGGATAAGTATATTTAAATACAGTAAAATATTACAGTCAGGTCAGTAAATTATTACAGTAAATAAGGTCACATAATAATTAGGACTATCATGATCACCCAGCTATTGGAAACTAATGGTAAAATGTAATTTAGTACAATCTACCTTATGTTCTACTTGTAGGATTCACATTTTAAAGCAAAAGCTAGGTAAAGTTAACTCTTGTAATGGAGAAGGCCTCGGATGATAACTTTAATAAAGCAGTTGAAAAAAAATTTTGATAATTACAAAAATTTTCAAGCAAGCTTTTAGAGAATATATCAAACTTATATTGAAAGCTTTAGATATGTCAAGAGCAATAGCCCTTGTGTCACTGCATCCATCTAATTCACAATAGAATTTTTCAGTCACAGCAGTTACTAAGTCAGCTGTAGAATGAGAAAATCAAAACCATACTGATTGTCACAGAGTTATTAGATTCAAGACGAGATGTAAGAAAATTGTTTATCAAAGACCTTGTTAAAAACAGAGAGAAGACTGATCGAACAATTGTTGGAGAGGTTAAAATGTTCTCCAGAGTATTTAAAAATTGGAACCACAGTAACCACAGTAACCACAGTAACCACAGATGCTGCTTTCCAGTAGGCAGAAAACAAGATTCAGTCAAGCACTTATTAAATAGTTTAAAGAGAAATGAAGAGAGTTCTGGAGAACAATTTTGTAAGACTATGACAGGAATGTTGTGTGGATCACAATCATCAAAGAATTTAATTAAGAAATGACTTTAGCATTGGAAGATGGAATGATTTAGATATCTAACAATCGATTAGAGTTAGAATAAAAGTTCTTTGAAATAGTTCTTTCTCATTCTTGGGAGAGATAATAAGATCAGACTCGTGAATTAGAAATAGAATGTTCAAGAACATGAATTAGAACGTTGTTGATGACACTGACAAAGACTTTCCTCTCTAAGAAATAAGAGTTGTTCTTTCGAAAAAGAAGAAAAGAGAGTTGTTCTTTAAGAAATAAGAGTTGTTCTTTTGAAAAAAAAGAAATAAGAGTTGTTCTTTTAAAAAAAAAAAAAAAGTTGTTTTTTTGAAAAAGAAGAAATGAGAGTTGTTCTTTTGAAAAAAATGAAAAAAAAAAGATTAGAATTAGATATAGCAACTGGACAAGAAGGTAAAAACAATGGAGTAAAATAAGGCTTGACTTGGAACCAAAAAAAAGTAATAAAAGCTACCATGCCTGTATCTAGGTTATGTATGCGCATTTATCAGCAGAAATAAAAAAGAAAATAGCCCAAAGACCATCACAAAAAAAATCGAATCAGTTTTAAGGTAGTAGTAAGAGGGATGATAGAGCGAGTTCAAAGAAGAAGTATGAGATGGAAGATTGTTAGAAATCATTGCTTAGTCCACCTAACCATCTAAAGGAGAACAAGGAGAAACCTAGGCTAGGGTTAGAGACAAGTCACAAATCAAGAAATGAAGGTAAGTGATTAGTATTGTCTGGAAAATGAGTCACAAAGTTAGCTATCAGAGTAAGAGATTGAGAAAATACAGAAGTTATAGACTTTAGTGCCAGCAGGATCAGTTGTGTTAGAGCCAAACCACTCAGTGTAATAACCATAGAAGTCAGTAATAACAACAATATTGACAGAGGGGTGAAGAGAAAGGATATGGTCAATTTAATCAGAAATTACATCTAAAAGAGTGCAGTCTTGAGAATGAGAATAATGAAGAACAAAGAAAAAGGTGATAGATTGAAGAGGTGCTAGGCGGAAGCTTATAAAAGATTGGTCAGAGGATTCAAACTTGATATGGATAAAAATATAGGCCAACAATACTTAGATCTGAAGGAGGAATAGCCAATTTAAAATTTGTCTCACAAAGAGCAAGCAAGTCTGGTGAATTTTAGAAGAGGTAAAATTAAACTGATGAAAAGTTTAAAGACCACGAATACTTGTAAAAGATTGGTGATGGTTTTTTATGTTTAATAATTTTGGTTACTTTGGGCATGGTCTAACTTAAAACTTGGGCATGGTCTAACTTAAAAGGATTAAATATTAGAATAAATCTTGTGTTCCTGTAAAAAATTTGGATGTTTAACATTATTTCAAAACAGAATAGTTAACGAGTAGAATAAACTCTCTAAAAATATTAAACCAGCAAAATCAGTTATTTGAAAAGCCACTTGTTGCTATAGGGAACCATCTTCTGTTGGTGAACTGCACCTTTATGCCATATAAATTTACCTCTATAAATATTCTGTGAATTATTAATTTTTATAATGTATATTATCATGACTATATAAATATGTTAACAAATATATTTAAATATATTTTTAAACATGTTGAAATATATTGTAAATGTATAAAAATATGTTAACAAATATATTTAAATATATTTTTAAACATGTTGAAATATATTGTAAATGTATAAAAATATGTTAACAAATATATTTAAATATATTACCAAATAAAAATTGATAAATAAGCAATTAACAGAAGAAAAAAAAAACAGAAAACAATTAAATTGAGAAAAAAAATCTGCACTTTAATTTCTCTAAATTTAAAAGCTTAAAACCTTTTCAATAATTGAAGCTGCTTGATCTTCCAGACTAACTGGCTGTTGATATAAAAATATGGAAACATCCAATCTTTGCTTAAGATGATCAATTTGACTTTCATAAACATGTTCAACATCAAGGACAGAAGCCTAAAATTATAAACACATTCATCATCAAAAACAGTAACCTAGAGTTTTAAACACACTTAAAGTATTTTTGGAATTAAATAAAGTTTTGTTTATCTAAAATTTTATCTCAAAAATTGTATTAAAGGACTTTAAGGTTAACAAAAGTACTTAAGAAAAATCACAACTTCAAACAACAAACAAAAATTTTATTAAAGAACTTTTAGGTTAACAAAAGTACTTAAGTTTAACAAAAGTACTTAAGGTTAACAAAAAGACTTAAGGTTAACAAAAGGACTTAAGGTTAACTAAAGGACTTAAGCCTAACAAAATCTCAGTTTCATTAATTGTACCTTTAAAAGTTGAGACATTGCTGCCTCCTTTTGCAATTGTTCTGATTCAGATTTTGCTAACTCAATATGCATTTGAATTCTTGTCAAAACTAAAAGACTAAGTTTGTAAAAATATAATTTTTTGTTTAATTATTTAACTACTTTTTTTAAAAATGACAAGATAGACCACACACCTATCAATTTCTTCTAATTTTTGAGAAGCTATTTTCAATGGTTTATATATGTGATGACGTAAGTTATTTTGCAACAATGGCAAACAAGTATTCCACAATGTGACACACCCAACCTAAAAAAAAAAGAGTAATCATAAAAAAAAGTAATTAATATAAAAAAATTAAAAGATTTTAAAACATAAAAAAAAAAAAAACTCACTTGAATCATACTTTCATCATTTATTTGAAATCCAGAGGTTATGTGTTCCACTAATTCCTCAATTACATCAAGACGAACCTATGACAAATAACTCAATAAATTAAGAAAAAAAACTTATAACAATAAAATTCTTGCTTAAAATCATACTCAAAAATTCCTTTTCAACATTTAGAAAAAAAAAAAAACATAATATGAAATAAAAAACATTAGACAGTTCATTAAAACATTCAACAACTTTAATGTAATATTACTTACAAAATCTATAAAATAAATATTTCAACATCTGAACAGCGTAAAAGATAATAGAAATAAAAATGGAATGTAAGATAAATTCAAAATAACAATAATAAATAATCCAATAAAGATAATAAATTAGTTAATAAAGATATTAAAGAAAATAATATCATATAATGATAAGAATATAAGATACTATTTTTCCTGAGTCTAATTCAATATACAATTTTCATATTTTAAAAAATTAAAAAAAAATAATACATGCCAGAAGAGATGTCACCAATACTTAACCACCAGTTTATTAATGTAGGTAACAACTTTGGTTGTTAGGTATATATCAGTTTATTAATATAGTGCAAGGTAACAACTCAGGTGCTAGGTGATCTGTAACAACTTTCTGACATAATTTAAATATTACACCAATATCATAACATTTCACAAACTATTCAGTTGTGTATCAGTCAAGTGTGTAACTATTAAGTGTGATTGATTTCTTGCAAAGTATACCTCAAAGGTATAACAACATTAAAGGCTTTAAAATAAGGCATTAAGGGCTTAACATCATACATAGTGTTATAACACGTTTAAATGTTGCACAAAAACTCTGTTTTTAAAATCAATACTAATTATATGAAGATAATTAATTAGGCAATTTGAAATTATTTTAGACAGTAGGATAAGATTAGATCTTAAGACTAGTAGGATAAGAGAAGCCCTTAAAACTAGTAGGACGTACAGGAGAATGATTGGAATTAAAAGTTGCCAAGGTTTTGAACAGTGACAAGATGACAAGAACTGAATAATGGCTTTAAGTGAATAAGAAAAGATTTAAGTAACTTGATAATAATTTGAATAAATTATTATCAAAAAAAAATAAAAGCAAAAAAATCAAATATTAAAAAAATAAAATACTTTAATATTGGATTTTGTGTAAATATCTCCTTTAATCATACTAATTTTAAGCTCAATTTTCAAAATCTTCAAACTGAGTTGATGTGCAGAACCCTAAAAAGAAACATTTTACAAATTAAATAGCTAAATTTTTTGAAGCAAATATAAAAAAAACTATTCAAGAATGATAATCATGGAATAATATAGGTTTAATCTTAACTAAGTGTTGAAAAATTTCTGCTAAAAATAGTAAAATAAAATGTCAAGTTAAAAAAAAAAAATTATATTACAAATATTTTTGCATTTAATTCGAAATTTAAAAAACATCAAAGTTAAAATATAAAAAAAATAAAAATAAAATTACATCTTAAAATTATATTAAAATTATTTAAAAATATGTATATATAAATATATTGTTCATACAATTAAAGCAAGTTTAGAAAGTTCTTTGATACATTTTTCACTTATATCACGACAATTTGCATCAATACTCAATCTCGTTAAGTCTGTAAGAAGTTCAGCCCTACCAAAGTTTGTAAACAAATCTTTTAACTGTTATATGTTATTAGTTTGTATTTTTTAAATAAAAAATAAAAGTAAAATATAATAAATTAAATTAATAAAATTAGTAAATAAAACTATGAACTAAAATAATTTATCATGAACCAGTAAGTTAGCAATTAAAAACCAGTAAAAATTAGAAATTAAACTTGAACTAGCAAAAGTTAAAAAAAATCACCTTTGAAATTTTGTAAGACCATCAGATGATATAGAAATCAAAGGATCTCTCTGACTGTCAAGTTTGAATTCAACATGGTTTGTTATACAAGCAAAAATACCTTTCATTTCTGCATATTTCAAAACCATATCAGAATTTCTAATAAAAAAAATCATTCAAAAAAAGTTAAAAAATAATTGAAATAAAATGTGAAACAACTTATTATAAAATCATGCAAATAATTTTCACTTCATATAAACTAAATTGTGGATATAATTGTTCCACAGTTCTTTTGTTGGCTTATTGTTGGCTAGGACTGAAATTATATTAACAAAAAATGTGCATCAAAATTTTTCCTAGAGGAGACACTGATCTACAGAAAAATAATGAATAACACACAATATAATTAATGTTACTAATATAATTGTGGTTGCTTGGACAGAACATAATATATATAATTGGAACCTAAAGCTGAGACAGTATTACAATAAGAATTAAATAGCTAATGCCATATTCTCCTTAGACCATTCCTAAAGATGCGGTTTGTTTTTGAGTGTAACAAGTTCCAAAGGACAGGCATATAAAAACTAAAAAACAACTTATGTAAAAGGTAATTGGGTTAAGTTTGCCAAATGTACATAAAAAGTTATTAACTTGATCAATGAATTGGGTCTAGCAGTAATACATCATCCTTGTTTGTTAATTATATTATCCAAATCAGACTAGCTCTGAGTGTATTTTATTAAATTGCCAGAAATGTAGGAGCGGCAATTGTGCAATATACTTCTACACATTTTTATGATACAAACACATTTTAAAAAAAAAGAAGAGTCACAGAAAAGAATTAAAAAAACTTTGGAAATCTATTTATAAAAAACATTTATTAAAAAAAACTGCTTTTCTTTATTATAATAATTGTTTTTCTTTTATGCCTAAAAATGTAGATATAAAGTTAATATTTTCAAAAGATATTAAAATTATTATATAATTATAGTATTGTATTTTACCTTTTTATGCACAATAGTTTCCAATAAAGTTTAAGCTCTTGTGAATAGTTTATAATATCGCTAATCTTTGATTGATCAGACATACTATCATTAACATTTGATTGGTCAAGTACATTATCAAACTAATAAAAATAATAATAGAAAACTTCACATTTCCCTAGACACGAATTGAAGCAAATTAAAATTATTTAAATAAATATTATACAAATATATATATATTTTTTTTAGATTCAAACTTCATGCAACAAATATATAGGAGTCATAAACTTATAATAAAGTATTTTCCTTGCTGTTACAAAACATTAAATCATGAGTCCATAAAACATAAAACATTAAACTGTGAGTCCATAAAATTAGACATTTTATATGTCCACTTGTGATTAATGACTTTCTTTTGGTTAAAGCTCAATCCATCTAAGTATTCAAAACGTATGTCCTAATAACCTTTTTTTCCTTTGTTCCTCAATTAAGCCTCCCATTTGATCATTCTACTTCATTTAGAAGTTCATTGTATAATATATATATATATATATATATATATATATATATATATATATATATATATATATATATATATATATATATATATATATATATATATATATATATATATATATATATATATACATATATATATATACATATATATATATATATATATATATATATATATATATATATATATATATATATATATATATATATATATATATATATATATATATTTTAGTTTTACTTCACCTCCTCAAGGCCGAGAAGGCCACTACAAACGAGGAGGCTACTTATTTTGTGGCTATAACCCTCTCCCAACTCTATAACTCCGAAACACGAACCTTGACGAACAAGGCCGCTGCGCGGAGAAACGAGTTGAGCGCGGTACTACCAGGGACGTGGTGGGGATCGAACTGGGAACCACTCGTTTATGAAGCGAGCGCTCTACCACTACACCACTACCGCATATATATATATATATATATATATACATATATATATATATATATATATATATATATATATATATATATATATATATATATATATATATATATATATATATATATATATATATATATATACTATACTACCACAGCAAACAGTTCAGGAGTCTGGAGTCATAGCATGCCATAGACATGCTCATGTTATGTCATAGCATAGACATGCTCATGTCATGTCATGCCATAGACATGCTCATGTCATGTCATAGCATGCCATGACATAAGCAATCAGCTGACAGGTGACAGCACACAGGCAGAATTTCGTTGACAAGTGCCATTTTGCAGAGGACAAAACAAGTGTAACTTTTTTGGTTTGTTTCATTTTCTTAAGTCTGGTCTGTGTCAACATCATGGAAGTTTTTTAATAATTAAAGGAAGTATTCAGAAGTTTCCAGAAGCATGCAGAAGCTTCCAGAAGTTTCCAGAAGAAGCATTTGGAAGCATCCAGGAGCATCCAGAAGTATCCAGAAACATTCAGAAGCATCCAGAAGCTTCCAGAAGCATCGAAAAGAAGCATCTAGAATCTTCCAGAACAGGTTTACACATGTTCATTTTACTATATAAGAGACATGTGAACCGACGTAATTCAATCAGTATATGGAAGTCAATCAGTCAGTATTATCAAGATAGTTTATCGAAGTGAGTTTTATCAAAGTGTTTTATTGAAGAACATCAACACAAGAAGTAAAATACAACAAGTGTTTCATTATATCAATACAGTCCACATCCAACCAAGACATTGTGTTCCACAGAGCATTTCTGTATCATTACAAGGTAAATGTAACATGGTAAGCCTTGAGAAACGTGATTATTTATTTTTATTATTTTTATGACTTTAAGTGCAAAAATGGCTCCCGACAGTTTTGGATTGAAACTAAGAAAGAAAATTATAAGCAATTACGTAAGTGGAATGTCACAAAAAAGTATTTGTATATCCCGTGAAAAAATGGACCATATCAAGACTATGTTCCAAATATCGTTCTATGGGGAAGTTAGCACCAGATAATAAAGGTGGAAGACCGCGTTCGACCATTTCTAGAGAGGATTCTATGATCATCAGATCCGTCAAAAAGAATCCTTGGATATCATCAGCCAAGATACAAAAGCAATTAGAGCTGCCTGTATTGGACCGAACAATCAGACGAAGTGCTGTTGAAGCCGGATTGTTTTCTTGACGTTCTGCAAAGAAACCACTAAAGAACCAGAAGAAAAGACTTCTGTTTGCTACATCTCATATTGACTGTCCTGTTCAGTGATGAATCGAAGTTCAATATCATTGGGAGCAATGGCATTTGCTGTGTACGTCGACCGGCTGGAAAACGCCTCAATTTATGTAAGACCGTGAAGCATGGTGGAGGCAATGTAATGGTCTAGGGGTGTTTTTTTGCTAACGGTCTAGGTCCAATACATCGAAACGATAGAATAATGGACTGTTTCATGTATAAAAATATCCTGAAAGATGTTATGTTACTTTATGCTGAATGGAATATGCCAATAAAATGGGTTTTTCAGCTAGACAACGATCCAAAACACATTGCAAAAGTACTCAAGCAGTGGTTTCAAGACAACCACCTATCGGTGATGGAATGGCCGCCTCTATATCCGGATCTCAACTCTATCAAGAACCGGTGGGAGATCGTCAACCGCAGAATTAATCATGAAGGTGTTCGTAATAAGGATCAACTGTTTGAATAAATCCAAAAGGCCTGGGCAGCGATTCCACAAAGTTTCATTGATCACCTAATTGAATCTATGCCTCGAAGATGGAAGGCTGTGATCAACAACAAAGGATTCGCCACAAAATATTGATAGCAAAATACAGCTTGGTCAACATTTTGTGGAGTTGCACTAGTTTTGTCCAGAAGGAAATCAACTTTTTTTAATACTTTTGATTAATTTATTAATTTTCATGTACAAATAATGAACTTTGTGATGAATAAAACTTGAAGAACGTTGTCTCTAAACAGTTACATAGTTATTTCTCTAAATTGAAAAATTGCAGCATTATATAAAGAAACTAAACTAGCATTATTTGGTTGCACTTGTTTTTTCCGATACTGTTTATATATATATATATATATATATATATATATATATATATATATATATATATATATATATATAATATATATATATATATATATATATATATATATATATATATATATATATATATATATTATATATATATATATATATATATGAATATATATATATATATATATATATGAATATATATATATATATATATATATGAATATATATATATATATATATATATATATATATATATATATATATAATATATATATATTATATATATATATATATATATATAATATATATATATATATATATATATATATATATATATATATATATATATATATATATATATATATATGAATATATATATATATATATATATATATGAATATATATATATATATATATATATATGAATATATATATATATATATATATATATATATATATATATATATATATATATATATAATATATATATATATATATATATATATATATATATATATATATATATATATATATATATATATATATATAATATATATATATATATATATATATATATATATATATATATTTATATACATATATATATATATATATATATATATATATATTCATATATATATATATATATATATATATGAAGAGTGTATTTTCAAAATGCGGTATATCCATTTTTGTGGTATTGAGATAATTGACTTTTTTCGCCACACCAACATGTCTCGTATATTAGGAAAAATTATTGTTTCTTAATGTATATATACATAAAGTATATTATATAATGTTAATAAATAAAATATTATTAAATAAATTTTTTTTTTTTTTTTTTTGTCAATAAGTTTGCATTTATTTTCAAAATACTGTATATCCAATTAAAGCTTGTTAGCAAAATGCGGTATATCCATTTTATAAAGATGTTATGGAAAGTTTTTAAACTTTAAAAGACCTGAATAAGTTTTAATGATTAATTTTAGTTAACATATTGAACAAATATGTGTATTTAATGTTTGGTCATTATATTTTATTGATAATGTGAATGTAAACAATGTTTTATTAAAGTAATGTAAACTATTACATTTCGCAATTCGCAATTGTAAATTTATATTTGTTTCAGAGAGTTAAATATGGACAATAAACAATAATATTTTTTTAGTGTTGTGTAGTTGTAACAATGATGATCACTATTTTTAAGTCTCCATAGAACTAATGGACAATTAATATAACATAAAAGTCATCGTTATATTTTTGAACAAAATAAAATTTTAAAAATGAAATACTGCAATAGCCTCATTTTATTTGCAACAAAGCAATTGTCAGTTTAACAAAAAATAAAAAGGAAGTATTATTATTGAATGCTTTCCATTAAAAAACAGGTAACAAATATATTTAAACTTATTAATTTAAGTTGCCTTTTTAATATATTTTCTATCATTATTCCATAATTCGTTCAGTTAAACAAACAAAGCATGGTAGTTTAAACGAACACTAGAATTAAGAAATGCTTTTCTTTTCTTTTGTTTCATACATCATATCTTTTTTTCTATGTGAAATAGGATATTAGGTAATGCATTAATCTTGTCCATCGCAATCTGCCATTTCTTTAACGCAACTTTAAAACATTTGCGCTTGCGCAGAAGTAATATACATTTGCCACGGATTGGTCAAAATTAAATACCGCATTTTGAAAATAAATAAAAAATTTTATACTGCGTTTTGAAAATAAATGTTTTTTAGAAGTAAAAAAATATTGGGTTATACTTCGTTTATCATATATTCAGACACAATGTCTGCTAGGTCCTTATAAACTAAAAATAAACCACACAATTTCTAAAAAACTTTTAAAATGGCGTTTACCGCGTTTTGAAAATAAACTCTTCATATATATATATATATATATATATATATATATATATATATATATATATATATATATATATATATATATATATATATATATATATATATATATATATATTTTATATATATATATATATATATATATATATATATATATATATATATATATATATATATATATATATATATATATATATAAAATATATTATATTATATTATATTAGTAAGAAAGCAATAATTAATACGAATTCTCTTAATAGAACTAATAATTTATTATTAGAAAATTTTGCTGGATTATGGTTACCAGCATTATCAGCGTGTAAAAATTATACAGTAATATATATATTTTTTTTTGTAACGTTAGAAAAAGTTTAAAATTAACTGACGTCAGCAGTTGAATGGCTACTTTCTTGCTTACATAAAAATGTAAAAAACGGAGTCCAAAATTTAGTTTTCACAAACTTCCTGTTATCTAAATTTATTCTGCCATGTAAAGGTGAATATTGGAACCTCTGTAATTCTAGAGCTTCACACACTTTTCGAACAAACTTTTTTGTTTGAACTTTAATTGTTTTTACATTATCCCACTTTATTTATTGTTAGCAAAACTTATTCTGGGTAGCTACTGCAGATTGATAATGTGCAATTTGATAATTTAAACTTTTTAGATGTTGTTGAGTTTGAGTCCTAATTTGAAGTTTAGTTTCGTCTACGTATCTCTTTGAACATTTGCATTCAATCAAATAAGTTCCGGGTTGACTATTTTGTGGCAATTTAGATTTGTTTTTTGACATTAGTAATGTTTTTAAATTTGGATTTGATTTGAACACTACTCTACAGCCAGCTTTCCAAAATACTTTCCTTTGTTTTGGGGATAGTGATGGTATCCATGGCAACAATACAGTAGGGATGTTAAGAGAATCTGATTGAATTTTGTTGAAAAATCAACAAAATTCAATCAGACTCTCTTAACATCCCTAAGAACGAAGCCATTCAACTGCTGATGTCAGTTAATTTTAAACTTTTTCTAACGTTACAAAAAAAATATATTATTGTATAATTTTTATAAGCTGATGATGCTGGTAACCATAATCCATCAAAAATTTCTAACAATAAATTATTAATTGTATTAAGAGAATTTGTATTAATTAACGTTTACTTACTAATATAACATATATTCTTATACACAATGTCAACACAAAAGATATATATATATATATATATATATATATATATATATATATATATATATATATATATATATATATATATATATATATATATATATATATATATGTATACATATATACATGTATATATATATATATATATATATACATATATATATATATATATATATATATATATATATATATATATATAAATATATATATATATATATATATATATATATATATATTATATATATATATATATATATATATATATATATATATATATATATATATATATATTGCTTCAGGCATAAATTCAAGCAAAAATATTAATAATAGTTATATTTATAAAAGAAGTTTTTTTTTTAATTACAAAAAAATTAACTTTTTTTTTGATAAAACCAATGATTATAAAACAAACAAAAAAAAAATTAAACTAAAAGCAATGCTACAAAAAAAAATTAAACAAACTATTTTTTAGCTAACAATTTTTTTTTTGTTTTTTAATTTTTTTGAAAAATTCTGTAATTATTTTTATTATTGTTTGTTATGAGAAACTATCTGAGTAAATATTATTGCTATTGCAAGATGATAAATAACATTTTTTTTAATGTTTCTTTTATGATTTTTTTTTAAGTGTTGTACAACATCTTTTTTTTTATGCTGGACATTTTTGAAAAGTTAAAATTATAAAAATAATTTTTTTTTTTTTTTTTTTTTTTAACTTTATTACATTTGTAAATAGCGCAAATATCAAAAATAACTTTTATGCAAACTTTTTAACGTGGTTGCCATTCAAACTTTATAAGTGGCTTTTATAACACTAATTAATTCTTAATAATATTAATTTTATAATATTAATTGCTTAAATGACATCTTTAAACTTGTTAAATATTTTAAAATGATAAAAAATGGCTTATGTGAAATGGCTTAGCGCTTACATAAATGTTGCATCAGTTTACGCTTTAAAACAAGGCCTGACACACACACACAAATATATATACATACACATATATATATATATATATATATATATATATATATATATATATATATATATATTATATATATATATATATATATATATATATATATTTATATGTATGTATACATATATATATATGTATAATTATATATAATTATAAAGTGGCAGTAGATAAGTGATAAACACTTGGCTTGCAATCAAATATTTAGAGCTTTAAACCCTGGAAGTACTTAATCTGTTTCTCTGCACAGTAGCCTAGTAACAAGGTTCATGCTTTGAAGTTTAGGATTGAGAGAAAGTTTTGTCTTTTTTTTTTATTTGAAATAAATTATGATTCAAATATGTTTTCAAGTATGTTGTTATATTGGTTGATCTAGCTCTTGTACTGCTCACACATACCGAATGTAAAAAACGTATCCAAAATAAAAGAAAATCCCACAAATTACTCTTTTAATAATATTATAGAAAAATATAAAGACAATTTAGACTATTTATGCACTTTATTAAAAACGTTTAAAACAATTAAAACAATTAAACAAGTGAGACCCTATCACCAATCTTTTAAAGCAAAACTTTAAACTTTTAATATTTTATCTTTTTGTCCTTAAAGGTATCCCCAACTGCCAAGACAAGTTGTGTTCATATTAAATAAAATGTTTTAAAAAAACATTTGGGCTAAATTTTTTTGATTAAAACTTTATAATGAATGCACACCATTAAATTTAAAATTCACATTTTAGTCGAAGCTTGCTGTTTCCATTTTTTTTTTGGTTCTTGGAGTCTGTATAATGTTAGCCGCAATCTGCAGACTTGATAATTTATTCCATGCGTGTTAATTCATAACAGTTTCGGTATATGACGTCATCGTATAAATTTTTTCTTTCAAGATGTCGTATTGTTTTTTTGCCAAAATCACCAAATCATGTTAACTGTATAACTTTTTACTAAATCCGAAAAAAGTTTATGATGCAATTAAAAAGTTATAAAAATAAAAATTTAGTATATAATGAATATTTACAGTAAAACGTACTGGTTTAAACTAAATATAAACTAGATACTAAAAGAATAATTTTACTAAAGCGTATAAATTAATTTAAAGTATAAACTGAAAAAAAAAACGAGCGACTTGAATAAAACATATAAACTGAACTAAATAGAAAAATAAATATTAAACGACTTATTTTACTAATAACTTTTCAAATCAAACTAAATTAAAGTTAAAAAAAATATTTGTACTAAAATATACAAGAAATAGTTGTAAATATAAAAACAAAGAATCGCATTAAACTGTTCGCTACCAGCCGAACAAAAATCTTTTACAATATCTTTTTGTAGCAACCGCACATTTTTTTGAATAACATTTGAATACCATAACATTGACAATTAACTAAAATTCGATAATAATAAAGTTTTGAACACGCTTCATTAAACAATAAGAAATGAAAAGTGCTTAAAACTATCGTTTTTGTAAGTAATAACTAAAACATTAAGCCCAAAACAAACCTCATTTAATGAATAAAAATAATATTTTTTCTTCAAAATACTTTGGTAATTACATTATTAAATACTTAACACTTCTACATTTTACAGTGTTAACGCTGTTTTATTTCATAATTAAATTTAAAGTTTTTTTTATGAAGGATTATTCAAGATTTTTTAACTTTGTGATATTTTTTTCATAATCGCACAATTATAGCTCTTATTTTTTCTTGATTATGTAGAGAATTAATTATACCTTCAAAACAAACAAATTCTATGTGTCTAGAATGGAAGTTTATGCACTAAACAAGATAAATTGTATATCATACTCGAAAGCCGCTACCAGTGGCTTGCGGTAGTGAAAGAGTTAAACCATAACTAAATGTAAATTAAACATAAACGAACAACTCTATTAAACCATATAAACTAAATATAAAATGAAAAACCACATCATACTGCCTTTATTTTTTCTCTGCCTGCGGACTCTAGTAATCACAAAATATGTATAATTTTCTGATTGTAGTAGAAAAAATACTTACATCTTTATAAAAAACAATAACAAAAAAACTCTATCTCAAAAAGATATTGCAATGATGTCATATACCGAAACTGTTATGAACTAACACGCATTGAATAAATTATCAAGTCTGCAGATTGCGGCTAACATTATACAGACCCCGAAGAGAAGGCAAGCTTCGACTAAAACGCTTATTTTAATTTTGTTGGTATGCATTAATTATTTAGTTTCAATCAAAAAAATTTAGCCCAAATATTTTTTTTTAAACATTTTCTTTAATATGAACACAACTTGTCTCAGCAGTTGGGGATCCCTTTAAGACAGTCATCAAAGAATAACAATTTGATTACAATGTAATAAATAATGCCTAAAAGTAACAACAAATCAAAAAGTACCAAAATTTTAAGAACATCTTTGGAATTATTTAACATATGTTGTTTAATAAACTGCAATGTTGAAATTCCCATAGAAACCAGCTCCTCCTTTGATCCAACTTCTGCTATACATTCCAGTAAAAGTCTAAAACAAATGTTATTTATATATTTACTAAACTACTTATTCGTTACTGAAATGTTATCATCACTTTACAATAACAATATAGTTGTGTAGAAGTAAGCAATATAGTTGTGTAGAAGTAAGCAATATAGTTGTGTAGAAGTAAGCAATACAGTTGTGTAGCAGTAAGCAATATAGTTGTGTAGCAGTAAGCAATATAGTTGTGTAAAGTAAGCAATATAGTTGTGTAGAAGTAAGCAATATAGTTGTGTAGCAGTAAGCAATATAGTTATGTAGAAGTAAGCAATATAGTTGTGTAGCAGTAAGCAATATAGTTGTGTAGCAGTAAGTAATATAGTTGTGTAAAGTTAGCAATATAGTTGTGTAGAAGGAAGGGTAAAAAAAAGTAACATTTCTTACATTAAAAGATCAGATCTCCATTCAAAATCAGTATCATTAATTTCATTCAAAGATGATATTATAAACTCTAAGCTATCAATGATAAGGTGTCGATAACCAACTATCATAAATGGACGAGAAAATGACCAGAATAAAACTGAGGCATTATACACCAGATAGTAAAAGCTTAAAAAAAAATTGAAAATTTAAACAATGAATTATATTTATTTACATTATTTATCTATAAAGTTTAAGAATTATATATATAGTATATATGAAACGATAATAGTTTTTTTTAATGTTTTTTTATTTGTTTTAAAAGTATTAAAGTTTTTATTTATATTATATATAACTTTATTATATAAATTATACTATATAATATAACATTACAACATTATTTAAAACTTTGATCTAATAAAACAGAAATTGTAAATATTTTAAACAATTAATTGAAATATTGCTTTGGAAATGAAATAGCTTTAGAATACTTTGCTCACAATAAGAGGTTTAGGGTTCAAATATATCCTACACCACTTGAAGTGCTACACTTGTTTCTCCACATAGTGACCTTGTTTAATAAAGTTTGTGTTTCCGAGTTGATAGTTCCAAAATAATAAAAATAATAAAAAATGAGTGACCTTCTGGACTGTAGCGGTTCCTCTAGAATCTTGGGAAGGCGAGTTTAATAAAAAAAAATTCAATTATCAAAAAACTCTTCTTAAAATGTTTGTTGTAAACAAATCAGGTAGATAAAACACACACTTCATCCATTCATCCAATTTGGTGTTTGCAGAAAAGCTTTTATTTTATATAAATTTTGTAGAATGAATAAACCATTCTACCTTAATTAACTTTTAAAAATTAAAAAAAAACAAATTAAGTGATTAAAAAAATAAATTAATTGATTTTAAAATTAACAAATTAAACAAATTAACACATTGCATGCAGGACACATGCTAGTATGTTTTTTGACAATAGATGCTTGAGTACAGAACACATACTAGTACATTTTCTGAAGGTTGTCACTTAAGCGCTTTGTTTTACTTGAGGTTTGTTTTTTCTATATTTCTGCATTTCATCTGTATTTTAGGGCTTAAAAAAATCAATTTAACTTTATATGTATCCTTGCAAAGCAAAAACAAGAAATGTGTTATAATGAACTTAAAGGAAAAAATTTTCAACTATTAAGTGTATATAAAATGATAAATATAAGAAATAATAAAAAAATATATATAAATTAAAAAAAAAATTAAAAAAGCAAGTTTAATATTATAACATATTTTTCCATATATCTACAGTAGGGTGGAGTGAAAATAACTTTTTTTATAAATTCCATTTTTCTCCCAAATTTCTACATTAGTTATAAGAAAACTAAAAATTGAGACTAAGGTGAGTAAAATTGGACAAGACCCCCTTGCAGCAATTTTTAGCTAAACTGGCCAAATTTTCAGAATTTTTCATATTTTAACTTTTTTATTTTAAATATTGATTTGTAGAATTAAATATAAATGTAGATTTTTAGTCCTTTTGAAATCATTATTTCTAGTTTATAAACATGTTTTTTTAAAGGAGTTGATCAGGTAATATTATTACATAATATTAACATACATAAAGCAAAAATATTACTAAATAGTGTCATAAATTATAACACTATTATAACATTATAATAATGTGCCTTGGTGTTAAATATTGGCATACTTTTTCTTGATTGCAGGTAGACAAATATCATACCATTTCTTTTTATTTTGCAGAAACATTTCCGTGGCAACAGCTGTTATTATCTTTACACAACGTTCTACATCTTGCATGTAACACGGTAACTTTTTCAAAAGATTACTTAGTTGAATGCAATTCTCTAATTCTCTTTTACTTTTTCAGTTCCCCATCAGTGAGCTGCATTGTTAGTGGTTGCTCTGTCTGCTGTGTATTACTCCAATCAATCAACTCCTATGTATTCTTTGCCATAAAAAGAGTCGGAACTTTGAGATGCCGCACACTAGTTTGATTAGCATTTATACTTCTTTCTTCTCTAGTTCTCTGTATATGCCTAACACCTAACTCTTGGATTTGCGGCTGCTCACCTGTAAGTATTGCTAAAAGAACATTTTTTCGATGACCACAGAATGCATTTGTTTGAATAACTCTGTCTACAACTTTACGTAATGCATCTGACAGATACCGTGATTTGACCATTGTGCTGCATAAATGCGTCCTGCCATGAAAAGTAGAAGACTCCTTCTTAATGATGAACCACATAATTTACATTGCTATAATTACTAAATTTGATGAAAGCCTGGTGGTAGAAATATATAATCTGAGGATCCTGTTGGCAGTGGTGAGCCATCTAGAATGAGCCAGTTTTTTAGGGATGCGCTTGTTCAGATTGACAGAAGAACTGCAACTTAGTACAGTTTGGCAGATGTCAAAAAGGTAAAGCTGATCTGTACTGAACACTTTTCTGTCCACCTCTGGTGTTTCTATATTATGGTTGAAAACCAGCAATCTTTAAGATCTCACAATTTTCAAGGGACTTTCCAATAGAATCTGAATAGTATCTAGGACCAGATGTTGGTCCATCCAATTCTAAAAAACAATGACGTAGAAGCTCATTTGCTTGTAACAAAAAAATTTCCCATTGTAGAGATCGTTGGAGATCTAACTTAATCAATCTAATTACACCACCCTTGTTTCCAGTGTTTACATTTGTTACATCACACCCAAGCACTTATTGCGTTTTTTAGAGTACTTTAGAATTTGAGATTTTATAGCCTTAGCTGTTCCGCTAAGAGGAGTGCAGTATTTCAAAAAGCCCTCTCCAGGTTTCTGAATAAAGGATATGTGCTCTTCTATCACTATGGGTTTTCTTATTATTAAAAAATTAAAGGTTCTGGTCTTTTTTGTCACGTCTTATCTTGCTTGTTTTTTGTCATCATTTGAAAACATGACAATATCTTCAAGTACATCTAATGTATTTGCTTTGAAGATGATAATGATGATGGAGCGTTTCCATCTATAGCATACCATTTTAAAGTACTGGGAGGGGGGGGGCAGAAATGATAGAATCTAGTGGCATTAAGGTTTGAAATCTTTTTGCTTTGGGTATTCTGCAGTTTTGTTGTAACTCCTTTGTCAATTAATCCAATATTCATTTTATGTTCAACAATTTGATCTTTCAGAAAAGCGCGCTCCGTAGGTGGTACCATATTAAATTTGGCACAGCAGCCTTTTTTTAGATCTTTGCATTGGCAAGCAGATATATCAAAGAGTTTAGCTAATTTGTTCTTATAGAACTAAAAGTTATTTTTTTTTTATTTTCTCTGTTAGCAATTATTTGCAGCTTATTGCTCTGCTCAAATAGGTTATAAACTGATGTATTATGGGTATTTAATTTAAAAACTGATGTATTATGGGTAAACTGTCAATGATGTAACAATGATGAAGTTATAAACTCTCTTCAGAGTTTATAACTTCATCAGAGTAAAAAATAGGTTATAAACTCTCTTTGTCAATGATGTAAATGATGACACAGTAGGTATGTTGCATTTTTCCCATATATTTAAAAACTACATTATTGTTGAAGCTGATTCATTATTTTTGTTGTTCCAAGAAGTTTTTTCAAAATTATATTTAACTTTAATACTATTTGAAAAATTGATATGCAGTATAGGTTACTTACATTTTCTTGCAAATCATATGCCGCATAACATTTAGTCCTGTTGGCAGTCTTCCAGTAACTTTCAACTCTAATAGTGGTTGCTTGCAGCCTTGTTGGAAGCAAAGATGTTAAAAAAAATAAAAGTTGTACCTCAGAGAGTGGCTTAGAAAATCCAAAGAATGGATGATCTGTTTTAGATCTTAACATTCTATTTACAGAAATATATTTAGTAAAGTTTTAGTATATTTAGTATTATCATAGTATAAGTAAACATAATAACGTATTAAATTCTATATAGAAACATATAATGTTAACACAAACCATACTTGATTAATTAATATTCTTAATAAATATATTATACATTATAGCGACGTTATTATTCAATTATAAATGTTATTATTATTTACAAATAAAATATTCTTACTGACATTTAAAAATACGGTTTGTATTGAAACATCGAGTAGACCATGTATTTTTTAAAAATATGGTTTGTATTGAAACTTCAAGTAGGGCATGTATTTTAGTAAATTTTATGCCTAATATTAATTTTTTTTGATTGAAATATCTTTCTTTTAAATGTGTTTACAAAAATTTCAATAACTTTTTTAATACAAAAGTGAGTGTTTTGGTCATAATGCTGATGAATAATACAAACATACCATATGTTTTCACTTTTTAGCTTTGCTTTAAAAAAAAAAAATTTGCGCTACCAATAATAAGTAGTATTAGTCTAAAATTGCCGCTGGGGTAATTCTTGTCCAATTTTGCTGCTTTTGATCTTGTTTTTTTAGTTTTCTTAGGGGGAAAAAAAGTTGCATATCTGAAAAATGTTATTTTCACTCCACCCTAATCTACAGTCTATTTAAAATTATTTCTAATTTATTTCAAGTTAATAACCAACATTCATTTTTTTTTTTTTTAAATAATTTTATAAAGAAACAATTTTTATTTTAAATTGTTCTAAAATCACTTTCTTAATACTTTTTATTTTCATTTCAGTAAAAAACTTCTAAAATAACAACTCTATCATATTATACAACCAATTTTCACTTTTTAGCTACAATAATTCATTATTTATTTTTTTATCCTGCTTTAGTTCTCTACTTTATTTTACTTGACTGCATTTATTTTGTCTGACCATAAAGTGGTTCAAGAGAATGATCTTTAGTGGTACAAGTTAATGGTATTTTGCAGTAATTAATCAAATAGTTATTGAATAAAAACCTACTAAAAATGTAAAAACTAAAAATGAATAAAAAGTTTTTTAAACCTATGTTTGCAGAAGAATATTTGAATAGTAACTTTCTTTTTATAAAAGAATTTTTATTAAACAAACACTAATATTTTAATCCTAAAAGAATAAAAGAGTAATTAAATTTTCTCTTTTTTTAACTTTCATATTTTCTCAACACTTTTCTTTAGTTTGAATAGTGAATAAAAATGTAGAACATATTCTAAGATGGTGGATTGGTGATTAAGAGTTTAACATTACAATGCATAAATAAACTATTTGTAACCTGTTATACTATATATATTGCCAGTGCCTACAAATAAATTTAATATCTGAAATGAAAAGCATGCAAAATGAAATTAAAGTGAGTAATTTCACTCAGAAATTTTTTTGTGATATAATATGAAAATTTTGTAGTGATATGAACATTACAATAATCAAACTATATATAAAAAAGAAACATAAAGTATTACAATTTTTTTTTTAAATTAAAATCTCTTTTTGAAATGAAAAAAATACCTTTCATGTATCTTTGCATTTTGAATTGCTGTTAAAAGACAACCCACTGATAACTCAAAACTTTTCTAATTGAAATATATACATATATAATAGTGTGTATATAAATATATATATATATATATATATATATATATATATATATATATATATATATATATATATATATATATTTTCTTGATTTGTATAATAGATATGGCTGAAGATTGCAGATAGGCATGAAATTTTTAGTTTCATTATAAAGTTGTATTTTTCTATTTAATTATATTTTATATATATATATATATATATATATATATATATATATATATATATATATATATATATATATATATATATATATATATATATATATATATATATATATATATAGGCCTTGGTGGGAAACAAGAGCTTTAGCTCTCACTCTCTCACACACTCCCCTAAAACATATTAAGGGAGCAATTTACAACTCTTGCAGAAGTATAATTTTTCTCTAAGAAGTAAAATTATCAATGTACTGTCAGCTAGGGTTACTTTAATACCCAGGGTAACATTGATAATTTTTTTAGAATTACTTTTTCAGTATATTATCAGAATACATTTTTAATACTATTTTATTATCTTTTCCATTTTCAGGTTAAAAATAAATAGACATTATTCAAAATTTACAAAGATTTCATCAAATTGATTTGAAAGGTAAAAAATATATTAAAATTGTTAAAAATAAAATAAGATTTACAAAGTTTTTTGTAACTTTTTGTAAAAAAGTGTAAAAAACGTATTCTAAACAATAATAAAATACTATAAAAACATGTTTTTTTATATGCCTATAGGTACATACCTACCTATCCATAATATGAGGGCCTACAAGAGGAAGGACGGGAGTCATGCTTGTTGTTCACATTCAGAAACTCAGTTATCAGCGGCCCTTCAATATTGCCGGAAGGGTAATATGAGTTTGCTAAAAGCATCTAAAAAGTTTAAAATTCCATATGGGACATTGCAAAACAGAATGAAAGGTAAACCTGGAAAAAAAGTCAGACATCCAGTTGCACTCTCTTCTAATTGCGAGAATCGCCTTTTGAAGGCAATAAACGTTCTTTGTGATTGGAAAATGCCTGTTGATGGATTAGATATTCCTTTAATGGTCAAACATTATCTGGATAACCCCGGTTTTAAAAACAGACAATTTAACAACAATTTACCAGGGATCAATTGGATGCTAAGTTTTATCAAACGCCATAAGCTGACAATACGCATTGCTGACAATGTAAAACCTTCTCACGCAGTGGTTTGTGGACAAACTGTGAATGCTTACTTTTGATGAATTAGCAAAGACATTAGAAGGCATTGAGCCCTGTAATATTTATAACTGACAAGACTAATCTTTCGGATGACCCTGGCGCAAAATCGATCATTTACAGACAAGGACTTGTGTAAGCATCATGTATTGTGGAAATGCTATTGGAGTATTCCTACCACCTATGGTAGTATATAAGTCTCAAAATGTTTATCAAGAATGGACCAGAGGTGGCCTAGAAAGAACTTGCTATGGCAACACAAAATCAGGCTGGTTCGATTCAAGAACCTTCAAACGCTGGTTTCTAGAAATATTTCTTTCTAACGTTTGTAAAGATCGTGGACCAAAAGTCATCATTGGTAACAATCTTGCCTCTAATTTTTCTCTTCCAGTCATTGAGGCCGCCTAACTGAATAACATTCGTTTCACCTGTTTGGTACCAAATGCAAGTCATCTCCTTCAACCACAGGATGTTGCAGTTTTTAGATCCATGAAGAAAGAATAGAAGAGAATCCTGGAATGTTGGCGAAAAGAAAGTCGCATCAAAGGTACAATACCAAAGACACATTTTCTTGGGTTATTGTTGAAGTTGCATCAAAGACTAAAATAACAAAACCTGATTTCTGGCTTTTCGGCTTGCGAAATATATCCTTTAAACAGAGATGAAGTCTTGAAAAGACTGTCAAATGTGAACCGAGATGTTGGTGGTGAAAAGGTTAAAGAAATCTTTGGTACGGTTGTTCAGGAAATGCTAAAAGATCATTGTGGATTCAATAAACCGGACAAACATAGAAGAGAGGAAAAAAGATAATTCCTGGTAAAAAAATAACATCAAATGATCTCAGTGTGATCAAAGAAATAAAAAAACAAACACAGCGTAGTGGTACTGGTGCAAAATTGGTTGTCAAAAAAAACGATCAAATAAAAAAATTGAGTCTTCAACATCTTCAGATAATGATTTTGAAATTGAAATGGAACTTTAAGATGACAGTGAAGACTCTATGGAATCAGCTGATAAAACAACTGACATTCCATTTGAACCAAAGCAATGGGTAGTTGTAGCCTACACTAGGAAGTAACTGTTGTCAATTACATAGGTCAAGTTGTTGAAGTGTTTAAGAGAACAAAACTACTTCATATAAAATTTTTGAAAAAACAACCGGCAAGTAAATTCTTCAAATTTACAGAAAGCAAAGATGATATGGATGAAGCTGTTCCATATTCAGTTGTGGTTGAAAGAATTTCAGATGAACCAAGAAAAACAAGGGATCAATATCGGTTCCCATACCTATCTCACTAAGTCATTAACTAAAATCAAGAACTTTTGATAATTTATAATTTTGAGTTTGATAAAGTTTGATAATTTTTGAAATTTTTTAAACCAAGTTTGTAATTTTTTGGATAGTATCTGGTGTAGTAGGTCGATAAATCTTTTTTATAAGTCTAAAAAACTATCAATTACTATCAAAGTTTACTGACATTGATTACATTTGACTGGTTACACTGATAACTGTTTGGGCTTTAAAAACAAATACAAGACAAGTTCCGATATTTCTAAAAAGCATTTTTTCCTGTTGAGGATAGATCATTTGGTATATTCGAACCAAAAACGACAGCAATTCATTAAAATTCTATCAGCACTTTAAAAAAAAATCACAAAAACCTATCAAAGTAACCCCAGTTGAAAGTAACTAAAATGAATACCACAAAGTCATGTTTATAAAAAAATAAATTCATAATAAACTGCAATGCTTTTTAAAAAGCATGGATATTAAATAAATAAAAAATTGATAAAGAGCACTGATTTAAATGAAAAATCTATTTAATTAGATTGAACTATTTCATATATATAAAATTATTACACTCTAAATTTTATTGATAAAATATAAAACTGTTCAACTGATAAAAAATAAAATTATTACACTAAATTATTGCAATATAATTTTTATTTTATGTAATGAATTATATATTTTAGATATTATTTACTTTAATATAATACTTAATTTTTTTTTTTTAAACATCTTCATGAATAGTTTTGAAAGGATAGACAACAGCTCTGGAGAACACTTCTGCAAGACTATAACAGGTATGTTGTCCGGGTCACAAGCTGTAGAAGAGTCTAAGCAGGAAATCACTATAGATACAGAAGCTGGAGTGATATCTATTGTTGAATTTTTAATTGTTGTAATAATTCTTAAAATGCCTGCATTCTATTAAAATGAGAAAATGTAAAACATTCTTTATAAGCAGTAAAAACTTTTATAGCTAATTATCAAATTTTTTATCAAATAAATAATGCTGTTAACAAATTGCATAGCTTTATTTTTGTTTTTGGAAATTCTCCCTAATGTAAGTTTTTAAATTCAAAATTAAGGTCACTAAAAACTTGCCAAGAGGTGGGGTTTGAACAATAGATCCTTTATTTCTGAGACAAGTGCGCTACCACTGCGCCACAGCTGCTTAGGACCAGCAGTTCAGCTTTAATAATTAAAATTATTTAAAGAAGTAATTAAAACAAACAACGCAAAAAAACTTTAGCTTAAAAAAAAGAAATCATTAAAAAAACTTTGCAAAACAAACTTTAGTTTAGTGTTAATAAAAGGAATCATTAAAAAAAAATTAAAAAAAACTTTTTTTTCTTGGGACCTAAGGATTTTATGTACGTAGTCAACCTGAACAATTTAAGTCAATGACTGAAAATATTAGATTTTAAATGGTAAAGATATTTTATAAAACTATGAAGAGCACAAAAATAAAATTTATCGCAGCGCCCCTATAGGCTGCAGTATCCAGGGCATCTTGCCCTGGTTGTCCCTTCCTAAGGACAGGTCACATACCCCCTGGGTATATGTGATTGTTTGTGATAGAAGGGAAGGGGTTAAGAATTGATAAATATAGGGTGATGTGCTTTATGGATGACCCATAATTGCATTTACAAACATTTATTTTACTAAAACAAAAATAAATAAAAAATTTTAACTGATTTTTTTAATATTAGGAGAATAGCAAATAAGTCTTTTTTTTAATGTCTAAATACAAATATTTATATAACTCTTATTTTTATTTATCTATGTTTATTTGTCAACTAAAATAAGAATACATAAACAAATAAAAAAGCAATAATATAAATAACTTTAATTAACATTAAAAAAATTAAAAGATTTTTTTATAAATTCTCCTAATATAAAAAGTTTCAGTTAGAACCTTGTCAACAAAATAATAATTACTTAATGACATAATTCATATTGTTAACGAAAAAGCATCAGAATTTTAGTAAACGCATGTAGTTTTAACTTACGTCATACAAATTTAAAATAAAAATGTACTTTATCTAAGCACTGTATTCAAAACTTTAAATGCAAAAACGTAACATTTAATATTCTTTCGCATGTATTGTTAAAAAACATAAGTTTTTAACTAAATTAAAAAAAAAAAAAATTTTATTATACTTCAGACTTCATTACTTTAGTACACACATCAAATTTATATCATTTTTTAAGAACCACTTGATTTTTTGTTAAAGGCTCCGCAGCAAAAGATCGGAATTATCTATGCTAAGGGTGCGAAAGACAAAAAAAGTCATTGATAAGGTGTTTAATGATAGTTAAAATATAATACACAAACAAACAAAAAATTTTTTTTAAAAAAACATACACACCACATCTTTACAAGTATTCGGAATATATAGCTGTGATTGACATAAGTATGCTCTGCAAAAAAACTCATCTTTTGATTGTGTTGTCAAAAAATATTCTTTAATGCACCATTCTGCATCATCTAACTTTTTAAACTGTATAAAAAAAATTTGCACAGAATTATTTAATTTTTAATGATGTTGTTTTATACAAGTGTACAAGTAAATGTATGAAAAAAACAAACATTTAAGCTTACTTTAATTGCAGCTTCAGCGCTTTTTATTAGTAAACTTGAAGGCAATAGGTTTGCAACATTTTTTGGTGCTTGTGTTAGCTTTACAAATGCATCTTTAAAACTAATTACATCATTACTTTCAACAGCTTTTATTAAAAGCTCTTCATATTTTTCAGCTGAAAACATTTTTTCCTATAAATAAAATTATACTTTAGACATAAGTGTAAAAAAGCTAGGCGCAGTCAAAAACAGTTATAAAATGATAAGAGAGTAAACTGCTACAACATTAATTTCAATAAAATATTTGAAAAAAATATACCAATGAGACTAAATGATATTAATACTAATGTAAAAAGTAGGAACAACAATAAGAATAACAATAAAATAATAATGTAGTAACAGCAAAAATAATAATGACAATAATAAGAATGATAATAATGAAAACTAGGATATTTAATGCAATAATAATAATAATAGCAATAATAATAATAATAATAATAATAATAATAATCATAGCAATAAAAACAACAACAATAATAACAACAACAACAACAAAAACAAAAACAACAGCAACAACAACAACAACAACTATAATAATAATAATAATATTAGTAGAATAAAAATAATGACAACAGCTTATTAATTAACTTAAAAGTTTATTGTTATTATTATTACTATACCTAAAACTAATAATAAAACATAAAAATAATAACAATACAAATATAATAATAATACCAATAGCAACAACAACATGTTAATACTTATGGGACATAACTAATAAAATAATAATAGCTAGAAAACAATAACGATAATTAGAAAAGATATGAAGAGGAGACAGAGAAGTTAAATTATGACCTTCTCTTTTAGTTTAGGCTATATAGTAGCCTATACTAGAAAAATAAAAAGCAACAAATAGAAAATTATATATAATTTTTTATAGTAGGGGGAGTAAGAGCACAATTATAGTTTTTTACTCTAGAGTGAAAATAAAAATTAAAACAATGTAAAAGTAATAATAAAGTTGTTAGAAATTGTTTGTTGTTTATCTAACTAATGTCCAACTTTTTAGAATACAATTGCTATCAATTACTTAAAGAGAAATGTTGTAAGAATCTTTAAATTAAAAAGAATAACCATCCTATGAGTACCATTCTTGATTATGAAACTTGGTAACTTTAACACAATAACAAAAACATGAACAAAACCTTTACCATAAAGCACATGTAAAGCAAAAATAGCATACACTAATTTATAAGTGTTTCATTTATTAAAAATATCTAGTCTTTACCAGTTTTCCATTTGCACAAATGACAAATCAGATCTGTTTTATTTGGTGAATGAATGAAAAATTTCCATCTTATATTTATTCGATATACAAGATTTTGTTTTAGGCCCTGATTCTGAAATTTAAATTTTTAGGGTGGTTTACGTTGTTAGTGTGGTGTACATAGTATTTAATGACATTTTATTATAACTTAATCATTGAACCAAACAGGCAAAGCCAAATTTGAGATCTTGATAAAATTTCAAGTAATTTTTCAGTTATTAAAGCATGAGTATCATCAGCAGTACAGCTTCAATTGTCTATGAGTACTTAATACAATACTTTTATGAGCTAGTCTTGCATTGTCTAAAAAGTATTTAAATTATCTACTGTAAAACATTTGTTGTTTTTTTATGAGAATAAAAGTAATAATTTTGAAATAACTCTTTACAAGATGTAATAAAATAAACCCTTGGGAAAGATTATTTTAGATTATTTGGAAACAAAAAATATAAAACTGCGATATTCCAAAAGCAGTATTACAGAAAATAACCTGTGAAACTATAATCTTTGTCATTATTAAATTACAGGGTTGAATAGTTTCCCATAACTCCACTTTTGAGTTTTAATAATTATTGTCAATAATTGCCATTATTATTTTCAATTACTGTCAACCCTCGATCATCTGGTGCACATATACTGAGGTAAACAAATCATAATAAACTTAAACACTTATAATGCTAAAAAAGTTTTTTTTTAATGTTGGATGAATTTTAAAAAAATAAATTATTCAAAAATTAATGTAGATATCCTTTAGAACTGATAATATATCCTTTAGAACTGATAATTATATCGTAAACAAAATATGTAACCAAGGTTTAATGCCTAAGCCTGGCATACACGTGTTTATTTTGTTTTTTTTATCGACTTTATTATTGAAATAAGTCAGGATCGAAATTAAAAAGACCTAAAAGATGATTGTAAATTATATGAATCAGGAAAGCAAGATGAACGAAGCGAATTCCAAAGAACTGATATTTGAGGAAAAAAACTAGAGGAATAAGCGTTTTTCGAGCACTTAGGAACTGTAACAGAAAAAGGATGAAACTTAATTGAATGACGAGTAACACGAGAATGAATTTTAGTAGATGGCACAAGAGACGCTAGCTCTCTAGAGCAGTGTCCATTAAAGTATTTTTAGAAAAGAGAAAAAGAAGCAACATTACGACAATGGGATAATGGTTGGAGGTTGGCTGCAAGGGCAGGTCCAATGTTTACAATGCATTTATTCACCTTGTCTAAAAGAAAAAGAGCATCATTAGAAAATCCACCCCAGATATGGCAACAGTATTTCATACAAGGCAATTTATAGAGATAGAGAATAAAATACAAAGAGATAAAGCGTTGAGCTCAATGAAAAGATGCAAACTAGCAGATGCTAATTTTGCAATAGATTTGATATACGGTTTCCAAGAAAGATCAGAAGTAAGAGTTGATCTTAGAAGATGAAGGGTAGATGACTCATTGAGTACATTATCGTTCATAAATATAGGGAAGATCTAAATTATTGTGATAATAATTGGCCAAAATAAAATTTAGTTTTTATGAATTAAAGTTCACCAGCCACTGTAAGTCTTATGCTGTAACAGAAATGAGATCCTTTTCAAGCTCAGATGCCACCTCCAAGCAGTCAGACAGTGTTGGGTTCTTATCATGACAAGAATAAATGATAGTGTCATCAGCAAAGAATGTCACCTTTGATGTTGAGAATTTCTGGAAGATCTTAATGTAAATTAAAAAGAGTATAGGGCCAAGGAATGAACCTTGAAGAATTCCTGAAATTACAGGATATCAAGAAAAGTGCTGTCCATCGAGGACAATTTTTATACTACGATTGGAAAGGAGAGATTCAATAATCTTAAAGATGTTGCCAGATACACCGTAAGAAGAAAGCTCATGGAGAAGAACAACATGCCAAACTTCATTAAAAGCTTTAGAAATGTCAAGAACCCTATGAACAAATTCTTTGAAAACTTCGTTTATATTTTTTGAATCATAGCATGAGTTAGGTTTGATTTGGACGTTAGTTATGGAATCTTTACGGTAAACTTTAAAATTGTACGTAGCAGTTTTATTGCTAACAATAGTAATGTCAAGAAAGTTTAGTCTCTCCACCTCTCTCTTATGCAAGATAAAATCTATCGGTTATTACTGTTAGAAAATCAGCTGTAGAACGAGAAGATCGAAACCCATGTTGATAATCAGAAAGTAAGTTATTAGATTCAAGATGAGACATTAATTGTTTGTAAATTAAAGATAAAAAAAACCTTGCTTATGATAGGAAGAAGACTAATGGGACGGAAGTTAGACGAATCAGATCGTTCTCAAGAATTTTTGAAAATAGGGATAACAAATGCCGCATTCCAAATACTTGGATCTAAAGCAAATAAGGCGTTCCACGGCTGAAATAAAGTGTTTATAGTAAGTTTTTTTCATTCATGTTAATCACTTGATAATTGGTATCAAATCCCGATTAGCGTCTAGTATCTAAAGGATACCAAACAGAGGTATCGGTAGGTCCCTTCCCTTCCTCCCCCTACCCTCCCACCCGCCTGAAATAAATAAAAATAAACCTGGTATTAGAACCTCAAATTCTTTTTTAAAAAATTACATTTATTATGTAAAAATAAAGAACCTTGAATTTACTCATGAGTCCTCTAAATCGAGCAGCCGTGTCATAGTGTAAAAGCGTTTTCTTCTGGGCAAGTTTTCGACTTCAGTTAGTAAAGTGGCGTGAACTTTCTATTAAATGCTCATCCATGGTGCTCTGTAATAAGACCGTAACGACCTCTTGGGACACAAAAATAAAATAAAAAAATTTGCTCCCTTCTCATTCTCCCCCCTCCCCTGATTGAGAAATGGGGTGGCCTAGCCACGACTCTGGGTATCGGTTATATTGATTTTGTTTCGGCATCGATGGAATCATTTGGTATTGTAGCTCGGTTCTTCACAAGAGTTTTACTTTATTTGTATTTTTTTTTTTTATAAATAGTAATTTGAGTAAAATATGAGTTTGAATAGTAAATATATATAATAACTGAGAGTAATGAAGCTCATATAGTTTAATATAAATTTCTGAAGATCTTGTTGTATCGTATAAAATCGTACTCAATGTTTTATATAACATCGCAATTTTAATTTAATTTGTTGTGTCTACGCATTACATAATACATCAACTGAAGTTGATGTATTGTGTAATACATGTAGTACTGCTTCCGTACTTTATTTCTAATCTTGTATTGTTATTTTAGTTTAATTAGTTGTGTGGTATTGTTTCGGTAATTTAATTTCATATATGGTAACGTCATTTAGTAGTTGATCATGAGATCAATACTTTGACTGCAATTGAATGGAATATTGACAAAAATGAAATCCAAGTTAATTATGGTAGTAGTTGTGTTTTCTACAGTTTCACGAAAGTAATGTAATTGAACAAGCGATTTTCAATAATATTCAATTAAAGTAATTTAAAAGATACGTCGATGACTCCAATTATCGTTTTAACTCTACTGGAAATGCGAAAAATGTTTCAACATTACTTAATAACCAACATAAAAATATAGAACGAGAACGAGAGAACGTAGAACGAGAACGAGAACGTAGAACGAGAAGATCGAAATCCATATTGATGATCAGAAAGTAAGTTATTAGATTCAAGATGAGACATTAAGTGTTTGTAAATTAAAGATAAAAAAACTATAGAAATCGAAAATGAAAATTACACGTTAAACTTTCTTGACATTACTACATAACTAACGTCCAAATCAAACCTAACTCATGTCATAATTCAAAAAATATAAACGGAGTTTTCAAACAATTTGTTTATATAGGGTGGACAAGGAAAAATCTGGTCAACTTTAAATTGAGGTTTCTCTGAAACCATTTATGCCTTTTTATTTCAATTAGTTTTATATTAAATGTCTTTACATTAGTTAAGGTTTCAACTTAATTCTAAGGGGCTTGATATGCTGCTTGGCTAGAGATCGAATTTTATAGCGGGTTGATTCTATCATTTTACAGAACTTTTTTTTTTTCATCTTATTGATGGCATTAATCTACCATTTTTGAAAGTCTTTTTTTATTTTTTGTCACTCCTGAATTACGAAGAACTCCTCTAGTTATTGCCCAAAAATTTTTAATCTTACATTTTTGGAGGATTCGCATCTTTAGGAACAATTTTTACATTATTATCTTTGCACCACTGTAGAACTTTTTTAGAACAGTGAGAACCAGAAAAACCTGGCCAAAAGAGACATTTGTATATGTGATTTTTCATAAATGGCAAAAGTCTTTTTTGGAGGCATTCTTTCATGCAAAAATCAGCAATCTAGATCTTTTTAGAAACAAAACAAGGGGGCTGTATAACAAAACTACAAATTGTTTGCCACACAAAAAACTTGTATGAAAATTTTTCTCGTCGAATATATCTAAATTTATCATCAACAGGTTTATCTTTGTTCTCACAGTAAAAATGCTGACCATGAAGGTGTGCAAAATCCGCCTTGCAATATGTTTCGTTGTCTTCAATTATGCACATACTTTTATCTGCGATTATTTTAACCAAAAAACCGCGTCGAGTTCCTTTAATTTCACCATTTAAGCTTCTCTTAGGTGTATTTTCTTATGAAATGCTTTAATTCCAGCATTTTTAAATTTTTTATGCTTTAAATTTTTTATGCTTAAATTTTTAAATGCTTTAATTCCAGCATTTTTGATATTAGAACGCAAATTCTTGAATTTTCTAGCTAGATCTCACTGTGACTGGTTCGGATTTCTTGCTATTGAACTGAGAATCGACTTTACCTTCTTGGATTTATGGATCTATGGATTGGATAAGTTTTTTTCTTCCACTTCCAGATTTTCTTTCGAAGCTTTGAGTAGTCTTAAACTTATTTATAATATCTATGACTGTAGATTTTGAGACATTTGTACGTTTAGCAATTAAGCGATACGAAGTCGATAGATTTTTGCCAAAAAAACTATCGACTTCGTAAAAAAAATTTTTACGCACCTCGATATATTTCCGAAACTTTTTGCAATTCATTGATTTGTAAACAAAAGTTTATCAACACAATTAAAGATAAGGAAGTACCGCCTAATTAAGAAATAAAAGAAATTAAAAGCATTTGTGGTTTTAGAGAAATCTCAATTTAAAGTTGACCGAATTTTCTGTGTCCACCCGATAAGGCATTATATTTATGCTCTGATAATAATATTGAACAAGAGTTATTATTTCTAGTTGATGTTTTTGTAGAAAATGATTATTAAAAATCAAGGCTGGAAAATATTATAAAAACCACTAAGGAAAATTTACATAATAAAAAACAAAATATTGAAACTCAACATTCATCAATTTCATCAAAAAATATCTTACCGTTTCCAGGAATTAGCCTGAAGTTAAAAAAAGTTTTCAAAAAAACTGGTTACACACCAATCTTAAAATCACCAAAAAATTTACATATACTTACCACAAACAAAAGAATACATACTAAGAAAAATGGGATTATTCAGCCACAGCGGAACATTCAAAAAATTGTCATGGCAATTTTATATGGAACAATAAAAATAGTTTAAAAGTAGAGGTTAACAATTTTAACAAAAAGATGAGGAAAGCTCTTGAAATACAACGCCATGAATGTGCACAACAAAGGGTATTTATATTCCCTGGAAATATTGTATGAAAGTTAATTTCAAATAAAGAGTTACATCCAGAATAGAAGTTTTTATTTAATTATATTTTAAAATCTTTAATGATGTCTTTTAAAATCTAAACAGATAAGTAAGAATTTTGGTGCTTGAAATATGCGTGTCCCTCACAGACATAAGGCGCAGGATGTTGTTTTGGCGTTAATTTTTGGTCTTCTACAGAATTTTTCTAGATAGCTGCCACCTGTTAACTTGATGCTCTAAGAGATATCAAAAAGTTTTTCTTAAAACTTTTCAAATATAGCTTGAACAGCCGTAAAGCAGTGATTAGAATTCTTAATCAAAACCAAGAGATTCAAGATTTGATGCGACATTGATAAGGAAAGAGGCGCGAACAAGCGGATAAAAATATTTACATAGTCAAAAACGACAAAACATATTGCAAGGCAGATATTTAACAACTTCTTAGTGAACAATTTTACTATGAGAACAAAAATAAACCTATTTAAACCTGTTATTAAATTTATTGAATGTAAATTTAAATATATTTGATGAGAAAAATTTGCATCCAAGTTCTTGGGTAGCAAGCAATTTACAGCTGTGGTATAAAGTTCTTTTGTTTAGTCACATTTTTCCGGACGTAAATTAATTTACCTGCTTCATTGTAAACAATCTTGAAAATTACCTGCTTCACTGTAAACAATCTTGAAAATTATTGAATTATTATGGTTATTATTTAAAAAATTTTGTAAAAATTTATTGATGAATGAGACTTGAAATAATATAACGCTTGCCTGTTTATGTGTTTGCTTTGTTTTATTATGTGTTAAAATAATCATTTATTCTGTTTGCCGTTTAAATAAATCAACTTTTTCCAAAAGTTTTCATCCATTTTGTTTAAACGAAGATACAAATTTTACTTTAATGCATTATACTATTTGTGTTTTATTTAATTTGTTAATTAATCAATTTAATTTTAAAGGAATTTTAATCTAAATATTGCACCCATCTCTTAAAAAATTGTTTTACAAAAATGATTACAAAACCAAAGTGTATCATGGTGTCCTACTAAAAACTCTGGCTTGCTTCTTATAGTTTTGGATTAAAAAAAAAAAAAAGAATTAGAATTTATTTATTATGTTGAATATTTTTTAAATTATTTTTATACACATAATCAAATAAATTCGAGTGGAGAAATAAATATTTTTTAATAAATAAGTACATATAAATAAATTACATTAAAATTCTAATTAATATCAAATTAAAAACAAGACAAGGCTATAAACTATGCTGAGTCCATAAGTTCTAATAAATCGTCTCCCTTTGGCGCTAAAAAAAAAGCAAATATTTCATATTTAAAAT